CACGCTTCAATTAAAGGCGTTTTCGAATCTTTTGTATTTACATAACGAGATTTTCCAAATTGTTTTGCATTATATTGTGGATTTGAGTTCCTTTTATTATTTAGTAATATCATTCCTGCTTCTTAATTTTTTTTTTATTCTGCAACAATTATCTTTTTGCGAAATACAATCCTGGCTTTAGTGCCCTTAAGCTACGGCCTGAGCGGTCGAAACTGCGGTAGCGGCAGAGGAAAGCCGAAAAACCAAGCAGGGACGCTACTTTAATATTAAACTTCCATCGCCTTGCTAAGGCGCAGGGATACAACTATTTGAACTCTCCGGAACGCGTGAAGTATCACGCTTCAATTAAAGGCGTTTTCGAATTTACTGGATTTACAATACGAGATTTTCCAAAATTTTTTTGCATTATATTGTAGATTTGAGTTCCTTTTATTATTTAGTTAAATTACTCCTGCTCCTTAATTTTTAATTATTTTGCAAATACTATCCATTTGGAAAATTAAACCCTGGCTTTAGCGCCCTTAAAATACGTTAGTTTTTGCATAATATTGTAGATTTGAGTTCCTTTCATTATTTAGTCAAAATATTCCTGCTTCTTAATTTTTAATTATTCTGGTAAAATTTCTTTTTGCAAAATACAATCCTGACTTTCGCGCCCTTAAACTACGGCCTGAACGGTCTAAACTGTAGTAGCGGCACAGGAAAACAGAGAAACATAGCGGGGACGCTACTCTAATATTAAACTTCTATCGCCTTGCTAAGGCGCAGGGATACAACTATTTGAACTCTCCGGAACGCGTGAGGTATCACGCTTCAATTGAAGGCGTTTTCGAATCTTCTGTATTAACATAACGAGATTTTCCAAATTATTTTGCATTATATTGTAGATTTGAGTTCCTTTTACTATTTAGTAATATTACTCCTGCTTCTTAATTTTTAATTATCCTGCAAAAATTATCTGTTTGCGAAATATAATCCTGGCTTTAGCGCCCTTAAACTACGGCCTTAACGGTCAAAACTGCAGTAGCGGCACACAGGGGCGGACTGGTAGTCGAAAAGTTAGGAGGAGACCTAGATGTAAGGGCCCCTAATGTCGTTTGGGGGCCCCTTTAAGAAGGTCCGGGGGTCCTCCCCCGGTAAATTTTGAAAATTTCACACTTTTTAAACACGTAGGCATTATTAGAGTTGGATTCTACAGTACTTGAACTTTAAAATAACCCTTTCTCAGGATTCATTGGGGGTCGCCCTTCATCACAAATGCTTTTGGCGACCTTCCATGTCTCTTAGAGATAAATTTTCAAGGAATTCGGGGCTTTTTAGTGATTGAAAGGGATAAGAAAATTACAAAATTACGGGATTTACGGGAAAAAAATGATGACTCGAAAAAACGATGACTCGGGGCCCCTTCGGGACCTCCGCGGCAAATTGTTAGGGGGCGATCGCCTCTTTGCCCCCATGGCCAGTCCGCCCCTGTGTTAGTGTACAAGTATACATAATTACGTCGAGTTTATATTGATTTTTGTTTTTGTAATATTCGAATCTTTTTCTTCTGCGATACGTATTCCGCAAAACCCCATGATTAGTTGCGTACCTACGTGTGTCTCAAAAAATCGGGTTTTGATGAATGCAACATATTAAAATTTACAAAACTCATTAATTCCGCCTAATCGCCATTTCCCTACATTTTAATACTTAGACCATTATCGGCCCTTAATTAACCATGAATTTACTTTTTAAATGGCATTGGAAGACAAGGCGCATAAATGTGCAGTTTTTTTTTTTAAAATATTGAGAGATGAATGATTTCAACTAAAACTATAGTCTTAAAATATAGTATGTGAAAATTGCAATTAAATTTGACACGCGTCCGCGTCATGCGGCGTTATTCCTCAGTGAGGCAGCATAGTTTTCATCCCTCCCTAAACTACAAATCCTCATCGAGCAGAATAAGGATGACGGTGTTGGTAATTCATGTACCCACACGGAGGCGATGGTTGGAGTTCCGCGCATGCGCCCGCGTCACTTGAAAACAAAATCGCTACTAGTTCGCCTTCAAGTTAGGCGACGCAACCCGACCCCACATCGGAGTTAATTAAGTTGTATCAACCGATTGGCTGTACTCTGAATGTTTCTACGTAGCTTGAAGACCTATTAGTTAATTCAAAAGCAGTATTGATAAATTGATAGACACGCGCGGCCACGCTAAGGAAAAACGCCGTATGAACGTTCGAACGTTGCAAAATTCCTCTCGAAAAAGGACGACCCTTTAAGGAGCTATGAATATATTTCATTGAAAGTCTCAGATGACTGAGATCAAATTGCAAACAATTAAACTTCACTGAATATTTGGAAGAAAAATGTTTAGGATCCTCTGAGGAAATCTGAATCATTATTTTATCAAAGGAAGATAATCCGATATTTCAGCATGAAAAAGTGAGTTTAAACTTTATTTCCATCAGAACACAATATGTAATTTTGAAACTTTCAACCGATTCCTTGAAATAGCAAAAACTTCACTTATGCGGCTTATCCTCCGAGCCCCTCAGAGTTAAGTGCAGTTTTCACTTTTTCGAGAAACACGTGTTGGAAGTCTCGAAATTACATAAATATCCTTAAGGCGGAAAGAAAGTTCTAACTGTCTTTTTGTGGAATTTTTGAGCGAATTTGTCACAGAATATGCATTAAGACTAGTTTTACTTGAAATCATTCATATCTCGATTTTTTCAAAAACTGCACTTTTGCGCCGTATTTGTTCTCCAGCCCCCTCAATTAAACTAAATTACTTTCGAAAAGTTTCAAAATCCGATCGCAAGACAGTGTGTGCCTACGAGGCTTTAAGGGTGCCGAGGATGCCAAAATTGATTTGCATTCAATATATTACAATAGTTCAGAACAACTGGTAACTGGTGGGCCCCGATTCTCATCTGTTACCCTTAATAATATTTGGCGCGTGACTCACGAATTTCTAGGCACCACATACACATAGAGAAAAAAAAGGACGTGTTTGCATTTCAGGCATTTTAGACTTTTTTTTATGACGCGGCGGTCGGCATGAAACACATGGCGCCTACAAGACTGCATGAATACATCACGCATTGCATCAAACACACTGCGTTCAGCAGCAGTCGGCTTGAAACGCATAGCGCCTACAGGACTACATGAATACTTCACGCATTGCGCCAAACAGTGTGATCAGCAGCGGTCAGCGGCGTGAAATGCATGGCGCCTACAAGACTGCATGAAGACCTCACGCATTGCGCCAACACAGTGTGGTCGGCGTGGCGGTGGAAGTTAACATTTTTAACCAAATATTTTATGTTTGTTCTTTCATAATTTTTTCGTTCTTTTTTATAAATGGAAGGCCTTGTCCAAACAGGGATGGGTTTACGGAACGGAACTTTTGTTAGTGTTGACAGGGCTTTTACAAAAAATGTTCCCAACACGAGTGAACGCGTCTTATACACCCCTCCCCCACTGGCACGTGCGTTCACTTGATGGTTTTTATAGATCGTATTCGACAGACCGCACAGTTGAGATTATATTGATATCGATCGGTTCAATATGTAACCAAAGCCTCAATAGTAAATTTAGAAATCTGAGGTAACGGGTCTTATGTGATCGAATTTTTATTCTTTCGAGCACCAAATGAACGTATTTCTTTCAAACGGAACTGATTGTAAGCGCCATGAAAAAGCATTGCGAGTAAAGGACGGTATGAGCCCGACGCCCGATTCCGCCGCCAATCCAAGCCCCCCCTCTCCCTTCCTCCCCCGCTGGCGCTTAGTTCCGTTCGACATAAATACGTCCAAATGGCAATGAAAAGTGAAATTGTTGGGAATTTTCTCATTTCCAGCTTTTCCAAATTAAATCCTAAAATTTTTGTTTGAGGTTCTGTTCTATTGATTTGAACCAAACGATACATTGAACCACTGTCGAATACGATCTATTTTATGTTTCAAAACTAACGAGAAGGGGGCAGAAAAATACAGGCGGCCCATGAGCGGCATGTAGGTAAATCCGGCCCTGCACTTCAGTTCAGATATATATTGGAGCAGTGTATACAAAATCGAAAAGTTCAAATTAAGCAGTAAAAACTTACTTAAATATTCGAAATGTTAAAATTGTCAATTTTTCAATTCTGTGAGTAAAGAAAACTTGTTCAATGCCATCAAGAAAATGGTTTGTCATCCAAATTGAGTGAAAATTTTTCCAATGCAAATGGGTTCTACTTACTTGAGTAGTTTTGAGAGCTGCCCATGAAATTGGCAAACGAAATTTTAATAGGTCTAGTATAAATCTTATCTTACCTAATATAAATACATGCAAATAAAATATTTCCGTCAAAAATGAATATTAAGTACCTTGATAGGTTTGATGCATTAACGTCAGTTTAATACAGTGCATAAACTGTAGTGGAATTTCTACAACACTGTCTGTGAAATCCAAGATTTTCCTCAAAATTATGGGGTAATGGAATATTTTAAAACTTTAAATTATTTTTCTTCGAACATTCCGAATTTGTGTATACCTCTACTATTTATGTGAAATGAAATTAATTAAATTTTCCTTGGTTTTTTCTTTCACAGATTATGCATTTCATAACCGTGATAAATGCGCTGAATTTTCCTAGTGAATAACACCAGGGTATTTCTTATTAAAACTTAAGTAGCTATTTCTAAGTAAATTCAAAATTTGGCATAAAAAGAAATGAGATACCTATTGAGGAGAATTAGGAGTGTCCTGATTTGAATCATGTATAAAAACTTATACATGAACACATTTTAAAAAAAATGAGCTCCTCAGCAACTTCGATACCTGATTTCATTCAAACCTTTAGAGCACTTGAAACCCATGATATACACAAAATAAAGTGCACACTGGCCCAACTTCAAAGATTAAAGAAATAAGACTTCAAGATCTAATTTTAAAAAGTTTTATATTTATTTTTAAAAAGTATTTGTGTATCATACAAAATCAACATAGGTAAGACATAAAGGTAATTGGTTACCTTTGACCCGTCCTTTTTTTAACCCTCATTAGAAAAGCAGCTAACATCTACAAAAATAATAAACTCTTAATATGTATTTAAAAGTGAATTTTAATTAAACTGGAATGATTATTACACGCAGATAGTGTATGATGAATTGAGTGAATGACTTGAATGATTAATTTAGTATGTATGAATTTTAAAAAAATCCTCTGCTCAACAAGTGACATTTAAAACTGGTAAAAATCACATTTACTTTCCACTTGATTAGATGACTCTTCTTACATATATTTACAATTGACATATTTTTCTAATCTTCATTAGGAATATGCAGTTCTTCCAGGTACTAATTTTAACTGCCTGTTAGCTGTCTTGGTTTCTTTAAATGGTGGTAATTTGGTAAAACCTTGGCTAGGTGATCTTTCTGGGATGTTTGAGGCTGAAAAAAAATAAAAAAAGGATTTAAATAATAAGCTCTAAACTGAAATGAAAATAAAAGAAAGCAAAAGAAGTTTATTCATTTGTAAATTTTATCATTGTTCTTTTTCTTCCAAGTACTAACTGGGGAATGATTCTTTTTCGTCAGGTATCTCCTACATCCCTTGTTCACTAATTCGATGCAAAACTTTTGTTCAAAATCAGTCAAGATCCTCTCTATTCTAATAAAATCATTTTTAGGACGCTTAATGGACGGGGTGAGGAAGGGGCATAAGACGGTCAATGGGTAGGAGTGAGGAAGGGGAGTTAAAAGGTCAGAGTTTTTATAGAGTTCTTTACTTTGAGAAGCCTTTGTTTAGTCATGGACAGCTATATGTGGCCCTGTCATGGTTGACTTCCAAAAAAGGAATCAAAGTTCTGAGTAAGGAGAAAGTCATTAAAATTATTGTTTGGCAGGAAATTTTTCTTGGAAACATCGTTTTGTTATTCAATTAAAACTGTTTGCTCATTAACCGCCAGCGGGCGATTTCAGCGATTTTCCTGGCTGCTAGGCGGCCTTAGGGGGCTCTCAGCGCCACGACAAGGGATGGGTCGCGTAGCGCCCAGGGGGCAGAGCCCCCTCGTAATATTGTTATTTCAAAGTTTTAAAGTATTAAAAGTCCGTACTAGGTTCACTCTCACATATCATTTGAGTACTACCATGTTTGTAGAATTTTTCTTAAATGACTATGAGGAAGTCAATACATCACTTTATTTAATAATTGAAGTACTTTCACGGCTATTTTCATGCTTTCAACAAGCCAGTAACCATTTTGAATGGTTCAAATTATCAAAAATCAACCATTGATTCAGTTCTGATTTTCATACTTCATTGTTTCTGAACATTTCAAGCAAAATTTTGCACTGTTCCTATGAGATTGCAGATGTACTTGCTAGTTGAAACCTTTCCACAATTTTTCTAGGAGCTCAAACAATATGAACAACTATTATCATGTTTAAGTTTCTGATGTGTTTTTGAGCAACAAAAATGCAACCTAGAGACCTATTCTGTGACATGAAGAAAACTAGCTTTAATCTTACCGCTGGCCTATCAGACATAATTTTTCGCAAATGATTGCTTCCACAAACAGACAAATTTTCTGGCAGTTTTTCAGGAAGAGTTAGTCTGCAAGCAGCGCCAATGAAACACCCATTGCTTATTTCAACTTCAGGCCCAACATAACCTAGAAATTTAATAAAAAAATACTTTCATTATTTATGAGAGTATCCTATGACAAAATTTAAAGCAAAACTTAACACTTGACATAAACATTAGCATCAGAGATACTGCAAAACCAATCATATTATCCACACTTACTCTAAGGTATTCTCAGTCCAGCAATGTTTTAGGACATTTTCTCCCAACTGATATTTATTGCTGAAATCATTATGATTTAGAAAGATGGCTGGAAAGTTTTTTCTTTTCTCCTTCAAAACAATCAGCGATAATGGACGTTAAACTAAATTTTTTATTCCAGTCTTGTGGAGAGAAATGCATTTGGTGTGCCAAAGAGCTTGATGCAAAAACGGCTTTTTTCGCCCCCCGTCTGGAAGTTCTTCAGACTTTGTCTATTGATTACTCATACTTGAGCGCTTCTTTTCCCAAATTTTCAGACCCCCAAAAAATTTTGGGGGGGGAGCTAGGGGGGGTGGAAGTCAAAACCTGTGAACCTCGATATCTCTTGAACAAAGAGAGATATTGAGGTCCGGTTTGGACGAAAAATCGTCTAAAATTGCATAATTTAAGATTCTAAAGGTCAAAATCCCGATATCACATTTTTAAGTCAACATATGTGCTTTTTTCCAGTTTTTAGGTCTAGAAAATTTCTTTAAAACGAAAAATTTACAAAGATCTCAATTTTTTATTTGAACCAAAACCAGTTTTTTAAATTGTTCGTCTTTTTCCGCATCCAACGAGTGGTCCATTAAGCTGGGGAACCAAACGGTTCCGGAGTTATGATCGATTGAAGTTTCCGCTCAACGCGCGCCGACCGATTTTCGCGTGCAAAAAAGTCGGATTTGACTGTTATTAGATCAGATTGAATGTTCAAACTGAGCAAAATGCTTTATTAGGGACTCTTGAGGGGCGCTGAGTCCAGAAATTACAGATACTTCCAAATAATTTACGTTTTTAAAATTACAGCTCCGCAGCGCTATTTTAGAGGCCCACTGAGCGCCGACCGGCCGCTCAGTGGTCCTGTCCGAAGCTGCAATTTAAAAAACGTGAATTTTTTGGAAGTATCGGTAATTTCTGAACTCAGCGACCCTCAAGAGTCCCTAATAAAGCATTTTGCTCAGTTTGAACATTCAATCTGATCGAATAACAGTCAAATCCGACTTTTTTGCGCGCGAAAATCGGTCGGCGCGCGTTGAGCGAAAACTTCAATCTATCATAACTCCGGAACCGTTTGGTTCCCCAGCTTAATGGACCACTCGTTGGATGCGGAAAAAGACGAACAATTTAAAAAACTGGTTTTGGTTCAAATAAAAAATTGAGATCTTTGTAAATTTTTCGTTTTAAAGAAATTTTCTAGACCTAAAAACTGGAAAAAAGCACATATGTTGACTTAAAAATATGATATCGGGATTTTGACCTTTAGAATCTTAAAGTATGCAATTTTAGACGATTTTTCGTCCAAACCGGACCTCGATATCTCTCTTTGTTCAAGAGATATCGAGGTTCACAGGTTTTGACTTCCTTCCCCCCTAGCTCCCCCCCAAAATTTTTTGGGGGTCTGAAAATTTGGGAAAAGAAGCGCTCAAGTATGAGTAATCAATAGACAAAGTCTGAAGAACTTCCAGAGGGGGGGCGAAAAAAGCCGTTTTTGCATCAAGCTCTTTCTGGATGATTTAAGTCCAATTTTCCTCAAGTTGTGATTAAATATTAATTTTGACAGTTTTCCTGGTTGGCTGAGAGAGAGAATCTCCTAATGCTTCAAGCTGTGTTACTGGGAGAATTAGTTTTTAAAGTCTGTATGTATTAAGTTTTTTTCATTTCTTGATTGATATCAAAGGTATATTCATAAACTGAGCAAAATACTGCCTTTTAAATGTTGTAAACAAAAAAAAAAAAAACCAACTTTTTGCCTCCAAAACGTTATTATCCCCAACAGATTTTGCTTCACACACACAGCCTACTTCAAACATGTTGTTATTGCCAACAAAGAGAGTCTGAGGTTCTCCATTGGCATCTGCTGGAAGTCTGCAAAAACATAAACAAAATATGTAAATCTTGACCTGGGAGATTTTCAAACATTCAAAGCAACCTCATCAGACATAGCATTCACATTTAGATATTCGTATGCTAAACAGCAAGATCTTTTATCTGCATGTTGTATAGTATTAAATAAACATTAGTAAGTAGAGAGATAGAAGAATATATTTAATAATATTTAAGTGCTGTACTTATACAAAGAAGTAGTTAATTTAAAATAGTAATGATGAAATTTCCTGAACCTGGGTAAGATTGATGATACACCTGCAATGTGTAAGGAAAAAATTAATAAATCAACATATGAGCCTCTCTATGTTGCTTAACCTCAAAGATAAAGAAGGATGAAAAATACATACTTATTTGCTATGACTGATTGCTCTTCAATAATGTTCCCATCTCCAATCACAATAGGACCGTTTTCTGCAAGGATTGATGCTTTCGGGTGGATTATAGTTAAGGTGCCGATTGAGACTGTGCCCTGAAGTTTTATGTCCTTGCAGACTGTGGAGCCAACAGCAATACTTGCTCTGAAAAATAAAAACGTTGGAAAATCTTCAGTAAGGTTAAATTTATACAAAAAAAGTGCACTGAAACACTGACAGCTACCCACTATGGCAAGTTTCCTCTCCAGATCCTTACAACCAGCTAAGGAGTTTTGACTAGATGAAAGTAAGCTTGACTCAGAACCTCTTAACTTAAACTATGTATGTACCTTCATCCTTTAATGAGATGACAAGGAAATAGTCATTGCCCAGTCAAAAATGGAATTAAACTGATGGGATAAAGAAGTTCATTATCATTAGGCAAAGAGAAAAAACAAACGTAGTTGATCTGGAAATTCTAAAAAAAAAAATGGGAAAAAATGGAATTTCTCAAAGATAATTTCCCCCAAAATATCAATGAATAGCACGGGATAACTTCTCAAGGAAAAATTATAAAATTTTTCTGGGAGGGTTCGTGGGTTCCCTAGAACTCTTTCTGATAGTATAGATTTTTCTATAAGCCCCTCAGTAAGCTGTAAGACAGCTCCTTGGAGGAGGTATGTATACAAAATATTTGCCTAGAGCACTACGAAAGCCCCGCACGTATAGGGACCTTGAGGATAATTGCTCGTGGGTTCCCTAGAACTCTTTCTGATAGTATAGATTTTTCTATAAGCCCCTCAGTAAGCTGTAAGACAGCTCCTTTGAGGAGGTATGTATACAAAATATTTGCCTAGAGCACTACAAAAGCCCCGCACGTACAGGGACCTTGAGGATAATTGCTTCTATGGACATTCAAGTAACTTCGCAAGTCACCTGGATGCAAGGTAATTATGCACGACAAGCTTTTCCTCTATTCAGGCTCCAAAAATCAACAAAACGTTTAGTTGTGTGGGCACCATTTTAGCCTTGTTAGCAAGTTTGAAGCAGAATTCTGATGCTATCATGTTCTATTCTTATTACATACTCTTTCAGTATAAATACTGACCTGGTACAAAGGAGCGACAGAAGCAATAAGTGTCAAATATGACTAAATTAGCATTTGTTTTTCAAAATTCCCTCCAAGATTGGAACATCGCTGACACAAATGCGTGTTTGGTAGATTTACGGTAGTCTATAGCGGTGCATACCTTGATTTTACCTACCTTGACGCAGGTGCACTTAGTTTTCCTAATTTGAGGTGGTTGTAAATCCTATTTTGTCCTCCAAAAACTGGCGAGAGTCCACGCCAAATAGGGTATCGCACCAACGTCACTTTTTCAAATTGAGTAAATGCAAGAATCAAGATGGTGGATTTTAATTTTTTTTTTAGCACTCAATGAGCACTAGGGGTATTCCCTCAAAGAGAAAAAATTTGGCTAACATTGTTGGACAATTCGGCCACTGCAAATAAAAGATATTTTTCAAATACTGAGGTCACAAATATTTGATCATTTCTCAAAGTGTCGCCATCACTCTCTGGATCCTTTGGCTGATAGTGGATCTTCAGTTACAGTCTGAAAGTGCATAAAAAAAAAACTTATTTGGCATCGACTCTAACTGATAGACTAAGAACTCCACCGGCTCTTTTCCTACACATAATAACAATGTAAGTGAAGTTAAGTTTAATCTAAAATGTAGCGATCGATTTTAGGGGCACACGTAATAAGAAATAGAGGGGAAAAAATCATTGAAAGGATGAGAATTCAGAGACTTACTGGTAGGATACTTCTTTTTTGGCTTTCGCACCATTGTCCATGAGGGGAAGAGATGTGTAAGAAAGAGATTGCACGGATACGGCTTGTAAAAAATGTTGAGTAGAGAAGTATTATTATTCCAATAAATTACATTACGTCAAAATTATACAGAGTCAAGTAATTTTCGTTGAGGCCCGTTGTCTCTTATCACGAACGCACCTGTCCATGGACTTGTCTCAGGTGCAATTTGAGGTTATAAACAATGATGACTGTTGAGTGTTCGTTGTGGAATTCTTGTTGAATGGTGATGTACGTGTTTATATTTTGACGTTTCTCTCAAAATTTTCCCACGGTCGGAAGAGTTCGAAGAAACACCAAACACGACAGAAATCTATTATTTTATCAAAATTTCGTGTGATACTTTTAGTTTCAATCGATTATCTTTGTTTCATGTTTTTACCGCAGAGATTCAACTCCGCGAATTCATCCAATTTGATCCAGTTCTCTAGCCGTGTCACCAGTAGCAGTTGAACTCAGAATCTGGAGCAGTCTCAGCCACAATTCAGACATGTATTTGTGCTCACAGTAGCAAATCATACGTATTTCAGCTGTTCTTATTTGATCATGGGGAGTAATATCAGGTAAGTCAAGTAAACCTCCTGTATCTTCAAATTCTTATCTTACTTGACCAGCAATGAGGTAAGCTCTGTCGAACTTGTTAACTTGTTGGTGCCTCAGGCATCATTCGCTGAGCTGAAACTCGATTCCGATCGAGTTTAGGTAAGTTTTGCAATGGACCTAGCATTGGCAAGATCCTTCGCTGTTTTCAAGACTGGAATTTGGTGAAACTCTCCTATGATGGTGCCTTATATCATACATTGGCCTCCGGCTAGTATCTTAAAAACGGTCAAAAAACACTGTCCTGTAATGTCCTACCCATGATTGATTCTGGAGTGAAAAATGTAGGGGAGATCAAAGTGAGACCTAATCATGGCCAGTAAAATCAAATATTTCCCTATAAACTCGCGACTGAGTGAGCATCTATGAAACTCAATTTGTGAATTTTGGTAAGAAACTGGGGTAGCCTTTTTCACTGGTTTTCAATTTATTCGCAAATCGCCTCTAAAATTTATTTCAAATTCATATCTTTAAATTAGCTGGGAAGGAACAGTATGGCTTTTCACATAGCTGTACTCCTTGTCCCTAATTTAGGCTCACTTCCTCATTTTCAATTTTCTGCCTGCAATTCGAATGCTGTGCAATCAATGATCGGTGCTCTATGAATCAATTTTATTTCCTCTTTTTTCAGTTTTTAAAAGCGCAAGTCATGGCAGGCCATGCTGTTGTAGTGTGGGAGTGGGAAAACAGACAAGGCCGCTGGAGACCATACAGTCCGGAAGTGTCACAACTGCTTGAGAGAGCTCATTGTAAAAAACTCACTCGCGTTATTCTCTCAGATGCTGATCCAAATTTGGAGTTCTACTACATCAATTTGAGAACTAAACAGCAGTGCTCAGAAGAAGATGGTAAGTATTTTTTATAAATGCAAGTGAGAATTAAGAAAATAATAATAAGCCCTCAGTCCGTATTACTTTTCTGACTCGTGTCTTTCATGTAACATCGTTACCCAAGTTAGAGGATGCAGCCCAGATTTAGTCTGTAATTTATGAAAGCAGCAAAGCTTACTGCATTGTAATTTTGTACTGTTTGACTTAGTTTAATCATATTTATTTACAAATTTCAGGCACAGTTTACAACGTTAAGCGGACGTTCTATCCACCAGATTCACCAGCGGGGAAAGGTGCTAAGTGGGAGTGGGAAGGAGATATCACAAACGAGTGGCACACTTATGATATGGAGGCTCAGTGCCTTATTGAACAAGCTTGGGCATCGGTAGGTGGCTCTTTTATTATTGGTAGCAAGAGTTGATCATACAATAAACATCCTATGATTTTGGGGTTTTCGGAAGTTTCTGGGGTCCTTCCTTGAAAGATCTAAAAGAATATAACTCAAGAAATATTTTAAGCAAGAGAACTATTAGCAAAATTCAGCAGTCAATGTGGTAGTCGGAAAGACAAGAAACAAGAAATTTTTGTACAAGAAAATTTTGTGGTACAAGAAATTTTTTTTCCAAGTAGTCCAGTTTTTTTCATCAATTTATTTTCTAAATATTTTTCAGTTCTCTAAAAATAGGAAGCAGCATTTATCATCAGGAAAGACACTGAATAGCAAGTTGGTTTCAGAGAAGAAATTAGCAGAGTGCGCTACTTTCTTGTGGAAAAAAAGTTCGAATTTGCTACTTTTTTTGTGAAAGTGGGGTTTCTCCTGCGCGCTTAGTCTTTTTACTGAAAAGATATTTTTGTGGAAGCGAACTTGATTTTTGTGAAAGCAAAGAACTTTTTGCACTTTTGGAAAAATTTAGCTGAATGAATTCTCAATGAAAAGAATGGGGACACGATTGAACTGACCAAAGAATACCATCCAAGTTGCTTGGAGTCAAACATTTTGTAACAAGCGAGGTATCACTGTATAAATGCTAGATCAATTTTGAATAACCTAAAATTATTAAAAAATGTTGGTCGCAAGGAAGTTGTAGAAAGTTGCTTTTATTGTTGTGGCAAGATTTTCAGCATAACTTCAAGCTACTTCACTCTCAATCACTGTTGTCCTAATTTTTAAGAAGCTGTAGTTTTTTAGTTAACTCATACAGGGTTTACCTTACACTGTCCGGGAAATCTAGGGGACTTTAAAATAATGACAGTGCCTGGAAAAAATTGTTATTCAGAGCATTTTAGACATTTTGAACAACAAATGATAAATGCTTGTGTTCGGGAGTGGCAATTTGTATCTATTTCCATCATCTTGCATATCCTCAAATGTTGGGGAATATTACCCATTCGTTGGATGGGATGTGCCAAGGATCTTATTTTCTAAAAGAACCCAGTGACATAGAACATTCCACATAAACTCTGATCCTTCAAAGTTTGGAAAAATGTAACAATCATAGTATTTGAAGTCACATTTTCTTCAAGTAAAGAATTACAATTCATATTTACAGAAAATGAAACTGTTCAATTTTCCTACTATTACATGAATTTTTCAGTATTTAATACCTCCCCTCTGTGTGTTTCATTAATCAACAGGGTGAACAAACAATAGACTTTAGCAAGACATATCTTGGTTTTCCGTACAAATTAAATTTTTGTAACCTAACACAAGTAAGAAATACAACAGGTTATGTGAGGAATATCCGAAGAACTCAACAAGCTCCATACCCTCTAGTCAAAATGCAGCCTGAGGAAGCCTGTCTCATGGCAAGTAAGTAGATTTTGTAGTCATTTTATGCTGAAAAATCTATTTTTGATAGACTCCCTTACTATTTCTATTTGCACTTGAGGCAAATATTAACCATTTAATAATTTGAAATCGTTTGTCTGCATCTATTTGGTGTAAAACCTAGAGGAAACTGCAGGAAGAACTCATTTCTGACCTTGTCAACAGAGGTGTTGAGTATGAGATAATAATTTTTCCTGCGCAAAGTTTCAAAATTTTCATAAATTAAATTTTTTTAAATGATATGTATTATGGTAAGGAAACCACCAGCTAATTTTATTTAAAACTTCGTATATCATTTGCATTCTACAAATTGTCAAGGAGTGCTGACATTTATTTTACTTCGAGGACAGAAAGGCGAAACAAATTCTAACGTACAGAAACCGAGGAATTCTCTTGATGCATCTAAGGTTTAAGGGGCCGTTTACGAAATATGTAACGCTAAATTTTGGAATTTTTAACCCCTTTGCCCCGTTTACCTGGGTGACACTATTGTGACGTAGGTCCCTATGCTTTAACATGTGAAACAAAATGTTGTGGTGTTCCTCTCAGCCCCCCTCCTTCCTATATCCTTACATATATAATGAATATATTATTATGAATATTTTATGAATATATTATATTTTATGAACGTCTCCTAAGGCCTCAATCATAGAGAAAAGTTGATTCAAGAAAAATTCCTATTTGACAATCCTCAGTCCTGGCTTTAAAGAGAAAGCCACAGCAATACTGCCGTGCCAAGGAATAATGCTGCATGAACATTCGAGAGTTGCCAAATTTTCCTTGATAAAACATGTATTTTTGATCACATTCATACTTATTATTCCTTGAAATTTTCAGATATGTTGGATTAAATTGCATACAAAATTGTCTGAAAGTTTTGGAAAATTATATTCGCAATTTTCCCAGTAAATTCGGTTTTTATCAGAGGAAACTCGGCAACGTCTGAAGACTCGTACAGTGTTCTTCCTTAGCACAGCAGAATACCGCCCTTGCCTCCGCCCTTTTCCCTCGTGTACAGTGGGAAGGAGGAAACAAAATCCTCTTCATTGCTTTTTGAATTAGATCGAATTTACGAACTATTGTCTACCAAAATCTCCTTTTCTTTTAGGCCAAAGGATATATCAGCATCCTAACACAAGTAGCTGTTTGCCCGATGGAGCTGTGAAAAAACATCCAAATTTATTTTCTAGCACCCACAAGAAGCATTTGAAAAAATCCAAATTGCCTGCAGATGCGAGTCACTCTCATAGCAACAACATAGCTCGAACAATTTTAAACAATTTAAATATCTTTAGTAAGTATTGATTTATGGCTGCCTCAACACACAGCTGCAACAATTGATGGTATTACTTTCATCATTATGTCAAAATTTTATCATAATCTACGACACAAAAAAGCGGGGCCCAGAAGCAGAGTCAGTGACTCACTTATGGTATTGATGAAGTGTTATATCTTGGGTACATTGGCTAATTCATACAACCCTGGTCAATCAACCGAAGCCTATCAACCCTTAAAGTCCTGAAACAATAGACAAAGTCGCTTTGTGGACCCTGCAATTCCACTTTTCATGTCGTAGACTATAGACCTCATGCGAGGAAAATTAATATTCGTGCTTACATTATTTCTTACCACATGGACAAAAGAGCTCACAAGCAGACTTGGCAACAGCTCTTTCCTTGATCTTCAATCTGCAATCACACTCCAGTCCTGTTTTTCTTCCTTTGATATTGAAAAAACTGCCGGAAGCATTATGTAGTTGATCAACATTTTTTTTTCATTTATTTTCATCAGATGCTAGAATTGAAATGGATTTTACTTTTCAAAATTCATAATTTTTTTAATTATTTGGGGTGCTCAACAGGCATGTTTTCATATCTTATAAATTAGGCCTCCAGAAACTCTTTCTATTATTGTATTTTTTGTAAGTTATCTTTGTAATTGCTTAAATTTCCTCTTTTTTTATACAGGTCATAAGGGTAGCGTAAGTGAACCTTCTCCCCCAGCGAGTGATTCCTCAGTTCTAGATGCCGACTCAAGTAGCACCAAAAGTGGAAGAAGGCCCAGTGTTGATACAGTTTCAACCTATCTTAGTCACGAAAGTGAATTCCGCACCTCTCGTGTAAGTCAGATGTTAATCCACTTTATTTTTTTTTAAAGATGACCCGCATCGTATGAAAAGTTTTAGGACTTGTCTTTTCAAAACTCTTTCAAAGTAAAAAAAATCATCGCTGATTTCCATGAATCATATGATCCCCCTTTTGATAAAAAAATTTCAGTTGACCCAAACATGTAATTCTACATCCAATTTTGCCACTTACAGAGTGTGATTTTCATTTTTTTATACCTACAAAATTTATTTCATTTCTATTTCAGAAGAGTGATTTGTCCCTTATTTTTTACCTAGCCATCTGAGTTTTAGTTTTTTTCTTAAATTGATTAGAAGACTTAGAATTAACATAGTTTTTTTAGTAAATTTCAATCGTTTCACCTCCCCTATCTAACCTTAAGACTTGGTAGTATGCATAAGAAAATTCCTCTGGAGAAACATTGGATGTTTCCTTTTTTAAATTCACCGTAGCTCTTTAAATATTGCTTCAAATTGAAATTTCTAAAAACTATTTTTTAGAGAAAATTTTGTTCTATTGAAAATTCTTAAATCAAACCCTTTTTGACCTAAGAACGTATTCAAGTATTCGTAGAAAGTATTCTACTTTTAAAAGTCTGAATGTGATTTTCTTAAAACTCAACATCTGCCATTATTGCCGATACGGCCTCATAAAGAGAGCCCCTTCCAGCATTTTGAGAATGGAAATGACTCTATTTTTCCAACAATATTAATGTTAGTTACAACCCATTGCTCGAAGCTACTGATGTAACACTTTTGAAGTAAAGCTTTAGTTTAATACTCAGGTATTAATACATACAAAGGATCTCCCCCTTAAAAATAAAGTTCTAATGTTCTAAGGTGCTTCTCACTGAGCTATAATTCTATTTCAGGCTGATCTATTGGATGTCTCTGCTAGCAGTGATGATGTCTTTGAAATCAGAAGCCGACAAGGAACTCCAAGAAAAGGTGCAATTGTTGGTATCGATGCTGCAAGTGAATGTATATCTCAATATGTTGAAGTTGTTGAGAGGAGAATTGAAGAAGCATGTCCTATTTGTCTTGTCAGCTTAACACAGGCACCAGATATTTCTTCCGCAAACATAGTAGTTTCCTTAGTGCGGTGTCGGCATTGCATGCATCTGGATTGCCTCAACGAACTTCTGTCAACTCAACCAAATGCTCGTCAAGTAAGTTCTGCTCGCTACTTGAGTGGCTGATACAACATTTTAAAAATTTTATTTCAGATAATTAAATAGAAATTGGAAATAACCTCACCATTAAAGAATGCAGATGTCAGCTCTTGTTAATACCCCCTTGATTAGGCTGCTTAGATGAAAAGTTATACAACCATCTAAAAAATGTCTTCTTAAAAGTAGAAATGCTTTAATTTTTTTGTAGTTCAACCAAATGGTTATTTGGGAAGCTAACCAATTTAATTTGTTTTTCTTCTCTGTTAAATAGTGGCTGTATATTCAGTGTCCAATTTGCATGACGATTTATGGAGAGAAGAGAGGAAACCAGCCTCCAGGCACGATGGAGTGGGTTACGCTTAGCACGTCTTTGCCAGGTTTTCCTCAAGCTAGAACTATACAGATAACTTATCAGTAAGTATCACCTAACATTTAAGTTTCCTTCATATTTATTGTCAAAAAAATTGAGTTCACACAATAGGAGACGGGTCCGCTATCCATTCATTATTATTAGAGTAAAAATATTTTTATTATTCACTGTTGTTAATTTTGAAGGGTGTGTTCCATTGAAGAGGGTTTTTTTGGCCTGAAAAGTTTGAGGATCCAAGCATGGTAACCTTTTAGTTTAGATCGTAAATCACATAGAAACATCCATATTGGCGGACAAGTTTGTTTGAGGAATTGCAGAAATTCAATGTTCAAAATATCTTTAGCTTACTGAAGTACTGATGAAAACTTGTTTCAATCCTTTTTTAAACTATGGTAGGCATCTCCAGAAATTTTATTATCATACCAATGAAGTTGCACTTAGACGGACAACAGCAGAAAAAAAATTCAATGCTTACAATAATCTGAAAGGAGTGTAGCAATTTCTTTTTCTCTCGGGCCTTGTCTCTGCAGGATGTTTTCCTGCGATTTTTTGCAGCAAAAAATTGCACTTACAACAGTGCAAAAAATATTGACGAACTCAATATTAATTGTAGTCCCAAGTAGGGTCCTCTTGGAGGTCCGAAACTAACTGAGAAGAGGAGTGAAAGCAAATATTGCAATATTTTCTTGTTCACTCCCGTGTTTGTGTTTGTTTAATCTAAATAATTTGTTTCATTGAACTGCATTTTGCAATTAGAAGCTACAATTTCTAGTCCAGTCGTAAAAACTATCATGTGCATAGCGAAGCTAATGGTACTCACGTCATTCACGAACAGATATTGTAGTTTCAAATTGCAAAATGAAGTCCAATTTTTAATTGTCTTCAATTATTATGTAAATTCCGCTTAAATACTCGATTTTTACTAGTTTATCTTTCCGCACCAACTTGTCACCGGAAGGTGAGAGCCCTGCCCCATGGAGATGGGACAGCTGCACATCTCTAAAGTTTTTTGTTAGTGGAATTTTGATGCTGTGACAGATCTCCCTAAAACTCCTTGTGGGGACAAGGCCCTTAGAAACTTTAATTTGCACTAGAAAAAGAGATTTCTTCTGATTGTGTTACTTTTCAATAATTATTGGTGCAAAAACAGCACCTTTTTTTATTTTTTTAAATCGCTTAAGGAAAGAGAACGAAGCACAATTCTAGCAACATTGCAATTTACTTGGTTCTCTTTTAACACGCTCAGTCCACTTGAAGAAGACAAGGAAGAAATTTGCGTTTTGGTGCTTATGTTTTTTTTAACGAAATCTATTTCAAATTTTGAACAAACTTAAAATTATTTTTTTTTTCAGTATTGCCTCTGGCATTCAAACGGCAGAACATCCAAATCCAGGCCGACCTTACTATGCTGTTGGTTTTCCTAGAGTATGTTATTTACCCGACACGGAGAAAGGCCGATTAGTTCTAAGATTATTAAGTATTGCTTTTAAGCGAAGGTTGATCTTCACAGTCGGTCGCTCAGTCACCACTGGACGCGAAGATGTTGTAACATGGAACGATATTCATCATAAGATACGACTGGATGGCCATCCTGATCCAGGATATTTGGATCGATGTCTTGAAGAGTTGGCAGCTCACGGAGTGTTTGACTATAATCAGATATATCAAGAACTGCAATGAATTTGATTTGATTTTTATTAATTTTTCATTATAAAATTATCTTGTTTATCTTTCTTGCCATATCTTTATTTTATTGTTCTGTATGTAACTATTTCTATTTTTATTTTTCTATCATATATTTACCTTTAAAATTTTGTTTTTTATATTTTTACATTTTTATAAAATTAATTCGAGAACTGTGCAAAATATATTTATATTTTTTATGAAAATTACAGAATTTGTCTCCTTTTTTACACCTTCTTGTTCCTTAATTTCAAAACTTGAAATTCTTTAGGGATTTAAATGTGTCATGTACCATATTCCAAAAGGATCCCACCAGTGGCCGGTCGGCCCTAATTGAAGCGCTCGGATGCGGAAAAGGCCTTTCCTTGTCGCAGTGTCTCAGGATCTCTGTTGACGTTTCATCTACCATAATATCTACCTAATTAAAGCAAATGCATGGAATTTGTCCATACTTTTACTGAATTTTCTTTATGATTCTACAATGATGAAGACTAAAAATTTCAGGAAATTCACCCCTAGTTTCCTCTCTAGAATATTAATTAGCAGTAGAGAGTCTGAAACGCCGCAACCATAAAATGTCCTCTCTGCACCCAATGCCTCAATTAGGGTGGATCTTTGGGTTTTGCATGATGCATTCTGACATACCTACGATCGATATAATTTAAATTTTAACCATTTTGGTGGGTCAGCTTGTGGAAATCGAAATTTCAGTCATTAGATCAATCATTAAGGAATGTTTAAGCCGAAAATCATCCTCCTAAATCTTCAATAAAGTCAAAAATACATTTCCATATTGCAACTGCAATTTCAACGAATTGTCATCGATGGTCAATTGGAAACACGTCTTTTAGTTTTGCTGTAAGATTTTGGAAAATTATTTTTGGTTCGATTATTCTTCAATGACACAGACTGGACTTTTGATTTTCGCTAAGTAGGTACTACAATCCATCTATAAATCAAAATTTGAAATCTACAGAATTACAGATCAAACCGAGAAAGCATGCGCGAAAGATGAGGATCCACGTTTATCAAAAAAGCCGTCGCGGCGTTGCCGCAGCGTGCGTAATTAAAAACTTAACTGCACTGTTGCACTCAAACTGCACTGTAAGCAAGTTCTCATTGGACCGAATCAGGTTCAGGAGATGGCTGCCTTCCCTCCTCCCCTCCTCCTCCTCTATTTTGTCCTCAACTCCTCACTCCTCATTCATCCTGCGATTTTGCCCCTTGCGTGCCGCGAGTGCCGGGACTGAGAAAAAGGTAAACAAAGAAAGAAAAAAACCGATTGAACGAAATACGAAATTGCTTTTTAAGTTTGAAGTGGTTACAGGCAGAATGTAGTGGTGTTTGATGTCATTGCATGTAGTAATCATGACCCTCCAGAAGATTCACAATGTTGATGCTTCATCCAGTGACTTATCAATTATTTTCAATGCAGCTCAGCAGTCTTTGGAGCAACCCATTTGTGTCCGACCGATCAACTGTGCTTATGGAGCCAATTTTTTAATAGTCGTGAGTATAGATTCACTTATCTATTGCATTATCAGAGTAGCTCAACTGCCCAAGCTTGACAAAAACAAAACTCACACAAAATACTGATTGAACATGTTCCATGCCATGAGATTGAACATGTTCAATGCCATGAGATTGAACATGTTCCATGCCATGAAAAGTGAGATTGAACATGTTCCATGCCATGAAAAGTGAAATTTGAGGGGGCTGACCTCAGATTCCGCATCTAACTACTCAAAAATTGCTCCAGTTCCTTTATCCAGTGAGCCATTGGCATAGGGTGATCCTATTCCTAACGGTCCCTTACATTTCTGTTTGGCGACGCAACCAGTAGCTATGTCAACATACCCATATATGTATAATTACGTATATGTATAATTGCCTGTGAACTGCATAGAACCAAAAACTGGAGGAAAAGACATTGACAGTTGTTTGCTAAACTTTAGAAAGATGACAGCAGAGAATGTAAGCTGTTGATTAAAGTGTGGCCTCAAAACTAAATGTATTAGGAGTTCACTTTCAAGGCATCAAATTATCACCTGATTTAACCCATTCACCTTGTTTGACGAGTATACTCGTCAGCGCGTGCGCGGGACATATCTCAGTTGACGAGTTGATTCGCAGCATCTATTGGCGTTGCTATGCGATTTTTTTGGCAGTGTTTTTTCACTTTTCCGATAGATGGCATCTCAAGCGTCAAAATGGCGAAAATGGCGCGAAGTAACTCGTCAGCTGAGATAATGTCCTAGGCGCCCGCTGACGAGTAAACTCGTCATGTGAGGCGAATGGGTTAAAGGGGATGGCAACCCTAAAATTGAAAATGAGATAGTATTAAAAACTGAAGCTGGTAGGTCTAAGAAGCAACATGGCTCTGTCCCGAATGAAAAATTTGCAAAATCGGCAGAGATATGAAAGATTGTAAGTCTGATTGGTGACGTCATGCGTTCCTGGTGCAACTGCGGTTCACTTGCACACAACTCGAGGCCTGGCGCGTTCCCTGTCTGGCGCCGCAAAGTTGTCCTAATAGTCACACCGAAGCAAAGAAAAAAGAGTCGGCCAGAAACGAGCGAGATCGGGGCGAACTAATAAATTTTTGCGAACACGCGTTGGCCACTTGACACTGGAGACAGTATGGAGAGCGCAGACTGCGAAACACAAGACGGAGCTTATGATGTCACGCACACAGCTATTTTTTCGCATCAGCAGCTCAACGAATGGAGATATTTAAACGGATTTTGGCATCGTTCATTGCACACTTTTCTTCGTCGATTTAGCCAAGCTTGTTTTTAAGGTTGCTCTCTCCTTTAAAGTCTGATACAGTATTCGAAACTAACCGTCGAGTTTTGGGAGCCATTAGACTCATCAAGCTCGATTTTTAGGGGCCAAATTGACTGTTTGCCTATATATTACGGCGCATGTAGTGAAAAGTTGGAATCTGGTGCCGTGCATCGAATTTTAAAAAAATCGCCAAACAGAAAAATTAGGATTTTCTATTTAAGGGGGGGGGGGCAATTTTTAGGGGTCACGTTGACGCAGAGCCTTCATTTTTTAGGCGCCAGTACCGATTTCTTGGGCGCATTTGGCGCGTTGGCGCCTGTGAGTTTCAAAGTTGGTCTGATAACTTATGAAGGAGATAGAAACTAAAAAACGCTTACCTATTTTATAGATTCATTTTCTATTTGTAGAACTGCCGCCTCTAATTCTGTTTCTGAAATTCATTTTAAGAATAACATTTTCTTGGAGTACAGAAACCTATTTTCTTTCAAATCACTTTTATTTATCAAGTGAGGAGAGTGTATAGGGTGGTACTGACAAAATTGAGAGTGCACTGATCCACTGATCCCTACATTTGGATGTACAGTCCAGAGAAATAGGTTGAAATTTGGCAACAATGCACCTCAGAAGAATTTCTAAATGGTCATTGGTTATAATTTGAAAAATTTGTTAGTTTCAGTGGCCATTCAACTAAATTTCTAAAGGACTTTACCTAGACGACCATATTTTTATGAAGAGTCTAATAAAAAATGTTCTCATTAATGGTGACCACTTAAGTAAAATGATGTGGGACTTTACCTTAACATCGGTACTCCAATGAGTTGACTTGGTTACTGGTTGTCAGGAACATAAAGGGCTTTTTTTTTATCCGAACCGCAGAGGAACTTGGAACGCATCACTTTTTTATCCCGTTCCACTGGCGTGTTCCATGTGTTCCATGTGCTTGGACCGCTCTTCCAAGGTGGGTTGAGGTTGGTTGGGGCCACGGTTAGGCCGGTTGAACCAGCCCGAACTGCTACCAACACGTTCCATGCGTTCGACGGATAAAAAAAAGCCTTTAAATGTTGCCATGGCTGTCTTTCTGAAGTTCTCAAATGTTAAATCAATGATTGGCCCATTGGTTATTAACTACATATGTTTCTGTTACTGTTGTGTTAAGTAAGTAAAGTTAAATAGTTGATTGTAAATGGAAGAAAAATAATCTCTCCCACCAACTTACCTTTTACCATTTTGATGTGTTTCAGGGACATATCCATACTGCGCATGATCTTATTCAAAGGACGCGTATGTGCAGCAAAGTTTTATATGTGCAAGATGGTAAGATTCTTTCTCTTCCTGTAGATTCACTGCAAAATATGTTGATTGACTTTTAGATCAAAACATAAAAGCTGCTTTCTTGATGCTTGCATCTCTTTTCAATGCATCAGTGGAGACAATGTACCTCTGTTGCACCCTGAAAGTCTTTTAACTTAAAGGGTGCGGTCAGGGATCGGGAGCTGTAGTTTCTATTTGCCATGCTGCTATGTAATTTCTATTGGATAGTATCATTCCTAAATATATGTTGTTTGATTCTAGGAAGATTTTTGGTAACATTTCAGTCCAAGTTTTTAGTTAAAGGGACAAATGCAAAGCGCATGCGCATCGTTTTTTGCGACTGCAAACTGAGTGTTAAGTAAGCAAACTTTTATCGAAAAGTCTTTATGATTTCATGGTGTTTTCAAGAAACAATTCCAGAAAAATTGACCAATAGTTGCCCCACTAAAATATAAAATAGGGGAGACTCTTGACACTTTACCCCTTCGCACCTCTGAAGTGCCCCTCCTGCACCCATTTGTTGTTGAAAGTTTACCTATCCACTTACTTACTCTTTTTGCCTAGTTTGCGGCTCCCCCCCCCTGTTTTTGCTCTTTATATGCAAACAAATGCAACTTTACATAAAAATTACCATTTTTAAGTTGAAGGAAGTTGGACTTCCCATTTCCAAAATCTGTTTTCAAAGTCTTCCCATATTTGCATGCCACTGACTGTGATCCGTCAGTCGGGTGGTCGTGAAGTTTTTACCCCCTAAGTTATCTAGTCAGCTGCTCAGCCATTTGATCGGTTTACCAATTAAATGTTCATTTGATCAATGTTTCAGCAAATTCTAACAATTTATTCCGTGTAATACTCCTGAATGCCTGTGCAAAGGAAGCCGAAGAGGCAGGTGTGAAAGAGATGGATTTGGTTGCGTTCTTGAATCCTCGTCTCTCTCCTCATCCCGCTCTGGAGTGGTCCAGTTTAAAAGTTTACAGAAAACAAATAATATTTCATGACAAAAACAAGGCGTCACCTTCTATGTGGCTCTATCAACAGGTGAGATTTTTTTTGCTTACTACCAACACAGCCTCACAAGATTGAGGTAAACATAGGTAAAAATCCTGGAGGCGGTCACGCTGCATGTCATTTTCAAAACCCTGCACCTCTGTCATTTTTTGAGCTAGAGAGCTGTTCTTGGTCTTAAAATATTGGTAATTATGTCTACTTTAAGCACACACAAACCAAAAATCAATTGCTGCTTTTGTTTGCTTAAAACCTGGAAATAAGCAAAACTTTTTGAACACCCTAATCCCTAATAATTTGCCAGAAGTTGTATTGGAGATAAAACAAATTATAATGTGGAAGTTGCCATATTGAAAAAGTCTGAAAAGAAAGTTACAGGGTTGGAAAACCTTGATTGCTATGACCCATTCTATAAAGATGTCAGTTAAGATCAATGCGCTTAACAGGGCGTTGCCATACTTATTCTGAAGAGTTTACATTTATCTATCAGTACTCGGAAGTAGTGGACTAGTGATGCATCAGGATGCATGTTATAGAGTGTGATCATAAACTTGTCTTGTCAGGGGTATATGGTGTGAATGATGATGCTTCTATCAGGGTGAAGACCAGTTCTTCAAGCAACTTAATGATGAGGTTCTTAGGGTGAGAAGGACAAGGGAGATCATACTGCTGTGATAGCAAAGAGAGCAAGCAGTAAGTGCAAAACTGAAGTTTCGAGAAATCAGGCTCAGAAGCTTCTGACCGGAAAATTTTATTGAAAGAAGCCTCCTTTCTTTCTCAAATTGCCACTTATCATCCGAAAGACTCCTAGAAATCATTTGGATGATTTAAAACGGACTGATTTTATTTCCATTACATAACATGGGTATTTGTCATTTTCATGGTAGTTATTGTTAGGCAAGACAGCCGTAAGCGCTATCCTCTGCATGTTTTCATAGTTGCGTTTTGGAGACACAAAAAACACATCTTCAGGTTAGAAATTCACAGGAGAGGGCGGCACTTTACTTGGAAGCACTGTTATCATTGGCTCTTTGGAGAAATATTGTCACTCATTGCTGTCTTGCCGAAAACTACATCATTTTTTGAGCACTTACAGCTTTCTCATTGTCTCGTTTTGATACAATTAAGATGAATTTTCCTGTTTTAGCTATTTCAGTGATTTCATTTAAAAGAGTTTAGACGAATTTTGAAGGGTTTCTCTATAAAACTCGATTTCGAAAATTTGACACTTACTGCACTCTTTGCTATCACGTAGGGTATTTGAATGGTAAAATCGGACAAAGGATTGGCTCCTAAGTTGTCGGACATCTTAATGAAGAAGTTAGGAATAAAAATGGTATATGCATCATTAATTGATGCAAACAAAACGAGTCGAGAGTATGGAATGGAATCTTTATCCATCAAGATATCCATCATCAAACATTATATGATTGTGATATCCATAAGTATACTTGGCTTCAGTTATCTCTAGGATCAATGTCAACAAAGGTGAACAAAGAGGATTGACCACATGGTCGCCAGACTAATTGATACGATGAAGGCGCAACACACGAGAGTTTGCAAATTCTCCTTTGGTTATCTGTTTTGCTGGATGGCCTTTGCTGTAATTCCATCTGCAGGCTTCGGACGGTCATCTGAATTACTTTGTCTGATCTTTCTCTTCTCCACATATTTATGAAATCATCTTCCCTTTGTATCTGCCTTTTTCTTTACACCCTTCTCTCTTTTTGTTTAGGTTCAATGTAACTTTGTCCGGCGTAATTTAATAAAGAACAAACATCACTTTCCGGAAGATGAAGTTGACAAAGACCTTGATCCTCCTCCCGCCAAGAAATTATTATCAAGTAAATCACAAGGATGTGGCTCATCAAGAACTTCAGCTTCTTTGGAGAAAGGGTTAAGTTCAGAAACAGTTGAGAACACCGCAACAGATTGCAGCGTTCGATTGCAGCCAACGAATCAGAATTTCACAGAAACTCTAAGTACAGAGTCTGTTAATTCCTCCGTGACTTTTTCCAAAAAAGTACTGCCTGATAGTGTTCAACAGTCTGTTGGTTCATCAAGTACTCAAAATTCTACTTCAGTTGATCTCAGGTCTAAAATAGCCGACAAAACCTTGACTGATTTACAATCATATCCAGAATTAGTAGGGACTCAGCCCAAAAATCATGATTGCTTGCAAAATCATCATTTAAAACCAGTTCCAAAGCTTTCTCCCAAAGAGATATCGTCAAATAATTGTCATTCTTCCATTGGATCATCAAATACCTCAGCTTACTTTAGCCCTGAAACAACCGAGAACACTCCAGCAGAAATTCATGAGGCTCAACTAGTTTTGGAGCTATCCGAAAATAATAATCGCCGAAAAACTCCTAATACAGAGTCAGTTTTATCTCCTGTGCCTTCTTCTAAAATATTGCCAACTAACATCCAACCTGGCATTGACTCATCGAATACCCCAGTGTCTTGCAATGTTGATTGTAGCTCTAAAGTAATTGAGGACATCTCAGTAGATGTTCAGGTGTCCAGGCAAATGGTTGGAACTCAGTCAGTGGTAGAAACTTGTAGCTTAGGGTCTGTTGTTTCTCCCAAGGAAGTATTGTGTAGTGATGTTCAACCCTCTGTTGGTTTATCAAATATTTCATTTTCTAGCCCAGTTGATTGCCGGTCTGAAGTTGCCCAAAATACCTTGACTGATATTCAGATAAATAAAAATCATGATCGCTCAGGAAATCATCATTTGAAACAAAATTTCTCTTCAAAAATTTCTTCGATAACTTCTACCAAAGATAAATTGACCAATGATGTTCAATCTTCTGTTCACTTATCAAATACTTCAGCTTCTTGTTCAGCTGACCTTAGCGCTACAGCAATTGAAAACATCCCAGCAGATATCCATGCGACACAACTACCTGTAGAAAGCCAGTCCAGAAACCACGGTCGCCGAAAATCTCTTGATACTGAGTTGTCTCCATTTTCTGTGCCTTCTTCTAAAGTATTGCTAAGAAATCCTCAACCTGGCATTAGCTCATTAGATGCTCCAGTGCTGTGCTCTGTTAACCTTGATTCTGAAGCAATAGAGTCAATCTTAATTGGTGCTCAGGTGTGCCAACAACCTTTACAAACTCAATCGAAGCAGCATGATCAGTCAAAAACTCATCATACTAATTCAGCTAGCTCTCTAGGAAAAAACAAAAACAGCACTTCACAAAATGAACAAACAAGGCTAGAAACCAATTGCAACAAAACTAATGAGTGCCCACCAAGAATAACAGACACGATTGTACATGACGGGCATCAGAACGGAGAAGTAACGTCAAATGATTGTTCCTTGACTCCTCGGTATCCATTCGATTTCAAGCAGTTAGCTCATATCAAAGAAGGAGAAGTTATTCATTCAGTCGTTGTAATTCAAGCTATAAAAGTAAGTATACATAAGATATCCCAAAATGATCCTGGTTTCATTTGAAAGTAGACAAGAATCAATTCTGCAGAAATTTACTTATTTGAACATAAATTGACGAAGTTATGACAGTTTGTATAAGGGATCCGTGGCAACAGTCCACGGTTGTTTTAAAACAATTTTCTCTTACCAAATATACAGCTTGAAAACATTTGGCTTTAAATTGTTAAATTGGTATTAATGAATTGGTAATGCTGAAATGCTGGGTGGAGTCTCAGCAGTGTTTTTTTTTTTTTTTTTTTTTTTTTTTTTTTTTTTTTTTTTGTGCATTCGTGTCTCAAGCAGCTTCTCATCGTGGCTTCCGCCCTTTTTGCGAATATTTCTAAAAACTCTTCTGTTCTCCATTGCCTCTTTGTTTTATTCATGTCCAAGCAAATATTTTTCAAGAAGCACAAAAAAGCAATAGCTGTAGCCAGAGAAATTTTCTGGGGGTAGCTTGTCCACCGCTTTTTCATGAGGGGTCTGAGTCTTCTCAGTACAAGACAAGGGTATAAGGAAATGTAAGCAGGTTTTGCTTGGAAAGTTTTCTCTCGGGTGCATTTTAAGACTATTCTTGCGCCAACTGAAGGCTCAAATCCACGCATAATCCTTTAAGAACATTTCAAACTTTTTTCTTTTTCCCCATTGTATGCAATGAATTGAGAAAATCTACCTAGTTTGAGGTTATTATCTGATGTTCAGATTTTTTTGGGAGGGCCAGATGACACCATCTCAAATTCTATGGGGAGCAAGGTCCTCTCTGGTCCCTCATGAATTCCAATGGAAAAACAATTAGAAGCCTCACAAGACGTTACTTCACAAAAATCAACAGGCGCGGCAGAAATTCATCCATAGTTTTTGCAATACCAATTCATTCATTCATAGATTTTCGCATCGTTACCATAGTAACTTTACCAGTTATGTGAAAATTTGGCAATGTTTTTGCAACATTGTTTCGAAATAACTGGTATGTCCTCGAAATTTATTACGACTGTTGTGTACATTTGTTAACAGTTTATGCAGTCATGCAGTTTAAGCAGACCAGGGGACAGGAGTTGTGGCGTTTTTAAACCGGAGGCACATTATCTAGTAAACGCTCTCATCCACTTCAGTCCATTGATTAAAGACCGCTCCTTATTTTACTGTATTAGAGCTGAGTAAGGACCAAGTATAAGGTCATAGAGTTGTAATAATTTGCCGATTCTTCGCTAGAAACAGATAAATTTGCTCCTTGCATCTACTCAAAAAATCACTCAATCATCCCTGTACAATTAACTTAAGCATCATATACTAGTTTTTGCTATACATTGCCTCATGTTATCATTTCAGAGGATAGAGAAAGGGATATAAAATCCATAATGTAATATATGTTACCATTGCCAAGTCTGTTACTTGCAAGTACACCTACTGCTCTCTCTTTTGATAATCCTAAATATAATTAAAAAATAAGTATGTATATCTGTATCAGCCAATGTATTATCTTTTGCTTTACCGAATGAAAGTCTAACAAGTGAATTTTCTTTTTCTGTCCTGTTTCAGACACCAGTTTTATGTAACTCTTGTACTGCACTGGTGTCAGTTTGCGTGACGGATGAGAGCATATTTCCTGATGTAATGGATATTACAATAGTAACTCATGTTGAACTGAAGCCTTTGCTGAAAAAGGATGATATCGCAAGATTTATGAATATACATGTAAGTATGTTAAAGTACTCTCTCAAACAATGAAAAAACTAAAATTAACATAACTTGCGAATTATTATAAACCTGGAAGAAATTATTCTGTCACTTCTTTAATAAATATATGCATGCATTGTAAGAACTCATCATAAGATAATTTGAGGATTACAGTTATCAAACTTTGCTCAGCAACAAAATGCTGTAAAAAAATTCGCTCTTCTTCAATCTTTTGCCATCTATATTGTTTTCTAACTACCTGTTCAATTTGATCTTATTGATCTCTGATTTGGTGAATGTTTATTGATTTAATTCTTAAATTTTGGCCGTGCCCAAAAATTGCTCATTTTTAAGTCCAAGTTAAATAAATTCACGGAGTTTTAGAGTATGACAGAGGATGCAACGCCTTAATTCTTTTGTTTACTTTCAATGCCAATCTGAAGATAGCTGATATTTTGTCGCACTCAGTAAGTGTATGAACTTATTTGGCGTGGACTCTAACTGAGAATATCTCATGTTTTTTTGTTTTTCTTTCAGCCCACTCAGAAGAAAAGTTTTAGTGAAGGAGGGAGAGGGAAGAGTAATGTGGGATGTTTGAATATTCGTGCATGAAGTATTGATACAGCCTTACTTTGATATATGTTTCATTTTGTTAGTTTATTATTTTCTTGTACACTCAACTAATCCTGGCCAAACTGCTCAAAAACATTACAGATAAGTTCGGTAGATGGTAAACTAATAGGAAAGGTATTTTCTGGTGATGATGTTGGCATCTACAAAAGTCCAGAGGAAGTCTCAAGTTCTGGAGGCTTCAGCCTAATTAGACATTGCACTTTTTCAGGTACTTCAATGTTAATTTTTTTCAATATATTTGCCTTCTAGAAGAACTTAATAGAGCCTTCCGAAAGAACTTAATAGAGCCTTTATTACTTTTATGTTTTGATAATTTTTTCTCTGACTTGGAATTTTTTTGTTTCCTCCGTTTAAATCTTTAGACTTTGCTTTCCTTCACGCTCATAAGCTAGCTTTTGAAATTACTAGCTTTTTTAATTTATGGTTTTACATTATGGCAAGAAGCAAAATCAGAAAAAAAGTAAAGAGGTCACAAATTGTGAGGGCGTAGGCGATTGTCACAAAACAAACTATTACTTTACAGCACAAGAAAGCATCAAACCTAATGAAAATCTGTACATCTATGTAAACCTCACAAAATTCCTGTATCTCTCTTTGGGAATTTTGTACCTTTTAAGAACAGTTTTAACTTTAGTTAGTATTCAATTCGCTGATTTTTCTTCTTCTTCTTTTTTTTCTGAGGTATTCAATTTTCTGTATATACCCTCTATTTTTCTGGATATAAATCAACTAACTAACTTAACAGTGGGTTGTTCATGTTTTTTGCTCAAGGAAATTAATGCTTATATTATCAATTAATTAAAGGTAGTTGTATAGGGTTCCCAGGTTTAGTCGCAGCATTTTAGGGGGAATTCCCCAAGTCAAAATAAGTTTTTTTTTCCTCTATAAACATGAGTACTAAAGTTAAACTCTTCGGTGCTACAACCACCCAAATTCTTAAAAATATATCAGTTTTTCAAATTTTAGGGACAACTTTGGATTGACTGTCATAAAAATTTGTAGCTAGTAGTAATTTTTATTGCCAAAACCAAATTTAAGGTGATTGATGATATGCGTAAGTTTTTGGGGGAGTCTCCCTATAAAGGGACGCTGTGCTGCTTGATTTAAGCTATTAGATAGACTGAGTGAGTGTCGGCCTGTATGTAAATTCCCCTGATCTTTTTTACGTAATAGTCCTCTTATCCAGAAATCATGACTTGCCAACGCTGGGCAATTTTTCTTTTTCTCCTTTTTCCTGCTTCTTGAATGAACCAATGAATCAGTTAAAGATAAGATGTGAAGTTAGGACTAAGTGAATTAAGAGACAGGGGAAAAAATTGCTAAGTACTGTCGAGTCATGATTTCTGTAGAAGGAGAACTACGTGCGATAAAAAATCAAGAGAAATTATGTAGCGGCTGACACTCATCCTGACTGTCCTCAAGCCCAAATCAACTAGCACATCGCTCGTTTTGAAGGGGCATAGCTGAACTTCAACGCTGAGTATCTTGGTAATGCTTAGTCATGGAAAAAAAAAGTTCGGAAGACTGCTTTGTTGTACTTTTTCACGTTGTATCTTAATCTATGGTCTCAACTGCAATCCCCCTTGTGTGAATACCGAATTTGAAGCTTTTAAATTGATTTCCCCCCAAAAATTTAACTCTCTATAATTTAAATTTGGCACAAAAAATTACCTCTTACAACAAATATTCATGACGATCAACACAAAACTGTCCCTAAAAGTTTAATGTAGGAATTAACTTTAGAACCCACGTTTAAAGGAGAAAAAATATCTTTTGACCAAAAGAATTGCCCCCTGAAATCCTGCTGGTTAAACCTTGGACCATCCTGTAGATTCCATGGAGACAAATAGAAGGTGGTTGCAGGTCAAGTTGTGTTATGACTTGTCTACACCACCAAGAACAGACAATGTTGAGAGGATCAATAAAAAGGAAGTGAATATGAAAGGGGAAGTAAATTAATTGTTGTTTGAAGAGGAGAGAAAACTTTCTCTTTGTTTAGGATTGTGATGTCATGTAAAACAATTATTTAAAAGCAACCTCCTTCTCTTTTTCTCGGTGGAGTCCTGTAGCAAAGGCTCCCCACACCAAAGAAAGACATCAGTGGCCTAATAATTGTGTGAGTCGTCAAGTGGGAGGGAAGATAAGTGTTGACCACAGACCCCACCCAAATGAACTTTTTACCAAATATGTATTGTGAATTTTCAATCCTCTCTAACCCTAAAGTGAACTTTTCATACTACGCTGTACTAACTCTTTTCTCCGCTATTTTTCTGAATAGATCCCATATTGGCAAATCTATTGAAAGCCCAGTTCCCTCTCTGTAATGATTGTAAGTACATTTAGTCTGCATAGGAATTTAAGCTCTAATACCGAGAAAAATGGAAAATTTTATAAACCTCCAAACCTTTTAATATAGAGTTAACTTGTTTAAACATAAATAGCAAGACTCCAGTTTTCAGTAGAGAAATGCTACACAAATGAGAAAATTTTAAATTTTCCTGGCCTGACTTAATGCAACAGAAATTAAATTGTTCCCATGAAAAACTATTGGGAAGAACTTCCAACACCTTAGAATAAGAGACAATTTTAAATTCCTAATACATTTTGCCATCCCTCTTGTATTTAGCTCGTCCTTAGTGGAACTTGCTTGACCTAATGCCTACGTTCATTTTATGCATCATTTTTCTGGCATCTTGCATCTTGCATCTGCATCGGTTTTGTCTACAAATTTCTTTATAGCTTACTGCCTTTCTTTAAACCGCATTTTTGTAGCTTTATGTCATAATTCTAATTCTTATCATCTTTTCATTCAAGCTGCTCAAGCAAATAAATATCTATTTTTTCCCCCGCATCCAATTTCAGATGGAGATTCTGTAAGATTCTCAAAAATATCTCAGTGGCAAAAGCAAATAAAAACGGAAGTAAGAGCACAAATGCTGGAAGTGTTCGGCGAGGTTTCTGATGATGATTTCACTGATATTGAAAATGACTGTGAGGGGAAACGGAATTTTTGTCATGAGACAACCATTGAAAAATTAGGAGGTAATTTTTCAACCAATGAACCTGAGCATTTGATATGCTCAGAACTCTTTGTCTTTGACTCATCTACTCTCAATTTTGATCAACTCCTCAACCTTAAATGCAAGGTAAGAAAGTGACCATTTTCCCATTTTATATTAAGGATGCTTTACTTGGACTGAATTCGCAAATATTCAGTGTAATCAGATGTATCATGATGTGTAAATTGAGAGATATTAGCAATGAAAATATTTTATAATTAAATAATAATAAAAACTTTAAATCTACGATGGTATTACATGAAGTTGTGTATGTACTTTGAAACTGTGACTTCCCTTATCTATTCGATTAACCAATCAAACTATTTAAAGGAAGTTGGAGCTCTATCCTACGTGACTGCTTGTGGTGGTGATCCTTGGAAGAAAGGGATATCCTCAGAACTAATTATCCCTGCAAACAGCCATTGCTTATTTCTACAGATTCACTTGTTCCGAGACCTTAAAATTAGAAAATAGATAGATAAAAAATTTTATCAGAAAGAAAATTAGATATTATATCAAATAACTAAATACTAGCTCTGGAAAGGTCATTAATGTTAACAATTAATTAGATGCTTTTACATGAAAAGGAATCCATCTTGATAGGGAACCTATTATGAGTAGGTTTCCTTTACCTGAATACATCCAATTACTAATGCCATTGTTGAATTTAAAACCCTTTTTTTTTGCCTTAGGTACATGAACAACCAATATCAATAGAGGTCATTTGATGCTGATTTTGTTTATGTTTTTACTAATGCCTAATAGAACCTCAATAACTTTAATATTTTGAAAACTGGAGGAAGCATCCTGTTTCTTTTAGAAGAAATCCCAAAGTCCTAGCAATTTTAAAAATCATTTGCTTTCCTCCACTTGAAAAAATCATGGAGACCTTACTTTTGAAAAATCTTTATATGCGTTCTATTGTCTTGCTCCTAGTGAATCATCAGGCAGTGATCCTTAACAAGAAGTTTTCTGTTAGGGATCACTGCCTGATGACTCACTTACATACTAATGATATTAATTATTTGTCTGACTTTGTCTTTTTCTTAAGACATGAGGATTAGAGTCCACGCCAAGTAAGTTCATGCACTTTTAGAGAGTAACAGAAGATTAGCTATCTTCAGTTGAGGATTTAAAGTATATGCAAGAATCAAGATGGTAGATCTTCAGTTGCAGTCCAAAAGTGTGTAAACTCATTTGGTGTCCTCTCTACCAACTGCAAGATGGGCAATCCAGTTTCTTTGTCCTACTTTATAAAAACTTCCTACCTTTTCTCTGTCACAGGTTTGTAACATTTATTATTTACGTAGTAACAAGGCTGTAATTCATGTTGAAGCAAGTAGTTTGTCAAACAATAAATGTAGTTCTCCCAACATACCTAAGAAATCAGTCATGAAAAAACTACGCAGATCTACGGATTGGATTAAGTATTTAATCACTTCAAGATTTACCGATGGATCAATGTTTTTCTTTGTGGAGAGTCTCTCAGCGCCACCCATTGTTCATAATATAAAAGTGAGTATCACCTCTTTCATAATTTTGGAATGGGTCGGCTACACATGAAACAGGATCTCTCTCGTTTTGATCGTCACAGCTCATAGAAAAGTGGAAAAATAATAAGATCCGTCCAAATGTCAAGTTTCTATTTTCATATCGATGGAGGTATCTTTCCTCAGAAACTAGTTGATTGACATCATCCACCGCAAGAGTGCAGGAGCATCGGAGCAAGATGCGTGTGTTTGCAGTGATTGCTTCAGCTCCATCATTGATGAAACCCTGGTGGAATAAATCATGGTATGCACTACTGCATAGGATGATAATGATCACTAAATTTTTGAAGGGCAGTATCTCAGTTTTATTGAACGTAGAAACTCAGGGTTTGGAATGATCTTATTTTTTGCCAGTCTGTTCATCGCAACTATCAGAACTTGATTCTGTGGCACACATGACTGACTTATTTCTTATAGCTGAGTTATTACCTGTAGCTCCTGTTTCAGTACGCTGGGTTAGGTTGGAAACATAAGTACTGGTAGGAGCTTATGCTTCGGTCAATTTAATCATAGTAAGCGTATTTTCGTTGATGATCCAAATGCTGATGCCAAATTTGAGCCAAAATACCGCAATATTGGCGGCAAGATCATACTTGGGTTGGTAAACATTTCAGGCTAGACTGTCAAAATTGATTCTGGTCAGATGCCATCATCTTCAACAGATAATTTCTAAACCCTACTTTTTGTAGGATTATATTTTGGCTCCAACGTTCGCAAGAATTTCACCTTCAATCTGTCTGATGAGTCCCAATGTTGTTCCGAAAAAGTATGATCGCGTCGAAGCAAAATACAAAACTGATATGATTCACCCATTTTTGTTCGACTGATCATTAACAAAAATACGCTTATTCTTATTAGTTCCTAACGAAACTCTTACATGACACTAGGATTCATGGTTAAGGACTCTTTCCTCCTCAAAATTTTGCGAGAAACATGATGGTGCCTCTGATTTTCTCTACAGCAAACTTGTAAGCTCAAGAAAAAAGCTCTCAAAATTAAGGGATCCTCCCTATTATGAGAGTCTACTTTAAAACCACTCAAACTTTCCATGTACAGATAAGGAGTGAATATATTAGGGAGGTTGCTGTGGCTGAGGGCTAGAAAATTACCATTTTGACCCTTGGAGGCCCCACACCAAGTGGCAACCCTGCATTTACTCCCTATCTTTGCATGGAGAGTTTGACTGGATGTAGAGGTGGACCAGGATTGCCCAGGGGATACAGGAAAAACCGGGGAATTTTAAAAAGTTAGGGAAAATGACGAAAATGTTAAGGAACAGTGATTATATTACCTCTATTTGCTTTTTAGAATGGGTTTAACGCTTCAAACAACACATTTTGCCGGAAAATGATTTCTAATTTATCTTTTTAACCATCTGGCATATCTTCAATTGTGAGGAACTTCCACCAACCAATGGTGTCAGGGAAATTCATTTTCCAAATTTTCCAATGGTGAAGTGGTTGTAGCGCTAGCTCTTTGATTGGGAGGTCCCTGGTTTGATTCCCGGCCAGGCGACCCGAATTTGATGGTCTCAAACAATGGTTGCCTGGGACTGGTTCTTCAGGAGGGATGGTAAAGCGCAGGATTAGCCTTTGTGGGCTATTTGAAGTAGGGGGGGAAAAAAATTCTGTGGCAACCTTGTGTGGACTCTTTTCATAATGGCAAGGATCCCCTCCATCATGGTCTGAACTTCAAGAGTTTTTTTGAGCTTGAGAGTTTGTTTTCGAGAAAACGATTGGTACCATCTGGTCTCTTGCAAAATTTTACATTTGATCATTTACTTCAATTGCAAATTCTCATGGCACACAGTATTTCATTTCAATAATTGCCTTTGCATGATTTTGTGAAGAAAGCACTCAACCGTTGCTATCTATATAATTATGGGAATATTCTTCCATATGCACAGCCTTATGACAATTTTCCAAATTTTGGAAGATTATGCTAGCTATTTCATCCATGCCTAACATTGTTTAATCTTTTCTGGTATTTAATGTACTGTTTAAATTGCCCTTATGCAGAAGAACAAACAACCAATCCAAAGGTATCTCTATATCTTTTTTTTTTTTTTTTGCGTGAAATTTTCTCTTTTGCCAAGACATATTTACTTTTAATTTTTCTTTTTTCATTTTCTGTCGCAGGCCAGAAGCCAACTTCTAATATCAGCAACCCAAAAGAATGAGCGACCAGCCAATCAAGATTTTGAAACAATAAAATGTGATTTAAAAGTAATTAATAATGATGATGATTCCTCGTCAACTAAGTTGGGTATGAATCCAGAATGTGAAGCAACGAATACCTTTGTTCCTAAGACAAGTGAATTCAATGAAGATCAAAAAGAGATCTTAGAACAATTGGTTGTGAAGAAATCTCCCAGTCCACAGAGAACATTTTATTCTAGTCCAGTTAATTATACTTTAAATGGTTTGAAAGACAATTTCTCATCAAAGAACTGTATAAGGGATGTAAAAGTGCTTTTAGTGCGGAATCCAATAATCGAAAATATGTCTCCGAAAAAAAAGAAATTCCTCAAATTATGAAAGTAATCAAGAAAAATTAGATGGAGACACCTAGAGTATCCTTATGAGGAGAGTGAAAATTTGGCTTATCAGAAGTTCCATAGGCCCTACAAAGAGCATCAACTTAGACTTAATTTTGAACGCGTCCATTATCCCCCCCAAATCTTCTCACTCATTCAGTGCTCCACGTAAGTTCATTATATAATTGATTTTTTCTATGTTTACCCTGCATCTTAAAGAATGCAAAAAAATTTTCTTCAATGTACCTATTTGGCTAAGTAGAAATGATTGAATGGAGCTTTTGTGTGTGCCAGGGATTTGTGATTCATGCACTTGTTCTAAAATTTTGCAAGAAATACTATGGTGATACTTCTATTCCCTGAAATGAACTTCTTAGCTACAAAAAAGCTACTAAAGTTGAAGCTGTAATGGAAATATCCCTCTCGCTGTGCTAAGAGTCCACCCCTACATCCTGTCAAACCCTCCATGCACAAGCAGGGAGCAACTACATAAACAGGGTTGCCTTTATGTCGGTGACTCCAAGGCTGGAAACATGGCAACCTTACTGATGTATTTGCTATCTAACTGTGCATGGAGCGTCTGACTGGTCATGAAGATGGATTCTCAGTGTAGCGCATAGGACCTCTTCCATTGCGGCCTTAACTTTAAGAGCTTTTTTTAGCTTCGGAGTTTGTCTTAGGGATAACTAGTCGCACCATCATGTTTCTCTCAAAATTTTTCATTAACAAAAGTAATTAAATTGCAAATCCTTGACCCATGCAAAAGCTTCATTTTGGAAATATCATTATACCACTGCTATTCAGTGTTACACATTATTTGTTTAGATCAAACAATTTTTCTCTCAAATAATCATGTAGTTGAGCAAATATAAGCCGTGTAAATTTGACTTAAATGTGTCGTTAAAACATGTGTTTTTCCTCGATAAGGATAGGAACTGCTAGTAAAAAGAAGAAACATGCTATCTTTATTGATAAATGATATTTATTCTGTATGGACACAATGGTTTTAACGGAGTTATTTTGTGGGAAGAAGAAAAAATGGGAGTCCGCTAAATTTCAGTGCTCATATTCTCTTGATGACTGTTGAAGCAAAAATTGAACCCACAACCTTTGAAATTTCAGTATTCTAAACCATACTTTCATTATATAAGAATCTTAATGTAGTGCCACATGACGACACTGTAAGCCTAACGGTCGGGGCTGTTGTAGAGACAACCCAGAATACGTCCTCTGTTCTTGCCTCTTAGTAGCTGGTTTAATGTCATTACCCCTCACCCGACACTAATGGTACGTTGTAAGGTCTCAAGGTAATGACGGAAGACTTGCTGACAAGAGCGAATATGGATTGCTACTGTGACAGCCCCGACGGTTAAGCTTACAGTGTTACCATGTAGCACTATATTAACAAGGGAAACTTCATAGTTTATATCATGTCATCTCATCAATTTCTTCTAATCTCTCTTTCCCTTTCCTTTCAATTATTGATCATTAATGTTTTTTTGTTTTTTTTCATCTTTCTTCCTTTCACAGAGATCTTTCAATTGAAAAGGTTTGCAGTCAAAAAATTCTCTTCACATCCAAAACAAATGTATTCCTGCTCCTCTTCTCAGGATTCAAATTACTCAGTGTAATATTTCTTTGTTAGTGTGTTACATTAAATATATCCTGAGATTGGCGAAATATACCCCAATAAAGGTATTTCATAAAATTTGGTCTCTGTTTATAAATTCTATAAAAAATGTTTGTGAATTATTAATTATTCTTTGAATGATTCCGACCGATCTCTCCCTCACGATTTAACAAAAACAAGCAAATCGATGAACTTGTATATTAATTAATTAATTACATGATCAAAGTTATTCTTTGATCACAATTGAAGGTAGCAGCTGTAAAGTCTAAATTTCTAGTATCTCTGCGCCATTGAATGTTCTCACTGAATCAAGCGAAACAATTTTCAGTGTAAATCAGCAACGAAAACCATGGTTACCATATTATTTTGTAATCAAGTCATATGATGGGCAATGACATCTCTCTGCCAATTTTATTATTTATACAAAATTTTCTTGCAGTACTTATTTCATTTAATAATTTTACATGACTTTCGTTAGAAACTCTCTTTTATTCCTCTTCGATTTATTTTACCTTCTTTGATTTATTTTAACTTCTTTGATTTATTTTAACTTATTAATTCGTTTTACCCCATTACTGTGATGTAAATTGTTCTGTATTCTTCTTCACATCTTACCTAATGTGATCCAAGAATGTTTCTGCGAAAATGACAAAACTTCCTTTTTTTATTGTTGATTATAAAGAAAATAAAGAAAATTCTCTGTCGTCTGGTGCAGAGTAAAAAAAATCCAACTTGTTATTATTCATCAAAATTCTTAGAATTTAAGTGCATTTCATTAATTGATGCTTGGATCATAGACATGTAGTGCAAAATTTTAGTTAGTTAATGAATGTGAAAAAGCTTAGACGTGTTGGATATTGTCATTAACTAGTAGAGAGCCCAGGGCAAACATTTGACAATTTTACAAATTTTAGTTTGCAATTCTTAAATATTTAGCCTTTTTTTGGAAAAGGGAAGTGTCAGTCAATCATCAAAAATCGGTATTGTGACCCTAAGATAAAAAATGTTTAAAAAATTATCTTTGGAAAAGAAAGATGATCTTTTAAAGCTCCGAATGATTGTGCTGAATTCAATATTGAATTGTGAAATATTTTATCCATCCCTGACTGGAAAACAGAATTTGCTAAATTTTGTTCCATCTGCGAATATCCAGGAAAAGTTGGTTGGAATAATGGTGCATCAATAAAAATTTTACCTCCAGCAGTTTATAACCAGGTGTCTAGATTCAAGCTTCCAAACTCCTAAAGCAAGTGCACAGACTTCATTATGCACCTATGTCTTTCTCTAATATTTGCGGTCCTATTGTAAGACAGTTACAATTTTAACTTCCAGAAATCTATGAAAAGAAGAATTATCAGTTCAATAAGAGGTGAGTCTTAGTCAAAAGAAATGGTGGATCAAATTTGCTCATAGTACAATAATAGTAAAAACTTAAGCAACTCATCACATTGTTATGGGCGGAAGCAATTTCAGGACATTCCATCAACGATTTTTCGTCCGCGTACCTGGTTTTTCCAGTAGTTCGTGTCCACACGTAAAGTAAGCAACAGTGATTTGGTCCAAGTGTTACATTTTAGTCCGCATGTAAAATTATATTGACAATATCGAAACGAGAAAATCAAGAGAGGAGGTGTTGTTATGGTAACTCATTTTTTAAATGAAATGTTACTTTCTTCTCATGATTCTCTTTTAAGTTGTCATCTTCACATGGTATGTTTTCCATGGCTCAGTCAATCATCTTCTTATTAGTCGCTATGTCGAGCCTCTTAGCGTAAAGCTGGTGTAGGGGCCTCTTACTTCTACTATCTCCCCATCTAACTCCCTAAAAATCCTAAAAATGTCCAATATTACATTCCTACTCTTTCAAATCCTACTAAGTTCAAAATAACCTCATTTGTCTATAGATAGCTGTAAAATCCTAAAAAATTTGAACAAAGGAATAGAAGCCACAAAACTCCCCCCCCCCCCAAAAAAAAAAGTTGCCATCGGTAAATATTTGATTTTATTTCTATCCTTAAAATTTTCGATGTTAAATATACTTTACATATACCTTTTCTCTTTTTTTAATGAAAATAGTATTACATTTTAATATAACATTTACATTTTTAAAACGTGGTAAATATTTGAAATACGACCTTTTCCAAACGATGGCATCGATATTAAGCTCAATGAGTTGTAGTTTTGTTGAAAGGAACTTTACAACAATGAATAACAGAGAAATAAAAACCAAGAAGCACGCAATCTTTGATTTTTAACCAATTTGTACATTGATCTCTTAGAGTCAAATACGTCCAATTTTGAGCGTTTGATTGCGTGTACACCATGCTACAGCACAGTAAAAGCACAAAATATAAAAGAAAAAATTAGAATGCTGTGGAAATCATTAAATTTTACACGGAACCACCACAAAACACACACTATATTTCCCTGTAGTACATTTTTTTTTCTTTCTTTTTTTTCATCAATTTAAATGACAATAGGTAATCCACGCAGAGTGTACAAACATTTCAAAATTATGAGTTGGAAAACGCTGACTCCGCGAGTTCAAATATTAGAGCCTAACTCCTAACATAGCGATGCGGCCGACGGCGTGCTGCCGGCGCGTAACGCGCGCTGGCGCCTACAAACCTACAGGGATACTTCACGCATTGCGCGATGCTTAAAGTTTCCCCTTAGGTTTGTAGGCGCCACTGCGCGTTTCTTGCTGGCCCGCTGGCCGCCGCGCCTCACGCCGCAGCAGCGTGCTACGGCGCGGCGCCTCAAGCAACTATTTCGCAACTGAGGTGGTGCACAGTATCATACGAAATGGAAGGTGCTGCAACATATTAAGAATGACAGGCATCCTTTATAAGTACGGAGCTTTCCTCGCAAAATAAATCAAGATACTATGGTACAAAAAGAGAGCGGTAGTCCAAAAAACTCACCAAGTCCTAACATCCGTATTTAATAACGTTTAGCATAATTTTTGAATTTTATTAGAGAAAAAAGTAACTTGATTTTTGCAGGATCATTCTTGAGTATGCCATAAAGAAGATTTTTTTGAATCAAGAAAAAAATATCTGAATGAAAGCTAGTTTCTGCTTGATGTTAGTGACTTTTCCTTTAATGTAAGCTTATTTGTCTTCATTGGTTCATAAGGAAATTTTTTCGGCGATAAATATGAGCATATTTCTGCTTGAATCAATTAAATTTTTCCGCTAATGAAGTTCAAAAATCATGCTGAACGTCATTGAATACAGATAGTTACTAGGACTTAGTAAGTTTTTCGACTACCACTCTCTTTAAGATTATCCGGTTTAGGTATAACAAAATGGAATTTTCTTGATAGATAATTAAGTCCTGTTGCACCAAAGAGGTGTAGGAAGTTTTAGTGAATTTTGCCTCGTGGAATTGATGCTCCCCCATTTTAACCAAAAATCTCAATTATATATTTTTCTCCGTTGGACCAAAAAAAAACTGCAGAAGTGCGTTTCTCATTTGCAGTGTTCTGAAATATACGTACCCCGGCTCACTTTTTTTAAGGAGAACGAACCAACATTATAACTTGAAATTGTTTCAGAATATTTTTTACACAGAGGAAAAAGATAGTGGAAGTTTTAAGACATGACGTCAAGTAAAAAATTAAAAAATTTAAAAAATAAATAATGACAAGAAGTCTGTAATGATGCCGCAAAGCCATCAAAGCATTCCATCTGCCGCAGCTTTCCCGCCGCGCGCCGCTCGTCAAGTGTCGTCGAATCACAGTTGAGCGTGAAAGCTTTGGCGGGATAAAGTTAACTAGAAGTTAACCAATCATCAGTCCACATCATACCTACCGTGTTGCAATGCCGTCGTGTTTTTATCTATTATCATTTGTGGCGGACCTAACCTTAAAATTTAAATACTTGAACTTTCATCTTCCTTTTTCCAATTCATCGACTTTTAACTTCGAAGACACATTCCAGTGGGTGAAGATTTCTTTTCTCCGTACGATTCTCACGGTTTTTTTGCCTGGTTCATCGATTTGTGAGACCGACGCTTGCTGCCTACCTCCCGGCTCCTGTCACAACAGTCGAAACACCGAAGTTGCATTATGATTTATTTTGTGCATAATATAAGTAGTTCTTCTGTGTTCTCGTGTGTGACAGTATATTAGTAACTGAAAACAGTAAGGTAAGAGAGAAGGGTGTTTTAAATATGTGTATTGCATGCGTCCTCAAAATCAATTACGATTTTCTGTTATAATATTATCTTCTATCAGTAGCTCAAGTTTGGCTCAAGTGTAACGGTGGTGCGATAAAAGACGCAAAACTTGCACACCTGTTACAAACTAAAAAAATTTTAAGTTTAATGCCTTCCCTTTTGTACGTCGATGGCTTACATAGAAAAGTGTGTAAATGAAAACTTGGCAGGTTTGAGTTTTTGACGCTATCATGTAAAAGAGGTCATCGAGAACTCAAGTTGAAATTTTTCCTGCAGTTTAGGGTCTTGTCTCTAAGAGTGCTGTTCGCGAAACTCTGGTCATATTAGTTCACTGAACTGGAGTTCTGGAGATTGTAACAAGTTCTGGCAACAAGTGCGCCCATAATGCTGCTAACCACACCCATGTGGATGGGACTCTAGTGTGTTCAAACAAACGTTTGTATGTAAGCTATCAATCAAGTAATAAAGATGCATGACCCCCAAAAAAAAAAAAAAAAAAAAAAAGAGCCACCTATACTCCTTGTTTTGAAATACAGATACTTACACTCATGCGGAAAACAACCAGCACTGTCAGAACTCAATGTGATAGCGTTGCTGCCCCATGGCGTAAGGAGAGCTAGGTCCATCCTTGCGCAGATCCCCCTGCCCGCCCATCTACACACCGGAGTTTTGCTGTGACATCAGCAGGCTGAGTCCCCTTCAGAAAAGGACCATTCAGACAGCTCGCCGTGCTGCACAGCTATCACCTCATGTGTTTTCAAATCAGCTGCTGGAGTGGGCTTATGCTGATGTCATGATATCAGAGTCTCATCTTTGTCTTTCAGAGGAACTGACATAGCTCTTCTCAGACCATGTTGCTGTCTTGGATTTCATCTATTGGATGGCAAGGCCCTTAAGCAGCCCTAAATAGCAGCAGCTCATCTCTCCAAAAAGTTCCTGTAAAGAGTCTTCTTATTGTTACTACTTTTTAACAGAACTCTTTAGCAGGTGTACCAAAAACCAATAGGACACGCCTACTATACTCAGTCGTAAATTGCAAAATACTGACTTGCATTTCAATGCTCCTTACTTTTCTACCCCTTTTTAAATGAAATGCTTCTGCCCTGAAGCAGTTAAAAGTATAATATTCCTACCTCTGTTTCAGGTCAAAATGGGCAATGAAAGTAGTCGAAATCAATTAAGTGGATTAGTTATAGATGAGAAAGCTTTTGAAGTTACGGATAATTGGACATTGTATTCTGCAAATTATAGCTCTGGAAGCAATCCGAAAGTTTCTGTCTTCATAGAAGCCTCTCAACATAGTTCAAGTTTGTCCCCCCTACATTTATTTGCGAAGGTAAGTGGGCAATGATTGACATTAAAATATTTGGTATGTCACATGCGTGCTCAATCCTTTGACCCAATATACCTCATGGAATATCACCATATTTATATCTATTAAAATGGGTCACCTAAATTCCTTGCTTATTTCTTTTCTTTTTCTTTTTTTACTACTTCAAACACCGCACAAGTAGTGTTCCTGCGTTTTCAGTCAGAGCCCCATTTCCCTTCAGTGCCTACTGCACAGGCAGCTCTGGGCAACTGTTATTTGAAACCATCGAAGAGTCTTGTTGTCATCCAGACCTAGGAGCCAGCGCTACAACTACTACAATACAGAAGGTCGGCACACTCTTTTGACCATTGTACAAACCTTTGTATCAATGGACCACTAGACAAAGTACGAATTTCAGCACTCTGATACATGTTTCTTAACTAAAATTTCACGTAGAACACGATGCGCACGACGGAAATTAACGAAATGGACTCCTTACGGAGATATTTAATGATTCTTGATGCGTAAATTTAAACCACCCGCTCATGAAAACTCAATACTCTACGTGATTCACATCGCGCGCTAAACGTTATCATGACAGTATCTGCGATTTAAAAATCTGGCAACGTCAATCTTGACGCTTCGGCTCAGCTATAGCAAATTGCTAATAGTTTGAACAACATATGGTGGGAAATGAACATTGCTCGGTTGAGAAGCTTGCTGAAACCGTTGTAGTGGTCGATTTGACTCTCGTAGAGCTTTGAGTTTCTTGTGAGCGGGCAGTTCAAATTCCTCGTAACCAATGTAAAATAAAAACGTTGATATCTTCGTTAGGAGTTAGTTTCAGTAATATTCGTTGCGCTAATCGTGTTCTACGTGAAATTCTGGTTAAGAAACATGTATCAAATCGCTTAAATTCATACCTTGTCTAGTGGTCCATTCAGGGATTTTACTCAAATTTTAATTACTATTCACCTAATGCTTTTCCCTCTCCTTTATAAAAGTTGTAGTGAATTAAAACTTTTTTATCGGTTATTTCTAGTTGCAAATATTATGATCCCAAAGCCCTAGAGACTTTCCTGATCAAGCACAGGGGGCTCTAAAGTTGTAAATTTGAACAGTTTCAGGTGCCTCATACCCTATCAGCAAAGCCTGAACGGGACCATAAAATTCGCACTCTCTGGGGATGGAAGTCAAGGGATACCTCTGGCCTGTTGGGTTTGGATTTCTCGGGGATGATTACTTATCAAAGCACTTTTTTCTAACCTAGTCTACTAAATGATGAAAAAACCAGAATTTTTGTTTCTTTTCTTTGTTTTAGTGCTGTTTTATTGTTCTTTGCCTTATCTTTGTCTTATGATTGGGCTACTGGTTCAGGTTCCATTCTCCTGGGTAATCATCAACATTGTTGCAAGAATAATTTTAAACCCCCTTCCCTGAAGTTTCAGAATACCTACTTTGTTAAGAATGGGGATAGCTGTAATGCACTCTTTTATCTTTTTTCAGAACTTAATGTTGCACAGACATCCATGTATTCTGAAGTATATTGCATCTTGGACAAAATCTGGGAAATTATATCTAGCAACTGAAGATGTCCGGCCTCTTTCTCATGTCATCAACTCCTTGACGTCAATTCAAAAGTGTATTGGGCTCTACAGTATCTTGAAAGCTTTAGTTTTTCTTCATGAGCAGGTACGGTACCTTAATTATCTTCTGGGGAAAAAAGGGGGAAAAATCCTTCCTCCACTGCATGCAGAAAGTAACTTTTAACGCCCCTCCCTCCCACACTGTTGCAGCAGGATTTATCTCGCGTTGCTGATTACATCAGTTTTTACTGTCCGCTAAGCTGAAAATACGCACAATAATTGACTACCATAAATTAAAATAGCCCAAAATGGCCAATATTTGGCTCATCAGAATGCATAAATGTTCTGCAGGTTAAATTTTAGTCAGGGAATTTTATTCAGCAGTCCTAGAAAATTTAGAGAATAAAAAAAAGATTACCCATATAGTAAGCAATCTTTTGAACCAAATATTGCGGGAACATCTATTAGTATTTATTCATAGGGACTTGAAATATGTTCACCAAACAAATGTTTGAGCCCAAAGTACCTACTTATTCTAAAAAGTATTTTTGATCTAGTATCCTTTGAAAGATGGGAGAGAACATTCAAGATGTGATCCATTCTAATTTGTCCATCTCTTTGTGATTTAGGCCAAAGCTGCACATTTGAATGTTTGTAAAGCTTCCATATACGTTACATCTGATGGCTCCTGGAAACTTGGTGGTCTTGAGTTTTTGAAAAGGTAAGGTTAATTACTATATCTGTATTTCCAAATGATGTTGAAGCATTGTAAATTCAGAGAAAACAGCCTATTTGACTAGATCAACAATTTCAGAATGCTCACTGCAAGGTTCAGTCCTCTACAAAAATTGTTTATAAAAACTTGAAATAAGTACATCAAAGTAATGTTTCAGAGGAATCTTAGTTGCATTTTGTTCGGTAACTTGTTTGTAATTGCTTTGCAACTGTTTAGAGTATTCCTACTCTGTTTGGAGTGGACCATTGCTGTTGAGCAGGACTTATTTAATAGGAAAGTTTTTTGCAAAATGTTTCAAAGCTGTTGTAACATTTTGTTCTCTGTGACAATTTTTAACAATGCTTCAAGCAGGTTTCAGAAATCGTTACCAATCATAAACTCTCTTTTTTTGACTGCACGCTCATTGGTTGCACTTTGATTTTGAAATAGTAATACCAAAAACTCTTTTTCTGGAACATGTTGTTACTTGTTGCTGTTACTTCAAATGAAATACATCTTTACTCTCTTAAAGTGAATATTTTCAATGAGAACAAATATTACTTTTTGTTTGTAGGTTTCAAGACTTAACATTAAGTTATCTACAAGAAACTAAATCTAAACGTTACATTTATGGAATTGCCCCGAATGAAGATGATTGTGCTCCTCAGCCACCAACAATCATTGACCAGTATGCTTTTGGGGTTTTAGCTGATGAAATTCTAGAGGAAAAATCTAATGGTACGGTATTTATTTATATCTCCTGGAAAAAGATTGCACATCTCCCAACAATTTTCATTATGAATGGTTGATATCAGGATAAGTTCTGTAATGAGTTTTGAAAGCAGTGTAATTTTGAACATTTTAGATACATTTAAAAATTATGCTTTTGTCGGTCTTATCAGTTGACAGCAATTAGTCGTAACTTCAATTATTTTTGAAAGATTGTAAAAGACCCTGAAAGGCTGTAAAGTTTCACAGGAAGAAAATCGGTGTTGCTTTAACATCCTTAATTGTGGAAAAAATGCACAGTCTGCTTCGCCTTCTGCTGCCAATTTTACATTTTAAGATGCTGAAATAACTGTCCAGGAGGTTAATTAAGCATCTCAGGAAGTAATTGACAGCCCAAAACGTACCGTATAATTTTTTCAACTTTAAGTATATTAAATCAACATCTCCTTTTTAGGTGTTTCTTACAAAGTTTATACATCAAGTATTTCAAATATCTCTGTCAAAACTCCACTTTATGCTGTGTCATGCTCCTTGGTGAATACATAGAAATCAGCTAAGAGGGAATGCAGCAGAGTTTTAACTAGAGTTGGGCCGAAATAGATTTTTCACACCACCAGATACGGATATTGATTTTTTGTATCCGGCCGGAGCTGAATACCGGATAATTCGCTGAGGTATCTGACCGGAACTGGATAATACCGGATCTGGATAGTGCTTTTTTGCAAGAGAAATATCTCCCGATTTTGCGCTTGAAACATGAGGCACACTGTGTATTAGACCATCGAGACTGTCATCCATGTATGTGCCTTCGTACTGGCAACCTCCTTATTTTCAAAGACACGCGATAAGTCGGCTTGCTATAACGAATACCAAAATAAATGACCTGGCAGATGAGCAGCATTAGCTTTCATTGGGTTCGTGGTGTGATGTGATGGGCCAGATGGATCTGATTCTGATGTGCAGAAAGAAAGATATTATCAGAAGTGTAAGTAAATACGACAAAGGTGGAAAATAGCGCTGCCAACCTCACACTTTTTAAAGCACCGTTGCTGCTTGCCGATCAAAAGTCGCAGCATTTTAAAGCCTGTCATGTGACAGAAAGTTGTGCGATTCATCTTAATTGATGAGAATCTCTGAATGAACAAGAGGAATGGATATTGAAACCGATAATCAAACTTGATAGGACTTTGTTTCGATACAATTACGATACTTGTGAAATTACGCTCAGACTAAAAACGTTTTCAACAGGGAACTTATGCATCTGTTGGTGACATTGGTTTTTTTTCCTTTCTACTCGCATTCTTTGTCTTTGAAAATGGACCTTAAGGCATTAAGGTCCATGTTGCGATCATGTTAATTTGCGGAAAACGTTCCTAATTCTGGTAATAATAAGTTTCGGAAAGTTGAGCAATTACCAAGACTAGTAAAAATGTGCCGAAAAGTGCCAAAATATCACAAAAAATTTATCGAAATTTTCACGGCCGAAAAAGCACCATTCGGCGGGTCCAAAAACCAGATAGCGCGATTATCTGACCGGATACGGATACCCATGAAAATCGTATCCGGCCGTATAATCAGGCAATCAGGATAATCGCTGGATACCCGGCCCAACTCTAGTCTTAACATAACTTTTAGTTATGAGCATATGATCACCAACTTTTGTCTATTGACTGGTGCATCCCGTCACCTTTATTCTTCGTGGAAAGGACGCTAGTAAAAGGGCTCTTACAGAAAAAAAATATGCTAATTTCTTAGACTGGATGAAATATCGCACCAGAATAGGTTTTCTGAGGACTGGAATACCATAACTGAGCAGACACTATCCATTAAAATACTTTGAAAGATTCACATGATAATAATATCTAATCATAAAAATTCTTTGAAAACAAACCTAAAGATATGTTTTTGTCATTTCCTTTCTTCTCTCTCCTTCTTTTTCTATTATCTATATACACTGAGTTTTTTTTTTTTTTTAATTTCAGATCAAGTTCCTGCATTGAAGGAATTCAAAGATACATGTATTAATTGTTTACGCAGTGGGGAACCATCGGAACGTCCATCTTTAAGTCAAGTTTTGAGACACCCTTTTTTCACTCATGAATTTATAACTGTCCACAATTTTCTATCAGAGTTAGCCATAAAAACTCAGGATCAAAAAACTGAATTTTTCAAGTAAGCCTCAAAAAATTATTCTTTTGTTTGTTAGCAGCCACCTGTTACCTGATTCTAATTGAGTAAGAAGATTATTCATTGTGCAGACTTAGGACCCATTAACAACAGCAAGTTTAGTACAAAGCCTAGATCAGTGTGTTCTTAGCTATTGGAAAAACATGACTAACCAGAAGGCTATGTCCCCTGGCCGCTTTACAGTTCAACTCCCAGAGGAAGATTCGCATGCTCTAAGGTCTGTTTTGAGAGTTAATCTTAATAAAACAGGCTCAGTTAGAGACTATCTTCTATTGATAGCTGCAAAAATCATGAAAATTGGCTAAGTAGAATGGTAGAACGAACTGTGACTAATGAGGAATATTTAGGAGCTCAGAGAGTTTATACTAATGATAAGAGTCAGAAGAATATTCAGAGAGAAAATTAGTGTCAGAAAAGATGAAAATGGTCAGGCAACAAACAAATAAAATTCATAGCGCTCGATATTTAAATACAAAAATCATAAAACTTTCAGACCTGTGCAATTTTACAACTAAGCATTTTTTAAGTGCAGATACTGTTCCAAGCTTTTCACTGGCCATTAGCTTAGTGTTCCTACATGTACAGAATTTTTCTTTGATTTTTACTTGCTGAATGGCTCTGAAGCAAAATATTCAGCAATATTTGTCCTCAAGAGACTTCAGAATTGCAAGATTACTGTAATATTGATAGCCTTGCTGTGCCTTAATGCAAGTGGAAAGCTATCAAGATAATGAGGCAAGCAGTGAAGTCATTAAATGGCCATCGTCACCTTAAGATTAAGTTTTGAGTTGATTTGTCCCTAGCCTTTTAGAGGGCATCTCTATCAGCAGCGTTAAGTGAGTTAATAAGAATATTGACCTTTCTTTATTTCACAGAAGTTTAGCTGCAGATCTAAAGGTATTTCCAGAAAACCTAATCGCCAGCCAACTAGGATCATTACTTCTCTCAAGATTGGTGCTATTAGATTCTGCTGCTCAGGCCTGTCTACTTCCGCATTTATTAACCCCTCGATCAGGTAATTTCGGCACTGTCTACTTTTACCACCAGTTTTATTTTTTTATCTACAAGGATCTATCAAGGAGCCTAGTATGCGTTAGAGATAGAGGGGCAGTCTCTAATCTTCTGCAGCAGTGCTCATTTCTTTAGATGGGTGTTATCAGCGCAAGAGGCACAGTATCGGAGACTGTTGCTCCTTGCTTGTCCAAATAAGGCATATCAAAGCACCAATGATGATTATAACTGCAATGGTTATGCTCCGACTTACACATTATCAGTAGGGAACTTATGAACAAGTTTGTAGTTATGTTTTTTTGATCTCTCTTCCACCGTGACCTGTTTCTTAGAAAAAGCAACAAGACTTCAGGATCAAGTTGGAATCAAGCAATGTTGATTTATTTCCTTTCAAAAGTGTGTACCTAGCGATGACAACCCCCCCCCCCCCCAAAAAAAAAAAACACAGAAGGCTGCATTGACGGGGGGAAAAAACGTACAAAATATTCCTTAGAGTTAAACTCAAGCTCATGATTTGACTCAGCAGGGCTTGACTAAAGTAAAAAACCAGAGTAAAACTCTGTTAACTTGAAATTCCTTATAAATAACTCCAGTATAAGGAGTTTAATGTATGTTTGTAAAATATATTTGAAGAGATTTTAAGTCGAGGCATTTTCAGAGAGCATCTTGGAAATCCTGCCTTAGCCGTAAGCCTTGTTTCTAATTTATAACTTATTTTTCAGATGAATATCCGGAGTCGCTGTTTTCAGACTCAGTGTTCAGCAAATTTATCGTACCAAAACTTCTATCAATTTTTTGTGTCAGGGATTCACAAGTTCGACTAATTTTGCTGAAGTATTTCAAACTCTTCTGCAGTTCTTTCACTCAACAGCAACTTCAATTACAAATTTTACCAGAGGTATACATTCTCTTTGATTTTAACCTTTAATGATGAAAATTGAAGTACATATTCTCCCATTCTTGTTGATCCTCGAAAATGGCAATAAGTTGACGGATAATCTTTGACTCTCTTGTCTCAAACTCAGATCAAAAGGTATAAAACCTCAACGTGAGTCAATGAGTTGACTTTAATTTTGATTAATTTTTTTACAACGCTTTACTGTAACCAAAAAGATTATCTTTCAAACACTCAGTGACAATCACTTTATTCAAGACCGCCCATCTAACCTCCAATTTTGCCTCCTCTGATGGCTTATTGGCTTTCACTCCTGTTGAGGTGTCTACAGCTGTCAATAGATAAACTAGTAAATAACCTCAAACTCTGCCGAAAGTATTTAATTGCCCATTGCCAGCAGCTAGCAGCCTTCCTTTAAAACGGAATTTACTCAATGAGTTCATAATTCTCAAATATTCATCTCTAACGTTTCAAGATACAATGATCCCATCTCAAAAATCAATTTCTGTAATTCAATCATCGGCCGTTGCAATATTTACTTCCTGAACTTGACTGCCAAATCCCTAGGGAGGAATAAATTGCGAGGAATGAAGAGATCAAGTTGGTCAGGTATTGAGGCGCACACATGTGCTGAGGACCTGCTCCTGCAAAAAAGTGACCGTATTGAAATTCCTAACCGAATGATTTTTTAACCTGATATTTTGAGGGTTTCAGCAGCTTGATTGTTGAAATTTTTTGTTTGTCAGGACGACATAGGACATAGATGACATAGGTTAAAAGGCGGAGCGTGATTGGTCGGCTATGTCTTATAGCTGCTTTGTCGTGCCTAAGTCGGGTTGAACTCACGACAAGCTAACGGCACCTCTGAAGTTTCCGACAGTATGTCGTCCATTCCTCCTGACAAAAGCACGACAAAGCAGCGATAAGACATAGCCGACCAATCACGCTCCGCCTTTTAACCTATGTCATCTATGTCGTCCCGGCAAACAAAAAATGTCAATGATCAGGCTGCTGGTGGTCTAAAAACTCCAGAAAAATTCCTGTAAGATCATGATCTTTAGTTCTTTAAATACAAGCAATAAAAAGAAACTCATGCAATAAATCCGTTGGAGTCATTTAAAGACATCTATGTATAAATCAAATATTGATTGTGAGCGAAATCCAATCAAGCAACCAAATGTAAGCCACCAACACGTTACGGCCTGTATTGTTTAACTTAGTTGAATTTCTTTAACCATTAAATGTCATTTATTTTATTTATTTTTTTTTTTCATCAAATTATTTTAAGATGGTTTGTCCCACAATAGAGTAATCTACACAGGTCAGTCATTCATGAAGTTGAGTTTTGGAACTCTATTGCGCAGTGACATAGAATTGGCTGTCTGCAATGTATTTCTCATGAAAGCAGCCAATGAGATGTCACGTTGTCTGCGGTTGAGTTACGGCTGGGCGGGAGAATGGATTTCGAAAGGATGCCCAGTGGCTGACTTGTGTAGATCGGTCTTGGTCACACTCAATATCATGATAAAAATCACTAGTCATATTTGGTGTCAGTAGAAATATATTGAAAACTAGCCGTTCTGGGCGCGCTTCGCGCGCCCGTCACGCCTAGCCGGGGGCTACGCCCCCTGGACCCCCGGTCACTCGCTACGCGAGTGACATTCGGCATTCGGATTTTATAGTAGTTGCAAATTTTTAATCACTATCTTTTGAAGATTTCATAGAAAACATTATGAAATTCTCATTCCACAATTAACTTGTAGAATAATAATGGCAGGGCAAGAAATAGACTATATCTTATGGACGGTTCCCACTTAGTAAAACAGCCAACACCACGAGAAGGTGAGGAACCATTGTTAGCCACTTTTTTTACTTTTCTGAAAAAATTTACTGAAATTTTAGTTGCGTCCCCTAAAAGGAAACACGGAGAAAAAAATTTTGTGCATGGAACCCGAAGCTGAGATCATATGGATCTCTGAAGTTTTCGGATCACGCATCCGAAAAGTTAAGGTCCATCTGCCGAAGTTCGGGTCAGACAATTGAAGTAGTTCGGTATATACCGAAGGTTTCAGGTCACACATCTGAAGTACTCGGTGCATACCGAAGTGTTTCAGATTTCCGACCCGAATTTCGGCAGCTGGACCTCAAGTTTTAAGAGATTCATATGATCTCAACGTCGGGTCCCATGCACGAAGTTTTTTCTCCGTGTGAGTATTAATATAAATTTCAACACAGTCAAACACAGTAGAGAACCAAGGAAATCACAGTAGAACAGAGAAAAAATACCGTCGAATAAATAAAGAAAACTATTATCGAAGAAATTCTAATTATTTGGAAAGTAATTTGCTGGCGTAGGTAATCAATGCGTAGCTGCGTAGGAGCATGAGCGAGATTTATCATCAACTGACCGCTGGCCGGTAGGTACCTGGGTGGGCGAGCGACAATACGTAAGCGGTGGCATATGGTTCGATTGACAGAGGAGTGGGGAACGGCCAGACGTAGGGGAAAGGTTCAGGCTGAACCGTTCAGCACAGCGCAGCGTCAGTCACCGGGTGGGGAAGAGAGTCCGGGAGGGGACACTTCCCCTCGAGTGAAATAGAAAAAGGCAGAATCCTTCGAAGTTTATATTAATGATATTTGAGCATTAACAAGGTGAGGAGACATCATAATTTGTGGGTCACAATTTTTCCCCTTTTTCATCCTTTGCCTCCAGTCAATTATACATCTTTATACTTAAAAGGGTACACTCTCTTTCCTTCAATGGGGAACGTTTCCGTCATTGAAGTAAAGTGAGTGAATTAATGAGTTCTTAAAGTTCGACGACTAGGTTTACCTTTCTCAGTTAAAAGTTCACTGTTTTTCAATTAGTTCTTTATCCCTTCACATACATTTTTTTAAATGAAATATTATCAGAATTCTTTTAAGTTTGATCCCTTCTCATAACTGTTTTTCCAGCTCTTACTTGGAATCAAGGACACTAGTGATGAGCTGGTCTGCGCCACATTGCATGCTCTAGCTGATCTTGTTCCAGTTTTAGGATCTGCTGTTGTCATCGGTGGCAAAAGAAGTAGAATTTTCGCTGATGGTAGACCAAAAGTAAGTATTTCTGTTCCTCTCTTCTGTACCAGAACTTATTTAAAATGAGAGGAAGCATGGAGACAAATCTGAAGCTGTTGAGAGAATCAGAAATGTTGATTACTCAAGCAGGAACCAGAAAAACTTAGAAACGAAATGACAACCTAGAATTTCAGAATCTTTGCAAATCTCATCAATGTATGCTCTTGTTTGTACAAGTCAAGATGAAAAGTAATACTTCCTAGCTCATTACTTTGAAAAAAAGTATGTCAATACGTTGGTTTCCTGAAAACCTGATGATTCTAGATTAAGATCCTGTTTTAAGTGTCATTGTTTCAAAGAATTTTTCATTCAAAGCTATGAATAAGGTCTATTAAAATTAAGATAAAAAGTCTCTGAAGTAATTTACATTAATCAAATTAGTTCAATTAAATACGAGGAAAAAACATTTGCTGTTTCAGCTGTGGAAGGAACCGGAAAAGGATCATGAGAGCAGTAAGAAATCTCTTGAAAGTGATTTAGGTGAGTATTTTTCCATTGGATAAAATACAAGAACCGCAACTCTCCTTTCATTCATTAGGGGCAAGATTTTAAAGATCAAGTAACTACTGATCTTCCTACTTTTTCTGTGGAAAAGGTAGGTGCAATACAGGTCAAAACCAGACTATGCGGCATGTTATCGAAACTTGACCCCTCCATTTAGAAGGCAATATGCCTCAAGTTCTGAGCTTCTTTGAGGGATTATAAGCACCAAATTGGCTTGGTTTCCATTAATTTGTCACCTTATAACGAAGAATCATAGCAAAACATTATTTGCGTAAGCTTTTTCGGCACATAAAAAGCTTTCAGGAAATCCATTGCATACTAGAGTTTAATCTAGTTAAATTTGAGGTATGGTTATTATTGCCACCCGTGAGTCAAAATTCAAAAACTGTAGCTTGTTTTAAAGCTGAAAGTATGTCTAATAAAGGACTTCTTTCAGTTTTGCTCCATTCATAATATTTGTGGGGGAAAAAAGTAGCGAAACTTACTTCTTGGAAGACCCTCGCACTAACTTTGAACACCCGTAAATGCATCTTAAATTCATTCTTGACTATAACAACTTAAAACAGTCGATATTAAAAATTGCAAAACGTTGCCGCTAAAAAGCTTATATCTTTTTTTTCAAGACCACCTAATAATCAAATCAGTCAGTATTATGTATAAAATAAGGATTTGTGAAGTTATTTGTTCCTTAAAATAATGATCAATAAATCAAATATAATTTAGAAGTATGGTTTAAAACGATGTTGGTTCACTGCCACTTATCACATGTATTTCCACTATTTACACTATCCATCAAAAAATTATCAACAAGTCTCAAGACATGCAGCGCATGTCACTACAGCTCTAGCTCAGCATGACTTATACCTTGAAACATCTTTGTGGATGTTTGGTGCAGTAGCTTTTAAGTAACTATACCTCTATACATTTTAAGTGTTAGTAACTGAACATATCTTATTCAATCCTCTCGTTTCTCAATGATCATCTCTTATCCCCTCTATACAATCTGTATTATTTTCAGTGAGTTCGGAAATAATAACTGAGTTGATGCTCCATGAACGCCCTTCTCCGGATGGTGGTGAGGATCTAATTCAAGAATCCCAGAATTGTAATTCCAACAGTAGTCACTTATTACAAGAATCCAATGATGATGACAATGAGCAGTGGATAGACTGGGAATCGGTAATTATAGTTCAGTTTCTCTTTTTAATGACCTCTTTCAATGACAGGGTTGATGCTTTTATTTCTATCCATTGAAGGGGTGCCTTTTTAGCCTGAGTAAGCATGGCACTCTGATAGTTGACAAGGCTGACAGTCCCAAAATCAAGTTCAGAGTTATTTTATGTTAGACATAACTTTATTTTTCAAAGTTGCGAGCCGATTTTCGAAACTACTTGTACGTCAGTACGACAAGACAAGACATAGCCCCATCTTAACCATACAATACATCGCATTTCAATAAGTAGCCTGCTGGCTGAAGTTTTTGTGAACCCTGCTGTGTTATAAGTTGATAACTTGTGAATGAACAAATCTGTCACTATCTAACATTCACCAATCAGTTATCAGCATTTGATGCATACAGAAATTAAGTATGCCGTCCCTTGCCAATATCTTCATACCGTAATTTCTCATTTCAGTGAACAATGAAAGCAAAGATAGAATTATGGTTTAGTTTTTTGGTCTTGCCTGGAAAAATGTCACTAGGTAGCAAGTGATTTAATGCAAGTAAGACATGTAGGAAAAATTTAGGTGAGAATTAATTTGTTCAGTTATCTCTCAATAAGGTGAATTCGCCCCGAAGAGAAGAATCTTCAATATGTAGAGTATCAGAATAGAAAAAGTTCTCCAAAAACAAATGAAACCTTTAAAAAGGCAACTATCGGTTGTTAAGAGGGGTACCAGTGGTGCATCTGGGAATTTGAAACTGCAGGCGAGAGCTCACATTGCTACTTTTTTCTGATGGCCCTGCTTGCTACTTTTTTCTGATGGCCCTGATAACGCATAATAACAAGGAGAGATCCTAGCGGCTAACTATATCGAAACATTTGAACTATAGCTGATTGCAATTGTACTCTGCAACTGTATTTTATTCGTACTCTGTAGTAATAAATTGCAAATGATCTAGGGCTAATATGAAGAAATTTAGTGCCGGCCAAGTTTCGATATTATTTGATATAATGTTCCTTATGATCTCCTAATCATGATGAGCATCTAAAATTGAACTTATCATGTGCCTATCTTGAGAAAAGCAGGGCTGAAAAGTGGCTTTTTTGGCCCATTTTCACATTTTCTAACGGAGATGTGGGATTGTCGCTATGTGTGTGTGGGTGCTTCGTCTCATGCTCTTATTGTTAGGAAAAATTTGATTCCTCTCATCCGTCTTTTCTTCCTGGCCTGCAAGAAAATATAAAATCTCCCTGATCACCAATATGATGTTGGAACATCTCTACTAGATATTCTGTGTAAAAGTATCAAAAAATTACTTTTCAACCCCGCTTTTCTTCAGATTGGCACATAGGAAGTTCGATTTTAAACGCTCATTGTGCCTAAGAGACCATGAAGAACATCAGATCAAAAAATACTAAAGTTCATCTGGTTCTGAATTTCTTGGTTTTCTTCTTAGTCACTTGATTTTCCAGCGGGGAGCCCTTCGCCTTAAGGTTAACTTTATTTTTACCCCTCTTCTAGGCTAAATTAAAAGACATCTGCTTGTATATGCAGATCCATAGAATACAGAGGCTTTGATAGACTGTAAGAATGATCTTACTTCCAAACGTTACCAAGTTTCATTTTTTCTTTGCGTGTTTTTTATTCTGATTGTAAAAAGTTGCATTGTCTGTTGCATGTAGCCGCAAGAGAAAGAATCCTCTGTTGGAGTGGTGGAAAAGCCCAGGATTGCAAAAAAAGATAGCATTGACGAAATAAAGTCTTTAGGTATTTTCGTGAAACCCAAAGAAGTGAAACCAGATGAAATCGATGCTCTTTTTCAAGACATGGAGCCAGTCATCTCCAAGACCCCTGTTGCCGTGATAAGTGAAAATGGGTCTACTAATAAATTTGATGTTGCATCTATTGAGGATCAAGTTGAAGATGGTTGGGCGGATGACATTGATGATTGGGGAGCAGTCAGTGATGATAATTTTGAGTCAATTTCAGATAAAATCCAGGAGCCCTCATCTTAGGCTTTAGAAATGTCATTTTCTTCTTAATTCATTGTCGAGCTGAATTCTAACTTTTTACTATCCGGATCTTGTTTTAAAAGAAAAGATAATGGCAATTAAATCAATGCATTTCCTGTGATAAATCCATATTTTGTTATTTGTTTGAGTAATTTGTTTTTTAAATAAAGTATGTATTGTACGTCCTCTTAAGAAGTTGCTATTTTGTATTTGTATCAGCTGTAGAAGTTCTGAAAGGGTTTAAAAAGTTCACTTTCTAAATTGCATATCATGGAATTCTTGCTTTCGTATTTTTGCAGTGGCAAATCTTTTCAATCCCTTGCAAGGATCTGTTTTCAAAGTTATTCACTTTAGTTTTACTCCAGATGAGTAAAAATTGTCCTATTATGAGACTATGTTGAAGGGCCCTTTTAAATTTTCCTTAGTCACAATGTGAACCATGTAGGGACTTTCTTAGGAATAAAACTGTTTAAGAACGACCATGAGTACAGCCCTAAATTTATGATTGCCGTGCCTTGGTGACAGTTTAAAGTTTCAATTTGAGCAGAAATAATATGCAAGAAAAAGTAACAAATTGCAATAATTTTATTTACAAATGAATTTTAAAAAAATTTTTACAAATCAATATACGGTAAAAACAAGTTCTGTTAATAATCACACATTGCATGATTGTTTGATTGAAGGAGTGAGAAAATGAGTGAACAGAGGAAAAAAAATTATTAAAAGGAATTGCAGAGGTATGACAAAAGACTAAAATTTTGACAAATTCAGAAAAAATTAACTGCATTACAGAAACGCTTACAAGGAACAATCAGTATCTACAGAGTGATACCAACTGCATTATAAAAGGGAAAAAGAGGATTCAGGCCTGGTCTAGACAGTCTAATATAGTCGTTGTCGTGTGTTGAACCACTTGTTTCATTGAACTCGAAAAGTCTAATTTGTCTTGCTACTTTTCACCGAGAAGGAACTTTTCTGCCATCTAGACCAGGCCTAAGAGACAGAGATACAAACTGACCCCAAAGTCTGGATAAAAATTAAAAATGGCTGATCAATTAAAAAAGACAATATTACATACGTAAAAAGGAAACGCACAGTGAAATAATAAAACATTGGAATTATGTCTATTTAATTAAATAAGAAAATTATCAACTCTTGATTGGTTTAACATCATGGGAGCTTCATTATGCAATGTTGCAAAAACACAAGACTAAATTGTTCCTTCACTTTAGTAAAACATGACCGTGAAGGAAAGATAGTAAACATACCTCATCTAAATTATAAAGTAAATTTTTCAGTAATCAAAATAAAAAATTCCTTTTTGTGCTATACTTGCTTTCCTCCTTTTAACTTTAGTATAATTTTTTCAAGTTCTTAAGGACCCTCATCACCACCGCAGAGGATATAATGTTGAATAATTTTTGGAGGTATATGATTACGACGTGCATTAGTCTGAGCATGATGATCAATTATTTAGAGAAAATCTTTTAAAAATTAGTGTTCCATAATGTTCGTGGACACTGCGGTACACTCTCTCAGGTATACTAAAAAATGTGAAGGGTCAATTTAAGAATAGCTGTTTTATTTGAGAACGAGCTCAGATTTATCATGATTACTTCTAAATATAGAGTTAATTAAACAAACGCAAACCATTAAATGGTCTACAAAATGTTGGTAGTCGAAATTTGGTTTGACTAAATTTTTGCCTGAAGATTGACTAGAAAATGTAACTGAGAATGAAAATGTGCAATTCCGAGTGCACTTCAAAACTGAGGTGACAACATGTCTTCGCTTTGAATACTATCTGGGCCATCACTATCGCTATTACTAGAAGTATTGGTGCTACCTGGCATGGCGATTCGTGCATAATCATCCGTGTCGATAGATTTGCAAAAGTAAATGGCATATTTTAATTTCTCTCGTAAGACGTATTTACTCGAATATCGAGGCATTTTAAGCAAAAAGAAACAAGTGTAGCTTTCAGGTAAGAAATAGTCGGGTGGATTGTACTTATCTAACACTTGCAGAACAAAATCACGACCTCTAAAATCTGCAATAGAACGTGGCAATCTGGTTCTACCCCAGACAAACCGCAAAAATAGTGATCGCTCTTGATTGGTGAATTCTTCCATGACCTCCCAAAACCACTGAACTAAAGGAGAGTGAGAGTCAACACCTTTGTAGGTTGCAACAGACTTTAAAAGACTCAGAGGAATGTCCGGATACCCACAAACCAAGACTTCCAACTCTGACCCGCTGAATAGTGAGAAGAGGGGGACAGGTACCACACGAGCAAGTCCCTCGCGTACAGCGGCTATTTGTGTATCAAATTCTTTGAGACGAAAATCAAGAGCTAGTCGGATGTACTCCATCTTGTTAGATGGAGTTATCTGCTGATGTTTTGAAGACAAATGTATGTCATGACCAGAGGAAGATGGAGTTGAGAAAGGCAATTCAAGATTATCAGAGCTCATATCGCGAATACATAGCAATCCTGGCAAGTAGTCTCGATCAATTTCAGTTAAATCAGCTAAGGTCAGAGGTGTGCCAGCGAGTAATTTCCAAATGGGTTCAGCTAAGTTAAGACTGAGAGGATTTCCTGTCCTTATGGCAATTCCCATTAAAATCCCAAGAAACTTAAACATTCTTTGATGGAGAGGTGTCTTAGCATCGGGATTAAGCAGGAAACAATCTCGATTAGCTCCTGCTTCATCACGCCCATTGGGTGTTGGAATTAACAGAGGTAAAGAACCGTTTTCAAGTTCATCACACATTTCAGCTATACTCTCATTATACCCTCCTCCACAGTCATCGACACTCTCACCAACAAACTTAACTTTCCAAATTCGGTGCGGTAGACACAAAATTTCATCAGTTAATAATGACAGATTAGACATCATTTGACCAAAAACCGATTTCATTCCATTGGGTCCGGCAAGACCATCTTTGTTGCGGGATTTCTTGACTTGGATTCGGTTGAGTTCTACGACTGGACCATGCTGCCGATCTCTCACCATTGTTGATCTTATCACTTTCCTGAATATTGCCTCTTTGCAGCTGTATACAAGAATTCTTTTCAATTTATCTATACAAACATCCCCTTCAAGAGGGAACATAGTGAACACAGGGCAGAGAAGGTCAGCAAACTGATGTAATAAAATAAGTCTATTGCGCAAAACATAAAGTGACAAAGATGTTAAAAGATCATACTCAATTGGTATTGATGGAGGCAGAGCAACTGAATGCAGCAATTTGTCAGTGCTCCAGGCAAGAGTGTGCGCTGATCCACATGCAACACGGTTGATTTTCTTGCCGACTAATGCAAGCACCAGGCGGGGTCTTTCAATTGCGCTGGTGGTGCCATCACCAAGCTGGCCTTCATCATTGTCACCCCAGGTAAACACTTCACCTTGATCACTACATGCAACACAATGTAGTGAGCCCGTTGCTATACAGACTATTTTCTTCCCCTCTAAAGCTTCGACGATTCGAGGTCGTCTGACATGCTCGTGCGAACCATGCCCTAATCGGTGGTAATCACCCTTGCCCCAGGTGTATACACTTCCTGATCGAGTTAAAGCCACTGAAAACTGAGATCCACACTCAACTTTTATCACGCCAAGACCAGTTAAAGACTCTATTTTCATAGGAACTTTGCAACCGTCTGAGCCACCTCGACCAAGTTTACCATAGTCACCATCACCCCATGACCAAACGGAATCGTCATCAGTGATGCAGAGTGTTTGTGCATCCCCGCTTCCACAGGCTACATCAACAACACGGTATCCCAATAACGTTTCAACCAGTGTAGGAACCAGCATATCCTCACTGTTGTCATGTCCCAGTCGTCCATAGCGGCCTTTCCCCCAGGTATACAGCTCACCACTGGACGAAATAGCAGCTGAGTGAGCCCCACCGCATGCGACATTTACTATTTCTTTCCCAACCAAAGCCTCGATTAAAGTGGGGTTCTCGCAAGTGTTTCTGTTGCCATGACCAAGTGTCCCGTCTTCTCCTTCGCCCCATGAAAAAACTTCACCTTCAGATGAGAGGGCTAAACAGTGCTTGCCTCCAGAATTAACAGCAACTTTCTTGATAAAAACATTTTGTAGCGTTTCAATTAGAGTTGGTATCATGAGTGTCTCAGAGCTACCAACTCCAAGTCTTCCACCTGCACCTAAACCAGTGGCATAAACTCTACCATCAGTAGTGACAACCATTAGGGTCTGTTCTCCACCGACTATTTGGGCTGGTTGCAGTGCGGACAAAGCTTCACAGGGCGTTGGAATTTTGACTTTAGACCCTTCTACACCACCCAGCTGGCCACGATGGTTATGACCCCAACCGTAAATGATACCACTTTTACCCCAGGATGAACACCAGTCTTCAGGACGCCTACTTAACCAAAGTAGGAGTTGTTCATCATGCTCTAATTTGAAAACATTGTGATTTTCATGAGCAGCGATGGCTGAGTCCGCACACCCATCAACTTCGACTATCAGTTTTCTGACCTCTGAGCAGAAGGATTCAGGTATGTCAGTTCGGTTGATGAGAGAACTGGCAACTCTCGATGCAATGCAGTACTTCTTGAACCAGTTCCACTTGGGGTTGTCACTACAACATGGTAGTACATCAAGCTTCAATTCACAAGCAAGAGCGATCAAGGCTTTGAAAAATGCACTGTGCATCAGCTGCTGGTTCGCTTTGACGATAGGATCTTCAAATTCATACTGACGGAGAAGAGCTTCAGGCAAACCTTGAAATAAACTTACAAGAGGAGAGTCACCACTTTTCGAACTTGACATTATTGATGGAATATCAAGACAATTATTGACAGGAAAACTTACTAGCTTCCTCAGCTGTTGGAGGCACCACATTCGCTCCCGTGATGAAAGAGAGGACAACTGAGCACACGCTGCTAGTGCAGAGGCTAATCTGGTTGCCAAATTCATATCTGGTACTAATGGTAGACAAGAATCTAGTAGACACATAACTAATTCAACTGATGGTCGTGACAGTAAATCTCTGTCTGATCCCATTCTTGCTTGGGTTGATATGATCGGATAGACGGTGAACCGCCAACCCCAGCCATTGATCGAGCTATCACTTGTAAACTTCCAGAATAATTCATTGCCTTGTACTTCGAGGGGTGAGGACCAGTCATTCAATTCTCGTCCTGAGCGTACACTAATAGTTTTCCCACTAGCATCCATGATAGTTAAAGGATCGTGCTTACGTTCTGTTGAACACTGTCTGTCAAATTCAAGTCTCAGAGATTCGGCACCGGGAATTTTTACATGACCACCTAAAGAGTCATCATCAACATAAGGATGACTACTTTCTTGCACAACTGGCTGAGGGGCTGACAAAATATTATTGCTATTTAAAGCAACATCTTCTAGCTCAGTGACACACAGTTCAACCAACATCGAAGCGACATGACTGAATGAAAGAGCAAGACTAATCAAAACTTTGGTGATAGTTTCTTTGGAATCTTTACCTGCTCGGTCTACAATAGCAAGCTTCAATAAGTCCACAAGCATTCGTGCATCATTTAAACTTAAGGAATGAACAATTTCACAGACGGGTTGATTACAATTTTTGTCTGCCTCCAGGTCTAAAATCTGATTTTTCATTGTCATTGCAGTGACCGAGACAGCAGTGGATATTCTTGAAGACAGGCTGGTAGAACTCGAAAAAGAATATTGAATGGTGTCTGGACTTTCCAAGATCGGTTGCAAGCTCAACATGACACCATCTGCCGATGCTAAGGCTTCACCTCCATCAGAGGGAATTTCTACATTTTGCCCAAGTCCAACAATTGAACTGCTCTCAGGGCTTTTGATTTGAAAGTCTGAAATTACTTGATTGGATAAAGCTGCAACTACGATGTCACGTGCATACATTATACATAGTCCATTTACTAAATGTTGCAAGGCTAGCTGTTTCGTCGAAATGACTTCCAAATTCAAAACGCTATCGATAAGTAATTTGTTTTCTGCATTGGCCTCGTTTTGTTTTGGTTTTTGTTGTTTTTGGACATAAAAAGCTCCAAGCGAATCTTTAGCAGACTCAAAGGGGACTGGTTCCAGGAGAGCTGTAGTTGGTTCATCGACGACATTCCAAGCTATTGAGTGAGATGATCCACAAGCCACTCGATTGATATGAACATCCCCAAAACCTTCTATTGGAGCTGGCCGTCTGTTGACAAGAGTTGTGCCATTGCCTTGCTGTCCATGGTCATTATCGCCCCATGCATAGACCTGACCTGTATCAGTCACAGCCAAACAGTGTAAGGCTCCAACAGCTACATCAACAATTTTCAATCCTCGTAAGCCATCGACGAGAGTCGGCTTGCGCACATGGGAATCAGAACCTAAACCTAAACGATAATAATCGCCTTTGCCCCAAGTCCACACCTGGCCGGATTTTGTGAGAGCCAATGAAAATTGGGCTCCACACTCAATGTGACAAACTTCTAGATTATTCAAAAATTCAATGTTGCATGGAATATCACAGCCGTCACTACCACCTCTTCCTAATTTTCCAAAGTCACCATCACCCCATGAAAAGACCATTCCGGTGTTAGTCAAAGCAAGAGTTTGAGCATCACGGCTACCACACGCTACTTTCACCACATGTTTCCCTAGAAGCGATTTGACCAGCTTTGGGCGATACTGAGAGAGTGAGTCACCATGACCTAATCGACCGTACTCTCCAAGACCCCACGTGTATAGTTCACCATTCGACGAAATAGCGGCACTGTGTGAACTCCCACACGCTATGTCACGCATTCGTTTCGTTTTGAAATACTCAATCATGCAAGGTTTATCTGAGCTAAGCTGATGACCATGTCCTAATTTACCATCATCACCCTCGCCCCATGAAAAAACTTTTCCATCAAGAGTTAGGGCCATGGCATGCTTACCTCCTGAATGTACGGCAACCTTCTTGATGACATATTGGCTTAAAGCTGAAACCACTCGAGGAATTGAGACGTTATTAGTTTGACCAAGACCTAATCTACCATTTGTGCTTTCACCGCAAGCATAGAGCTTACCATCTTGAGAGACAACAAAAAGAGACTTTGAGCCGCCTGCAATATGGATTGGTTTTAAAGATGAGAGGACTTCAGAATAAACAGGATACTTCACTTTTGAGCCTTTCAAACTGCCTAGTTGATCTTTGTCATTGAGACCCCAAACAAAGACTTTGTAACTTAATGAGTCTTGCATGGTTGAATAATCAGTGGACAAGAATGGAATTAATGGTTGTACATCAGTTTGAGCTTGTTTCTTCTTGCCAATCAGTTGTAAATTATGAATCTTGCAGTCGATACCACCATTTCGACACTGTTTGATGATAATCTCCACGCATTGATAGTAACGATTTAATCCTGACAACAGAGTGACAGTGGTATCAGTTGATGATATATAAATGGAATAAAGCTCATACAGAGCAGCAAATGATGAGCCAGCATTGACAACAATACAAGATGGCATGTAGCTATTGTCAGCAGGGTTTAGGGTGACCTGAAGTTTATGAATTAAAACATCTGGGTACATTTCGAGTCGTATCCAATGCTCCCCTTGCAAGCCACAACTTTGCCAATAGGTTTCCGGGTTTCCATCTAATAAATTATAAGCAGTATTTTCTTTTGATGAGACAGTCAATCGGTAGATACTCTGAGTCCAATTATCAATTAGGTTGCTGGGTTTGTTATCACTATCAAGCACACCAGAGAGGCTTGATTCGCGAAATTTTGACACATCATGATGAAGTTTCTGATGAATGCTGAAACAGCTACTACAAAAGTAATTCTTGTTATCACAAGATTTGCACTTCAAATTAGGTCCAGACAGTAGCATAGATTGGCACAAAGAGCAAACATTTTCTTTGTGTGACTCTACTAGATTGACTTCATCCACTGATCCAGACCAGATATTCTTTGATGAGAACTCAACATATAATTTTCCGGTTAAACTGTCAATGCTTTTCACTATTCCAATACCATGAAAATTTGACGATACTTCAGGATCAAAAACTTTAATCTTCACCTTGTCTCCAATTTCAACTTTCGATTCGGATGACACTTTTGATGGGCCAAGTAGTTCTATTTGTCCAAATTCAACCCACAAGGGTATTTTTTGAGCTTTCCATTCCACTAAAACCTCTAATTTCGAACCTTCGTTTTCTTCAATATTTAATACTGTTCCTGTGCTACCCTTGCAGACAGTTTCTAAATTCTTACGGCATCGGACGAGCATTCCTACTTTACAATTATTCCTTACATAATTAACATACTCCTCGAAGGTTTGGAAATCAGTTGGCTTATCATAAGCAGAGGAGCTATTGTCTTCTGTATTCATGTCATCCGACGAGGAGGAATCTTTGTCGGAGCAAATATGGATGGACGTACTAGATTCATTTTCTTCTGAGAAAAAATCAACATGATCTAGCAGCCAGGTGATGAGTGGTTCAATCTCGCAATGCTCTCCAACAAAACTGACTGCTGTTTCCACTGCTCTTTTAGAGAAACCCATTTCAATGAATTGATTCACAAAGGGTGATTGAGATGTGACTAACACTTTTGCTTTGGAACTTTTGCTATTGGATGGATCTGGGTCCTCTGTGATGAACTTACACTCAGCTGACAGGTGCTGACATATCTCAGTAGCTGCTTCTTCAAGCTGTTGACGACTGTACTCTGGTTTCAAGAGAGAAGGTTGCGCTGCAGCAGAAATTAATCGCTGCAACATGAGAGAATTGGAGTGGCTCAGAAACGTTCGTAAGTAAGCTGTGTGACTGAACAAAGCTGAGCAAGATCTGAGGGCTGCAAGTACCAATTTAACTTGGCTGATACTTTTGAATTCGTGTGACACAGTTACTGTAGAGAGGGCAGCTGTCCAAAAATTTTGAAAAATATCATCCATCGGTAATTTTTCAAGCTTAAAGTTCAAAATTGGTACTGGCTCTAAATTTTCTGAAGGTAACGATTTGAACGCTCCTGTATCATGAAAGTGAACAACGAGTTTCCCTTGCTTCCCTACATTACACACAGTGCCCAATCCATGATCTCTGACTTGCACCACAGAGCCGATGCGACATTTTGGTTCAACTCCACCAATCACCAGTAGTGGTGCAATAGCACTGACTTGTTTGCAACTGATTTTGCTCTCAGTAATGCCTTCAAATTTGAGTTGAGTTAAAAGTTGGATTGTGATTGATAATTTTGATGCTAGCAGTCGATTAAAAGACAATGTCCAATTTGGGTGGCTGTATAAAATGCGCAAGAGTAGAATACTTTCTTCCAAAATGGTATTACTCCTAGATACAAACAAGGAAACTTCTTCAGAGCCTACATCGGTCACTTTTAGAGGCTTGTTTTGAATGGATCCTGAACAAAAAGCGGTCTGTCCGACGAGAGTAAATAACCTTTCTAAGATGATGTACCGTTTATTAGCATCAACAATACCATTTGGAAGAACAACTTTTAGCAAAGAAAAAGCCATTAATTGAGAAACGATATTCACACTGTTGCTGTTGGACGCAACAGATAGAAGTAAATCCAGCCAAGACTGAGTACAAAATATACGGCACAAAGCATTACAGATTGAGACAGATCTGACAAACCCAAGAGTGGCCCACTTTCCATCCATGTCGATTGTCACTCCTGCCTGATTCTTTTCACACAACTCTACACCTTTCCTCAAATGATTGCTGAATATTCTGATAGAGGATTCTGACATTTGATCTCCTTTAAGACCACAAAGAATCGAAACAACTTTAACAAAATTTAAGTATGACGATTCGACAGCTGTCCTTGGATCAATAATATCCGGCATCTTCTTGGAAGTTTCTTCAGTGCTACCTAAATTTTCCTCCTCCGGGGCAGAATTTGAGGCTAACTTCAGATCAAATTTTCCTTCGTTTCCCATTCTGTAGGCATTTGTGGCACCATTGTCCCAGCGGACGCGAATCCATCCATCCTCCAAACCTCTGATCACTCTTCCTTCTCCAGGTGGAGGGCCATCTTGATCACCCCAATTCCAATTTGCTCCTCTAATAACTTTGACACCAACTTTAAATAAACTACTGACATCGGATTCGCGTAAAGTACTAATATTTTGCTGAAAACCATGAGACTTGTTTTTATTGATAGGTACCAACTGTTTGCGCTTAGTTTTTGAACTGGACAAGTTTATCCATTTGTAAATACTTTCGATGATGGCTAATGTTCCAGAGTTCAGTATCAGACCTAACTCATTACTATTGTGTGCATTTGTTATTAAGTTGAGAATAGCAAGGAAAAACCTAACACAGACGATTTGTTTCACATTTTCTAGATTTTGTGGATGATTTTTAATAACTATGGCAATTTCTCTTAGATTGGAGATACACCATGAGGTGACTTTAGATTTAATCAAAAGTATTTCTGCTTTAAGCAAGGGGGTTACCAATTGAATATCATCTAGACAATGAGACAGTTCATAACTTGCCAAACAATCCTCCGGGATCATACTGGAGAACCCGTTTAGAAGACTGTATTTTATGGCTGATGAGTTTGTTTTCTTATGAAGGAATGTGTTTAAAAGAGCATACCCTTCCTTACGTAATTTGGCTCGCTCAATTTGACAGTACATGGCTTTACGCAAGGTTTCTACATCACAGCTGTCTTCTTGAAGGAGAAATTCAACGATTGAGTTAGTAAGTTCAGTTTTGTCGCAATTTTTAGACAGGAAAGGGTCAAAGTACTCGCTTCCTGCAATCAGACAATGAGAAGAGATAGAATAAGGATAATTTCTTATTTTTCAATAAAAGCAGTCAGCATAGCTTTTTTCATTTGCTTGTTGATGGCATTAAGTGAGGGGAGATCCGTCACAGTAAACAAATTAACACTAGCCCTCAAATGGTTAACGCAGAAAACTTGTGTTGTTATACGGTGGGAGATCTCTATGGGTACTTCATTCTACGTAAATTAACTTGTAAGTTGGAAAAAAGGGGGAGGCTTCGCAGGGGGTTATTCATTATGAGGGTAGTATTTTTGAATTTTAGAATTTGCGTTTTCGGTTGGGCGTTGTTTCCACAAGCAGTTTTTGGGAGATAAGTCTTGGAGTCAAATCACGCATAAGAAACTTCGGCGATTCTTTGCCATTATTATCTTCACAAGTAATAGTGGGAGTAATAGTGGATGATTAAGCAGAAATAGGGTAATAGGAAGGTAACAATTTACCACAAATAACATTTAAACAAATTATTGAATGTTAATAAAAATGAACAAATGAGTGAGCAAAAAATGAATCACAGTTTGCTTTGGCTCATTTGCGTTCTCTTAGTTGCTCAGGGAAAAGCAAATAACATTGATTGAGTCAATATTTGTTTGTAGGCGCAATTTTTGGCTCAAAAAATCGAGGGAAAATATCTCCTCCTTGGTTAAAATGATCCATTTTTTCTGGAGCACAATAAACGGTAAACATGTCTGTTTTTTTACGGTAAAATTACATTTTAAAGTTCCAAATGATGGATACTTGTCTAATTTTACCTGTAGTGAACAAAACTGCTTCTTACAAGCAATACTTCAACTATTCTCCTGCTCTCTTTGGGCAGACTAACATCCAAAATGCCAAAGTAATAGAGACAATTTCCCTAGTAAAAAATAAAGACCATAAGAAATGGTCTTCATGTGAAAAATGCTGCAATAAAATAAACAGTAGTTATGATGGAAAAGAATCATGAAGGAATTTTTTAGCAAGGGATCACTGTAAATCGGTATCTTGGAGTCCCACCCCTCAGGCACAGTTATCTCATTCTTTTCTGATTTCTTACTACAAGCATCAGACCATTGATGTATCTTGGTGTTTTGAGGTAGTGACACATATGCTTCCCAATTCCTAAAAAAACAATTCTAGGAGACCTCTTTAAAAAATGCAGTGAGGGTTAAAGGTAAAATTAGTGGTCACTGTAAGTACCCCAGTCTCCCCTTTTTATTGTAAAGATGGTAAATTCTCCATACCACGAGAGATTTTTACAAAGCATCATCAAAAGAAATTCTGAACTAAAGGCACTTTTTCTTTGCATGATATCACAAGAAAGTGAGATGCAAATGAAGTTAATTTTAAAAATACTACTTCCACTAGTAAAGTAAAATGGTATAAGGCTCAGAGTCATGCTCTTAACTCCTTACTCACCAAATTTTCCAGCTTCTTTCTTAAGATTGCTCTTCTCCGGACCTATTCCTTTTTTCTTATCGTGGTCCAGGAATAATGATTTTCTTTTTTCATTAAAACTGTCGGAATCACTTTTTCTGTTTTCACCACCACACTCAAAAGAACTAACTTTTTTCTTATCACAGGAGGACTCTTCTTTTTTATAGTCTCCATGAGCTTCTGAATTTCCTTCCTCCTTACTCCCGCAATTACTATCACAGCCGAATTTGTCATTGATTACCTGCAAAAGAAATTTTAATGATACAAAACTGGGATAATTCAAAATAGAAAAATTGTCCGACTAGGATATAGCTAAAAAAAAGTGTGATTTTCTACTATGTGCTATCGAACTAACTACAGGTACACCCTTCTTTACTACAAGATGCAGCTGAATAGTAATGCCTCTATGCTCTGAGCTTGAGAAAAAAGGCATTTTGGCAAAAACCAAAAATATCTTTAAAATAGATATCGTGAGCTTTCTGGCAGTTTATTAGAATTTGAAAATCACAATTTATTACATTTTAACATTAAGAAAATTCCAAATATGTTTAACCATCAGATTGAAAGAAAATTTTGCAGATAGAAAGTCACAGGACTGTAAAGATTTACAAATGCAACATATTTTGAGATACCTTGTGCAATCAGTTAGAAGGTACAACAGTCAACCTTAACCATTATGAGAGCTGCTTTGACTGAATGCTTCAGTCTGTAAAAATTGCAAACTCATTAGGTCGAATTTACCGTCATGTTTCAAAAAGAAGATTGACAATTGACTTGTTGATCAAAGAAAACTTTACAGCTATTGGTATGCATAGCTTATACGTCGCATTTCAATGGCAGAAAAGCATCGGAAAAGTTTAATTGACTCAGGAAGAGTAAATTGTTGAAAAGAACCGTAAGCGGATGTGACAAATTCAGTATTTTAACCACCTTAGAAGGACCGGTTTTTGTTCAAATAAGCAGATCTTGCTTTCAATTGCTTTCTTCTTACGTCTTTTTTTTTAAATGAAACTAAAATCAGCTTGATAACTGCTCAGTATTTAATCACAGCTTTAAAGTTTTACCTACAGTTTTGATTAAATATTAAGATAAAAGCTATAAACCATAGAAAATTCATGGAATATAGTCTATAATTCCAACAAAAAATATTTAATTTTCAATATTATCTCCAAAGAGAGTTATCCCTAAACAGCACCTCTTGGTATGACCCTCCTCAGCTAAAATAGCGCCCACTCATAGGAGACCAATGCATCCTTAATCTACACCTTGAATGAAAGACATCTGAAATTTTGAGCTTCCTCCTACTGTTTTTGATTTCTCCCTGAAGTATATAAATAGACAAAAATAATTCTTACGGTGGATTTTTCCGACAGTAATCCCAGTTTTGATTTCTTTTTCTTCCTCAAATCAGAGCTGACTTTGCGGCAAATTCTTCTCCAGGCAGATTCAGAATGCGGAATGCGTAAATTTTTTAAGCCATTCACTTCATGGCTTACAGCGGGTCGAACTTCATGAAGTAAAAACCTTAAATCGGTCGAAATCACATTGTAAGTTTACAACAGAATTACAGCCCAACGAATTGAATAGCTCTCTTGATAAAAAATACTATAAATAAAACCAGATGTGTCATAAACAAAAGATAAAAAATAAAAAATAAATAAATAAGTTGGATTATGGTAAAAGAAGACACAAACATGGCAACCAAGAATTTGATTCTTAAAAAAAAGCTTTTTCTAGAATACCCGGGAATAAGCTAATAAATTAAACTGAAATGAGCACTCGGTAAAATAAAAAAGCAAGGCTTAAATGCTTTGCGCCCTTACCTCAAATAAATATTGTGGCTTCAACAGATAAACTCATGAACCTACTCATCATAGACTTTGCAAAACTTATTTATGCTGCACTGTTTTGTTGTAAACATGCAGTATACTCTCTATTTTAGGTCATATTTCCCAGATTTTATTTACAGTGGATGTCTGAAAAATTTGATTAATCGACTCTAAGAGCATCACTCTTTGGTCATTCAAGTCAATAATTTCAGAAGTAACAAATGAAAACCTTTTTTTTCTTCAGATGACTAAAAACTAAAGTCTTACCTGCATTTATCTAAAATGGGAGAGCAAACTTCTTTGTAGGACCGACTTTGTTCCTGCCGAATCTTGATCAGTTTTAACTTTGTCTGATTAATTATTTTGCCTATAAAATCTAATTGTCTGCTTGAAGCATCGATTGTATCTACCAAAAAGAGAACAAAAAATAAGTTATTTATGAAATTATACCAAAATATCGATACAACTGAACGATTAGTCCAAAATTACCTTATTCCTATGGAGGTTGTTAAAAATAACTATTCTCAGTAATCAGTTGCTGGTCAGTAATTTATTCATCAAGATTATTCAAACTGGAAATTTTAAATTCAATACATATGTATGTTGGAAATTATGTTGAACACATACCTAATTTATACATTATTTATACATTCTCCACAGACCTAACTCGTAAATTGCTTGATGACAAACACTCTTTTGTTAACAAACAATTTTTGACCAAAAATATACAGTGCAAAGTGTAATTGAATCACTCTCTTTGTTTCGAGTTCAAATAGTAGAAAAATGACATTGTAGTGCAATAACTTAGGTCTTCACTGAGGTTTTCAATTTGCTTTGATTTGTCCAGTTCAAAGAGGGGTAAGTGAGTACTTCCATTCATTTAAAGGTGCCCTAGTTACATATGAATACACCTTACACCTCAAGTTACACCTTTACACCTTAGGCACGAAATGAAAATTACAATATTCAGGTTTATTACATAGAAAAGTTCAAAATGTATGAAAAAATTACCTTTATCCAATGATCGTAAGACTGTGGTATGAAGAGAAAGATGTTTGATTAGAACTGCAATTAGTAGCCTAATTACTTCTTCGACAGGATGATCCCTTGAAAATTTCACACTCTCAGAGCCTTTGCTGCATTTTTCTAGGATGTTTTGAAACATGACAATCACTTGGTCCTGAAAGCGAAAAAAAATGGAAAAAATGTAAGAGATTTACAATAAAGAAAGGAGAGGCAAAATTCTTACAGAATATATTTGTAATACAATCAGAGGGTCATACAACTACACAAGAAACAGAATATTTAATGGATATATCAAGAAAGATGTCTGAAAAATGCCTACAAAATTTTGAAAAATTGCATTTTGCTGCTATTGGTATTGACGTAACGGCCAGAGTGATCATATTGGTATACAAAAGGTATGACCTTCACCTTAGTCATCTATGGCCAGTTAACAGACACAAAATTTTAGAATTAGCCTGCCATACCGGAGCAAAAATGAATTTACTGAGGCTCATCATATGATAGCTTTCTTTGAAGTTCAATATAGAGTAAATATAGTGTAGAAATATTGCTAAGTGACATTAGAATCAGAAGAAAGTTGACCCAAGTATTTTTACCACCAACTTTGTATCTTCAATCAACAACTCTATTTGAACGTATTTCTGCTAAAAATAATTATGTGCAAATCAATTAAACAAAAAAAGGAACTGTAAGGGACGCAAATCTTATTTGAATATGTTCTCTTGGTTTAATTAATATTTACAAAGATCTTATGAGCATGAATGCATTCATTTCTTGCCTCCTTTCATAAAGTTTTGCAGATTTTAGGACTCCATGCATGTGAAGAGAAAAAAGTTGGAGAAAAAGCATAAAACTTTACCGATATTTTAAAGTCTCCCATTGCATGGATCAAGTTTGAATCAAACCCAGAATCAGTAGGAGTTGAACAGTCACTTCGAGCTTCACTTTTTTCTTCAAAAGGACTAGGAGGCTCCAGCGAGTGCAAACCACCTTGAAGGAAGTGTGCAGCTAAATAATTGTTTGCTTTCATTTCAATGCTTTGCTGGGGCGTGCTAATAGCAAGCCAATGTGAATGCAAGCCGACCAGGTAGTTCAGACATTTATGCACATCCAGTAAAGGTGAAGTCTGACAGCTGGTGCTTTCATTAGCCTATTAAAGAGAAAAAAACAATTAAAACTAATAAATAAAAAAAAATTAATATAAAAACACCGGCACTTACACCACAGCTTGGATTATTATTGGAAATTTTCTAGGTAGAGTAATGTTAAGAGTAGACCCTCAAACAAGGTAAGAAATTAAGCACTACAGCGCACGTTTTCTCATCAAAATTCTTGCAGAACACGTTGGAAATATCAAAAAAATGAAAGGTTACCTCCTTAGGGAGAAATTAACGTTCATATTTTGGGTTATGAAAATTAAATTCAAACTTCCTGCTAGTGAAAAAAAACATCAACGTAGGTTAATTTAGGCATTAAATTTAATTTATACATTAGACAAATAACTAGAGCTTCCTTCCTCCTTTGATACGAGGTATCTTTAGTTTTCTCGAAGAAAAGTTAGTAACGAGGGAAATTCTCCCATCATAGAATATATCGAAATTTCTTGAGGGCTTTTTTTGACTCGGGTGGACTCTCCTTTTTCTTTGAGGGGAAGAGTGAATTAGCAGACAAAAACCAATATTTTCTCATTTAGGTATTGAATTTGGAAAGTTTTAATAGTGCTATGCGAAAAATTTTGATAAGGTAACATATGTCGCGGTTCTTGATATTGTACCCCATCTAGTGGTCCATTAATGGGACTATTGAGATTTTCCATTGAGACTTGGTGGGGTATCTATACTATAAGCTCTCAGGCCTCCCAAATTTTCATTTCTGGTAACGCTTAGTTTTAACGTTCTACCAGGCCGATATTCATGATTTTTGCGGCTATCAACAGATAATTGTCTTCAGATAAGTCTGCTTTATTCAGATTTTGAAAGTATGGTCCAGGCTTTTGTATGTTACGTAGTAAAGTTGCAAATTCTCCCATTTAAATCAATGTAAACTTTTATTTTTTGTCACAGTTCGTTTGAGCATTCTACTGAGCTGCTTTCCATGATTTTTGCGGTTATTGACAGATGATAATCCCTAGATAAGCCCGCTTTTATCAGATTTTAGTAATAGGGCTCAGGTTTTTTTACAATCACGTTTCAAAAGTGAGCAAATTTGCAGAGGGCTCCCCAACTGCTGCTGCCATGCGCAAAAGGTTGCGCAGTGGCTGAGTAGCTTGCTCGGTGCTCTAACCTATGAACCAAGATTCACCTCATCTTCAATAGCATCGGCCATGGCTGAGTTGTTGCAGGCATCAGATACATCGCTGCCTTGGCCCGAGACGTGGGTTTGATTCTCAACATCCAAACTAATCAATCATGACATATTTAACATTTGCTGTTATTTTACTGAAATGGTTCCTTAATCGATCATTGCTAAATGCATCCTTCTGATGTCAGATTTTTTTTTCTTTATTTAATGCAAAAAAAAGTCATTTTGTTCTAAAAAAATATACCTCATATCGTAATTTTTCAGGGAAAAAACCAACGTTGATGAGAAGTTGAAAAATAGGGCTGCAAAGCTGCCTCTTGATAGCGCGGAGTGCCTTCAGGGGGTTGGGCTGCGTAGCGGCTAGGGGGCGTACCCTCTAGTATGCTACAATAGCCTCTTTCTATCACCAGCTGAATATGATAGCTGTTAATTTTTTTTACCTAATTCTTTAAATTCCATGAAATCATCAGTTTTAAATATTTCCTCGTTTGTTTTCCCCCCAGCAAAAACGATTTAAGTTGTAAAAGAGAAATGTTAACTTATAGATAAATTCTTTTATTTGTTCATTATTTCACCTGTTTACTTATCATACGTTCACTTTAAGTTATATCTTTGATCTTTTATTATTAATACTAGTCGATAGATACCTGTACATTGTATAAGGTAGTGGCGATAATTGTAATTTATCAATAAATTCTTCAAAAAAAAAAAAAAAATTTCACCTGCATTCTGTGCATGCTCAAATTTTGTAAACAATAGTCATTCTAAAATTCTTGCGTGTTGAGTTATGCAAAGGTATATGTAACTCTTAAATAATACAGTATTTTAATTTTTATCCTCATTAGGCATATAGTAGAACCATGGGTTTAGTTGAAAATTCTAAATAAAACTAAATTAAGAAACAGTAGAATTCCTTTACCTTTAAGAAAACTGCTTACCTGATGAGATCCTTTATCACCTTCGAAGAGAATTCCTACAAAACGCGACTCGAGGAAATTAGATTCATCTGATAGGTTAAATGGCCAAAAAGAATGATCATTATTCAGACATTTCTTCAGAAGTTCATCACTATTTGTTCCATCAAACCTGCAATAATTTAGGATAGCAATGAAACTGATGCATAGTGGGTGAAAAAAAAATCAAATTTTCTATACTGCTCGAAAAGAATATGCGTTATTTTTAGGAGTAACTTGAGCAGGACCATAAATGGCTCATTGGGACTAGGGGGGACTATGGGAGAATGTGAAAAAGTTAAAAACTGTTCAGAGAGAGAACAAAAACAAAAATTATGAAGCCATTTCATCATCTCCGTTCATGAAATGTATGTATTAAAATAAAATACACACAAAAGAATTACTCAAAGTGGACCACCCACCGGAATTGATGAAATTGAAATGGCAGTTTATCCCAGCGTGGTTAGTTCTTAAGAATGGCCGTAAGCATACAGATTTTGTTGGATGCCTTGATATAAAACAAACTTCCTGACGGGCGTCAGAGGGCTAGGCACAGAATAGCAAAAAATTGGGTGCCGCCTAAATGATATTGTTTGAAGTCATGTTCTTACGGCCTCCTGAGCACGATAAGCTCCTAGAAGCGAATTTCCCAAGGGCCAATGTTGGGAAAAGTTGGGCTGAAACGTGGCTTTTTTGGTATATTAACCAGGGATGAGTTCTAGAGAACGCAATATTTTTTTATGTTTTCCGACCCCTTTTGATAATGTAGGGATCAGCTCCATCATGCATAAGTAAGCAAGATTAGTATAAGAAGGATACTTGAGATCCCACATACTTTTAGTGATAACCGACAGCTGATAAATACAGTTAGTTACGAGGATCCCATACGAGGTTGCAGTACTAGTAACTACTTACAAATTTTTACGTTGGCTCTTATACAGCTTCTGAAGTCTTATGGAACTCGTCCTTGTTTTTATAGGCAATATCTAGTAAAATCTTTGAAGTTTCATGAGAACCACTACAAACCTGATGTTATGAAAGTCATAAATTTTCTTATTCCATACGATCCAAAGGCCTCCATCTCGATTGTGGTTTTCCACATCTGCTTTTCGAATGAGTTTGGAATCTTCAGAAACATTCTGACGGTGTGATTTATAGATGTCAACTGTGAGAATAAAAGCATCATTGACACAACGAGACATTTAATTATTAACAAAGGTTGATATTCCTTAGATTTATCGGCTACTTGCTTTAAAATTGATGAACCGATCAATAATTGATGATTAATTATCAATGTTTAATGAAAGATTGAATCAATTAGATTTAAAATGTACCTTACTAGGAGAGCCAGAATCTTCAACTCAATCTGTGCATTTTCACTGTCAGGTTTTTTTTTCCGACAAGCTGCGGAAGTAAGTTTCATTCAAGAGTTTTGGAGAATACCTAACCAATTTTCAAACTTGTGAGTCGATTGATAAGTTACTGACAGTCACATAATTCATATCCCCCCCTTTTGGGAGGAAAGGGAGGGGCATTTTTACCTTTGACACAATTATTTGTAAACCTTTTTTGGTCAAGAAGGTTGGAAATGCAACTAAATTTTATTCATGGTGATGAAATATCGCAGAATCTAACATATGGCAAGCAGATAAAGCTCTAGGCCATTTGTAATGTAGACGCACTTGACTTTTTTATCAGTTTTGAGGCAAAGTTGGCAACCTCTCAGTAAATATGCTTTCCATCCCTAAATCTTTCATAACTTTCCTGGCAATGGTAATTAGAGGCGCTGATAGCTTCAACAACTTCCAGACTTGGCCAAATCTTTCATAACATTCATCTTCTTGAAAAATTGCCTACCTACAAAAAAAATTTCTCGGTCTTTTGAGAACTATTCAAGCTTGTGCTGGACTAATACGATTCTTTTGAATTTTTCTCTTTTGATCTCTTTTTACGTTACTGAAATCTATGGATGGGTGAATTTTCAAAAATCTTGAACATATATTTAAGTTTGAATATTTATTTGGATATTCCATTAGGAGTCTAACCTTAAAATCGTGAACTTCAAACTTATTTGACCACATGGTTGTGAATTTTAATATATGCGCAAAATATAAAATATTTCGCGAGATATTCCGTAGATTTGCATGCGGGGGCAAAAGATAAAAGATCCAAATGAGTCATCATGCTGCTTTAGTTAACTTAAATGACTGCCCGTCACTTAATAATTGAGCCCTGTATCAGAAAATCTGTGGAAAATCTTTGGGAATCCTTGGACAAGATTCAAGATTTTCATTCATCTTTAAAAAGAAGCTTAGGCTTAGAATGAAAGTTCATAGATTTATCGCTCTTGTGAGGGAACAGGATGAAAATAAAAAAAATCATACATGGATGACAAACCAGGTCTGGGCTCATCAAACATTGTTTGTAATGTCTGATATTTATACTTACACATCATTCCTGGCCAGGCCATATTATTGCTGTCATCATTACTGTTGTATGGAGACAACTTATTGAAGTTTTCCAAGGCATCATTTAGTGGACCAAATAAACTCTGCCAGTTAGCGTTGGATAGAAACAGTGGGACATGTTGGTGGACCATGATTAAACAAATGAATACTTCTGGCAAAAGCACATCTGGAAAAGAAGAAAAGAAATGGAATGATCTGCTGAGCAAGAACAAGGACAATAGCGCTAAAAAAAACATTCTGAGTGTTTGAGAAACGAACAGAAGATCCCAAGTGTTTGCGGAACAAACAGGAGCAATTCTTGCAGAAATTTCATGAATCTCATTAGTTTTAAAGTGTTGTCATTGCTCTGATGAAACATTGCTGTAGTAACAAGACACTTTGACTAATATTTTGTGGTGACACCACCACCAGCCAACCAGGGCGCTGCCCTCTGAGCCGTCCACGCTCCCGCACCTATAAATACGGTGCAGTTGCCGGCCCTCTTCGTGCAACCCCTTGAGAGTAGACCTTAAGGTCCCCCCATAATTTCGGCAATTTTTGTTCTTTGAACCATGATCTAAATGAAATTTTGAAGAGGAAAAATGAATCGGAATGCTTAAAGTTGTATCTCATCTAATAGTCCATTAATCGGAAAATTGTATTTACATCGCTACAGACAAAAATGAGAGACTGGAAAAAATGCTGTGTAAAATACCTAATTTTAGGCTCAGTTACCCTTTATTCAACTGAATTAAAATGAAACTTACCCATCACATCATCTTTCATCACTTTCACAATGTTATCATAAGTGTCAAAATTCTTCGTGATTTGCTCTGCTGCAAAACTGATGACTTCAATGACATTCTTATTCAACTGTTGCAAATATTTAGTGAGTAGCAACTCCGCACCAATATTGTGTTGCTCTTAAAAATAATAAAATTGAAAAGTAAACTTTTGAAATATAGGCTTAAAAGTATCATGCAAATGAGAAAATTAGAGTTTTTTGCTATTAGGAACATGACCTTAAACTTTTACATCATAAATCACAGAAAACTTAGTGTCACAATTTTAAAGAATCTTCCTTTGTAGATCATTCCTGAAATTCTAATACAAAAGTCATCCAAAATGTATGTTCAATGATTCTGTGTCCCTTTAACTATTACAGTTTACTACAGTCAGAGAAAACATATTAAATTAGTTACTTGCAGCTTCCATAAAAGCTAAAAAAAATAAATTTAGTCCAATGAAACCTAAGAGGAAAAAGAATTTTTCCAAGCTTATTCTGCCTCAGTCCAAAATTCCGTGGCGCTACATCAGTACAGTCTGATCTCACCCAGCCAGAATCCGCTTAAACCCCACTAACTCCGTAATAATGGCTTGTTCCTGTTTTTTTGTTTTGCGAATACAAAGCCTGTTTAACTCAGAAAACCCACCAAATTAGAACGAATCCTTGGTCCTGATGCATTCTAACTTAACAAGATTTGACTGCGCATAAGCTATTGCAACTATTTCTTGTGACAAGAGGGTGAGAGAGGACCTTTAAACTTCATATAATGGATAAAGATTTGCTGTAAATTTCTACTCATTGAACAGAGACAATAAATTTTCACTGAACACACCTATAGATGAGGATAAATGCTTGCATTGAGGTTGAAGTTCCATGAAAAGTAACCTCTGGAATTGAAGCAACATGTTTAAACAGAGCGAGGAATCAGGAGAACAGGTGGGTGAACCTTGCTGTAAACGTCTAAAGGAATGACAAAAACAATTCCTGCAAAAGAGATAAAAAACAAATTTAAACTATTAAACTTTGTCACTTGCAGCTGTATCAAGGTTTACAGATATATACCGTAATAGAGCAGTATGCTTGCATTCTCATAATTATTCTTAACAAAATATCTTGATTTAGTTATTGTTGATCGCAAAAAACATAATGCTGTCATTGTTGGTGGCGGGGGCGGGCATGTGAAATTAAGATCATTCAATGGAACATGACAGTGGAGCAAAATATAACAAAGCTTTCAACTGATGAGAGAAGAAATAACTCAATTTTGCCATTTGCTTCTGAAAACTTCTGAGCCATTTTTTTGTTGCCGTAACATTGTTACAGAGCAATTTTTCATTCTTCATGATATAATTGAGCTGCTCCATGAAAGAAGGTGATTCAATTTCTTCAGAAACAAGTATTCTCAATTTAGAATTACTTGAGCAAATGTGCATGACAAAGTCAATTTCTCTTTACGTACCTAAGAAGCTGTTTGACAAGGTGTAGTAGAGGCACGGGTGAATTTTCAGTCAAACGACCATTCTCAGTCATTTCTTCTGAAAAAAGAACGAAAAAATGACAAAAGAAAAAAATTACCCAAAATTCATTGGAGCTTAAAATAATAAAAAACTGAAAACCGTAGATTTTGAGTTTAAAAAACTTATAAATTTGCACATCTCTTTATGTATGTTAGAGTCAAAAGCCGAAAAGCGTAAAAACGCGAATTAACGGTTAAAACTAGTTTTTTCAAAAAATGATAGTGAAAACCGAAAGTAGTTGTTTTTTCCAGGTTTTTACACTAAATTCTAGTCAGAACTAGTTTACTTACTACTTACTATACTAATATCTTTATATCATGGCCTTCACAGAATCATTCTTCCAAATGTTCCTTCTAGATTTAGTTTATGTTGGGTCAGTTTGCCTAAAAAATTTTAACATTACCATTTTCATTTCACTTAAAAATGGTGACATGTTACTGTAAATTTGGTCTCATAATAAAATCAAGTAAATGTAGCAGCAGAAATTATGATCAATCAAAAAATCTAAAAGTCTTAAAACAGGATTCATAGCAGCTTTTTAACACCAAAAACAAGATTATTTCTTGATCAAAAATAAGGACTTTTAAGGATCTCTCAAGGATTTCAAAAAAAATATTCAAATAGATTCAAGCTTACACAACAAACAAGAGCCTTGGAGCAGAGATGTTATGTCCTCAGTAGTTGCCCAGAGATTTTCATAAGACTCCAGCACTTGGGGCTATTTCTTTAAAACTCTGGCATATTTTATAATTTCTTTAGTTTCCTAGCAATAATGTTGAAATCAAGACCAACCCACAAGAGTCAGTCATTCACGGAGACAAGTTTTGAGATCCTAGTGCGCAATAACTGTGGGATATTGAAAATTTGAAATAAAATTCAAGTATCTACAAGGACTTTTCAAGGCCTGCTAACTTAATAAAACGAAATTTATTAAAATTGAATACCTTTGATAGCAATTATTAAGAACTCTTCTAAACTACCATCTGCTAGCAAGGTTGAAACAAGAAGATCTGCCATGAATTGCTGTCCCTGATGAATATGAGTGGAGCTGTCATCTGTAAAAATCATCGTTTATAAATTAGGAATGAATCGTTAAATGAAAAACTGATTTACATTACTTTACTGACCTATTTTTTGTTGTTTTCTTTTTTTGCATAAAACTGAACTCAGGACTTGGCTGATGGAAAAACAGCATGAAATCAACTCCTTAAGAGTTAGATTTTCTGTGCAAAATAATATATTTATAATTATGATGAAATGCAATTCTTGCTAAAACATATGATCAATGCATGTTTATTGCGATAAAAAAATCAGATTTTGAAAAAAAGAAAAAAAAGTGGAACTGCGTAATTCCACCATTATCCTGTAGAAAATTTGCAGTTGTTTCTTACCGAGGCGTACATTGCCATGGCTTTCTGATGGTTCTTTAATAATTATGGTACCTGTAAGCTTATTAACTTGGCCAGTTTAAATCATGTTAATTTTACATTTCACATAATACTAAAGCAGGGTGCGGACAAACTTCGGGGAAAGAATTCCCTGCCATTTTGAGGTTCTCGTTAACAAAAATGATGAAAATTCTTCAGCTTTTTTAATTAATGATTTATTAATAAGGATCACAAAAAAAGCAATAGACACAGTTTAGTTTATAGAATTGACCTTAAGGGTCTCGGTTAGTCCTTTTAAGGTAATAAATCTTCGAAATCATTATTAAGATTGTCTTAAAAATTCTTGGGAGGTAAACTAAGCAAAAAGGAAAAATTCGAGTTATGTCCAAAAAACTTTTGTATCCTATGGACAATTATGGCTAAAATTATTCTTCCTTACTTTCTCTGATTTTACTTGATCTCTGACCCTGCTGACATCTTGTAAAAGGTAGGATGTCAAAATCAATACAGCAATCTATAGATTTAGAGAACTGATGGAAAATTACCAGATGATGGTAGCAGTGAGGACAGAGTTAGAGCTCTTTCATTTGAAGTTGGTAGCAGAATCTGCCAGCCTGCTTGCAGCACAGCTTGAGCAGCTCTTTGAATTGTGGGTAAAACATTCGGACAGCTTGCCAAGTCGACAATTAAACTTCTGAGACTGAGCAACAATTTTGAGCCGGAATCCAAACCGACACTTTGTAAACTAACGTGATTACTCAGGACACTGTGAAGCTGAAATCAAAGAAAAAAATAGTGATTGCTTGAGGAAAGAAAAAAGAAGAGATAATTTTATATTATAGGGAGATCATAATATACCGCCCTGTTAAGGAAAAACACAGTGTTGATAAAGAATAGGCTTTCAGAGAAAATCAAACTCAACCTTGGCCAGATTATATTGCATCTTATGAACCAATCTCATGTTCGTGTTTATTCTTCTCTTGTATATAGTTCAATTTTTCTGGTAGTTTTGGCATCATAGTTTCAGCATAGTTTGGTAGTTTTGTTCTTCTAAACACGTCTGAACGTTAAAAGTTAAAATTAAAAATAAAACAACATACACCAAGAGCCTATTTCTCCTCTACATCCTGTGCTCTTTCTTGGTAAGAAAATATCGGTAGTAATTCAGGTTGTAGACAGCTAGTGCAAAATAGTGGCCTGTTTTAAGAAGAATTGATATGTATCACAACAGCTTAAGGACCATACGACCAGAGGAAATTTCAAAATCAAAATGTGCTGGTGCACAAATTGAAAATATGAGTTTCAAAATTATTGTCTATTGAATTGTCTTATTCCCTGAATTGTCCTATGAGTTGCTTAGCTGCAGCAGAGGACGGTGCAAGCAGCATCCTTTGTTACAAGGTCTTACAACAGGCCATCAACCATATTTTGGTAGTGTCCTTAGTATGCAGAGATACTGTGTAGGAATCCACCAGGGGCAGGGCATGAGGTCTACTTTATAATCAGGAACAAGTTCTGAAAGAAGCTGTATTGTTGTAAACAGCCGATTGCAGCACAACCTCCCGTAAGATTCTCACAACCTTACAAGGTTGGGGGATCTTTCTTCTTAGTAACCTGCGGGTGCGCATTTACATGGTAGCTCAAAATACGCAGCTTTGAGCTCGTTTTTTATGGTTTAATATTGTTCAAAAAAATGGGGGGAAATTCCTGTGAACTCTGTGCACTCTCTAGTTTTCAGAAATGCAGGAATTAAACATTACTAAACAAGCTCATTGCCTAAACTGAGTGCTCTCTCTTTCAGTTGTGTGCCGATAGTGATTCAAATTTCATTTTGAAACTCTGAAATTCATTTTTGTACTTTTATTTGTTTCAAAATTCCTTCAGTTATTGTGATCCTACTAGTATTATAATATCGTATAATATGGTATAAAGCAGTGTAATAGATATAGACTAGACTTGCGGTTGATAAAAACCAAATAATAATTCACATTTTATGGCAAATACCTGAAGTCGAAGTAAATTGAGTGCAGCTACCATCATGCATTCACAACCTTGCGATGGTGGCCTTTCACCGGGAGGCTCGATCACAGATAATAATAGTCCCTCCAAGCGACTCAAAGTTACTTCACTGACATCTAGGACTAATGGAGCTCTCAAGTCTATTGACCAATCTTCAACTGCACTCCAAGCAAAACACTGATGCAAAAAATATAAAACATTACAAACCATAACAGGAATATTTGGATACATAGACATTAAAAAAAGTCCATCTACTGCAAACAGACTTCTTCAGCTTATGTTTGAATAGAATGAGTCTGGAAAGATCAGTTGCTAAGACTTGGATCGCCTAGATTGCTTGCATGTAACAGACCCATTGTCTAACCGAGCAGGTATGCTGTATCAGATCATGTTTTCAAACCTGTGAAATTTTAATCTTGATTCTAATTTGTAATAAAATACATCGTCTATAAACTTTTCTTCTTATTTCCATTCAAACAAAATAAAGAGACCTGAAATAAAATCAATACTTAATTGCGCGGCAAATTACCGAATGTTGCCTCTCCGAATTTGTTCAATTCTATTCTAAAATTCAAGCAGTATGCCATTTTGAGGTTATTATTGAACTCAGAAAAGATTGAAATTTACCTCGTCTGTCGGCCAATAAGGCTAGGTTTTCCTCCCAAAATTAAACCTGTAAAACTCCATATTTGGATCATTTTAACAACCTTGATTGCATCCAGGAAGGAATGCTAAGGCTAATTAGCAAGGATCACAGTCAGTCACAGTAAAAGGAGCGAACTAATAAATTTTTAAAGTTTGACGATTGGGTTTACCCTTTTTAGTTTAAATTTCACAGCATTTCAAGTAGACTCATCTCCCTTCACTACATCACCAATAGTCAAATAAAACCTGTCTCTTAAATCAAGTTGCTTATGCCATATTTATAAATACCTGAGTCAAGGAGCAAGCTATTCCCACTATTTTCATGCTGTTGAAATGATTGAGCACGGTTGGTGTTTCAATTAAATTACGTTCTGGATTCTCAGGATTAGTGAAATCGGTCTTGCCCCAGACGTACACCATCTGATCTTGAGTTAAGGCTAGAGCATGTGACAGCCCTACGCTTAGTTCTTTGATAAATTTGCCTGAAACAAATGGAACCTGAATAATTTTGCCGATTACAATATTCAACAGGATTACATAAAAGAGAAAAAAAAAATCTAAATAGAAGCAGAACAGTATGAGCTTCAAACATAAATTACCCCTTCAGGTTCTCTTCAAGGGATTCAAAAGAGCCCCTGCATCTGTAGAGCTCTTTTTGGCAAAATTTGGAGGACTATCCTTTCTGACCCCTCCAGCCAGTTATCTTTGTTTCTGCCCTCTTCACTGTTCACACTCTAATTTGATAATTTCATTTATAAACGTTTTCTAGGAGACTCTGCCATTGAAAAGACAAACTTACGATTCACATATGTAGAGATAAATGAAACTTAAAACAAGTCAATAAAAACAACCTATTCATATATTACCTTTTAAAGCTTGAATTAACTTAGGATAGCGGACATGTTCTTCAGAGGGATGACCCAGGATATAGTTATCTCCTTTCCCCCATGAATAAACACTCCCATCCTTGGCAAGGGCAAAACTGCACTGGGAGCCACAGTAAACTTTCTTGATGAATGTATTCTGCAAGATTTCAACTACAAGTGGAACTTTGGAGCCATCACTTCCTCCACGGCCTGAAAGATATTGAGATTTTATAAAAATTTGATCGGAAATTTAAAAACTGAAAATCAAAGATTAGTGTTACTAAATTTAGTTACAATAACAACGTTGAACGATAAAAATTTTATCAATAGAAAAGTTAGGCGAGAACAAAAAATAATACAAAAATCTGATGGAAAAAAGACTGAACCTGTGCATTAAACTTGTGAACAAATATTTTAAAAGAAAGGAAAAATTCCAGTAATATCATCCGATGAAGGATTACCAGTAAAGCGGACTTTGATAAGATAGCTTTTTTTAAGAAATTATTTTGATACACAAATTTATTTTCAACTTATTTTTCCTTTCAGAAGGTACATTAAAATATTAAAGGGGTTCGGGAGGCATGTCTCAGAAAAAACTGTGTAATTAGGTGTGTAATTAATCAAATGACCTGAACAAGGGCTTAATTTTAGGCTAAAGATATTATCTTCGAGACTAGAAAAACCGCATTTTGATGAATGCTATGAAAATATTTTTGAAACAAGAACTGTCAAGATATTCATCAAAAAAGGCTCATTCGTGAATCAGAAAGCTTCACCAGTACTCAGCTACCAAAATCTAATAGGGCAGGGGTGTTGCATGTAGCTAGACAGCTTCACGGCACAGATATTTGCAGTTGGAAATGATGGTGAAAATGATTTATTGGGGGTGGGGTGGTAATAGAGAGGGGGGAAATATTAAAGAGAAGTCCTCACCAAGTTTGCCATAATCGCCATCACCCCAAGAGAAAACCAAACCTTGATCCGTCACAGCAAGAGTTTGTGCATCACCAAAACCGCATGAGACATCAACTACATTCCATTCTGGTAAAAAGAGAAAAAAGGGGGAAAATTCATTAGAAAAATTGTTTTCTTATTCGTGGTTTAGTATCCCTCTGAAATATTTTGATTTTTTAGTTGTTAGATAATTGCTACGTTGATACAAGTGGACTTTCGGATTCACCATTTCATCTGACAGGACTTTTTTTTTTAATTTATTAGTGTGCTAGGAGCTTAAGTTAAAATCATACTTAAAAAATGGCCATGACATTTTTACTAATCAATAGAAAAGAGGTAAAACTGAGATAAAATTACTTACGCAAATGTTTACTTTTCATAAAAGACAAAGTTTGAATCAACCAAATTGTTTTTTCCCCCCTACCTAAAGTCCATTTACTCAAACCATGGAATATTCTGACCAAACAATACAAAATACTAATAATAATTAATGCAGGTTAAATTGAGAATAGAAAAGCTGAGCATACCCTTCAATGCTGCTACTAAAGTTGGCGACAGATGGTCATCAAAAGATCCATGTCCTAAACGGCCATAATTCCCACGGCCCCAGGTATATAACTGTCCTTGGTCAGTAACAGCAGCACTAAAAACCATGGACCAAAGTATTTAGAGGAACACTTTTCTCAATTTTGAGGAGTCTTCAGAAGCATTGTTACTGTTTTGGGTAACTTTTTTTCGAAGATCAAAAAGCTTGGGTTTGTTTGACTATCACTGAACCAATACTTCTAACACTAAAGACATTAAAAGATGTCGGAAGATTTAAATCCAAAGTACAGATCATAATCATAATCTAACAACTATGGTCGATCATTTTAGAGTATAAAAATGAAACCACCTTATGCATGATGCCAAGCAGCGTGGTGGAAAAAATATCATCTCGGCACACGATGCTCCTGCAATAAAAACCAGCCCGGAGCGTCGTTTTTTTTAGGTATAACTTTTTCTTACAATTAAAAAAATAATAACAATAATAAACAGACAAACTATGCAAAAACCCTCCCCAGAATATCCCCTTCCATGCTTCATGTTCAACCTTAGTTATGTAGATGCGGATGTTCTGGGAAAGGTTTCTGTATTATTTACTTACATGTTTATTATTTTAATTATTTTCTTTAAATCTCAATTAAAAATTATAACTTGAATAAAACGGAAAAAATCAATTAGAAATGCTGGTAATCGAACTCACAATCTTCCACATAGTAGACAAGTGCTGTATCAATAAGCCACAACAGCAGCTATGGCGTGGTGCAGAAACTCAGTCATTATGGAACAGATGATGATCAGGGACTAATTTCAGACCATTCTTGGGGGACGAGGGGGGGGGAGGCTCCGAACCCATTTGCAAAAACAGAGAAGCAATCAATCGATTACTATTGACCTATTTTTTGTCGCAAACCAGATAAAAATCGGAAGCAGCTACTTCTGAGCCTCCCCTTGTTAGTGCAATATGATATTTTTCTCATTATAATATCCAATTTCAAGACAGCTGTATGCAACCAAGAAGATCAAAAACTGAACTGACACCTACAAAAAAAGCACGAGGCTGTAAAGAAAATGAGTATTCTTTTGCCTGGATCACAGGAAAATGGAATCTTACCTATAAGTGTTGCCACAAGAAATTTTGACAATTTTTTGAGAGGCTAGACTTTCAACCAATGTGGGTGTTGAAAGAGACAAAGTGTTACCATGACCCAAGCGACCTCCATCTCCAGCACCCCATGAAAAAAGTTGACCTTCATCACTTCGGGCAAGAAAGTGATTACCTTCAATGTGTGAGGCTACTTCTACTATTTTGAGAGACGAAAGAGCCTCTGCTTTCTACAAAAGAGAAAAAGGGGAGATTTTAGATTATATTTGATACAGAGCTCAGACAGATTTTTACACTCCATAATTTGAAAAGTATTAATAACGAGCCCTGACTTTGAATCCCTTCCCTCACAAAGATTCTGAGGTGAGGAAGATTGAGGAGGAGGAGTGATGGTTGTGCTACGGCTTGGAAATAATGCTAATTTTTTTTTTTTTTTTTTTTTTTTTTTTTTTTTTACAGTAAATTAGATAAAGCGTGGTTACTCAGTGGCACGGGATATCATTAGTTTCAAATTGTTGTGTTCATTTTTACGTGGCTGTTTCCCTGACTTCTGAGAAAACACGGGATGATAAATAATATCTTTAAAATTTTCTGATCTTGTAAAAACTTCCCATTTCTGAGACGCTATTTCTCTCTCACTTTTGGGACAAATTGCTGTTTTTCCTGGACTTATTTTCCTATAACTTAAGCCACCTCTTATATCTTATATATGTAGATACTTTTTTCTAACCAATAAAAAAATAAAGTACCGCACTTCATGATAGATGTAGCACATTTTAATAGCTACTATCTGAGCTCCTGAACCAATCACACACAAAATGGCTGCTTTGGTGGACATTTTTCCTGCCTTTTGTAATTAATCATTAACAAAGTTGTTCCTTGCATCACTTTCAGGTATCTGGGTGACCAATGCACAAAACACGGAAGGGTCTGTAAGTTTTCATACTTTTCCAGAACTTCCAAATCTACTTTCAGCAATTTTTTAGATTTTACAGACCTGCAGAAACCCTGATGAAAATTTGCACACACAAGCATTCAATTTATTTGAATTTCCTAGATGCTTATGTGGATACTTTGGAGGCCTTCTTAATATTAAATTTGGTAATGTAAAAACTAAAAATTTGAAAGACTGCTAAAAAAAGAAATGACAAACAAATTTTTTTTTACAGGAATATCTTCCTCGGAAGGAATTTTTTCCTCGATTTAACCTTTAATTAATATTTTCAGATGCATTTTCTAAATAGTTTAGATGTGTTCCAGCTAAAATGTTCCAGAAAATTTTTAACTTTCAAACAACTGGTAAGTTATCCATGCATTAAATATGAAAGACAATCGAAGAAATATTTTTCTCTTCATTTTTATTTACATAAAATAATAATGAAGCTTATATAATTAATTATCGGATAATATTCTATTGATCTAAGATAAAAAATAATAAAAGCATTACTTACCGATAGTTCTGCATTTTGGTTGACTGTATACAGCTGACCGGAGTGAGTAGTAAATAAAAGCGTTTTGGAGGAAGCAGCAAAGGAAGAGATTCCCCGCTCACTAATGATTTGACAGCACTGTTCGTCCCACAGAACCCAGCCCCAAGTATGCAATTCTTGCTGTCCATGAGAGAGTGATGAAAATGACAAAGGTGGAAGCAATGGAGCAGCTAGGCGGTCTAATTGTGACATAATTGTGACAGCAGCAACACGGACATCAATAGGAGCACTATCTGATTTTGGTAGCTCGACGTATCGTAGAAAACATTCTGTGGGACTTACATGTATCTCTTGTTCATTCCATTCATCGTTAGATGTGGCAAAATTTTTCAATGGCTGAATCCTGCTCAGTCTTTTCAGAAATGGGGCTAAAGGAGGATTTTTCTTCTTCCGATCGCAACAATTTTCAGTTTCTTTCTTTGATTTCTCATGTAGGGAAAGTAAAAGCAAAACAGAATCAAGTAACTGACTGAGAGTGCCTTTTTGAAGAGCCAACTCTAACAACAAGCACAGCGCTAAATATTGATCATTGATCGGAACAGGATGACTCGCATTATTTGCAGCGATTTCTCCCAAGACAACTTGTCGCAGAAATTTGGATGACTTTTCAAAAATTTCACACCAAACGGGTGATACTTGCGAGTCATTTTCTTTAAAGAGGGAAGCTTCTGGCAACATTCGCATTGCTTCTAAGCATTCTTCTAATAAATCCGTGCAAAGTTCACAGTCTTCATTTGTTCTCCATGCTTTTTTTAGAAATGCGAAGGAAAAATTTAGGGCAGCTCTTGTTCCAATGCGAGCAAATCCGAAAGAAGGGTCCACTTCAGGGTTGATGGCTTCACATTTTTGTTCTCCAGTTATGGGACAACTGTCGACATTCTTGGGCAGTTTTTCTGGTTTGGAGTTTTCAAAATCCCTAGAAAATGCAATAAAATATCGCTGAGCTACGGCTAATCTCTGTTGTAGTGACCTAGAGAATAAAGATGAACTTGCTACAAGCTGACTGAGGGCTCTCTGCTCAAAAATTAGTGCTTTAGCTGCAAGTGTTAAGTCTTCGATACCTGGAAACACAAAAGTTAACAATCAATTTAAAATTAGCAAAAGAAAACTAAATGACTCAAATTGAGTAAAATTTACTCAGAGCACACTATAGTACATTCAAAATTATTAAAAGAATGACTCATGGCAGAAAACTAATAAATATATATTGTCTGATGTAAAAGTTGAAGGATCATTCTTGACAAAAAAATAAAAACATATAGGATTTGCGCCAGTACTGAAGTAGCAGGAACCATTATGAAGAAATGAATGAGAAAGAGGTAGAAATATGCACAAAAACCGCCGAGAAAAAATAAGAGGGTACAAAGTCCTTCGATTTCAAAATCTCTAATTTCAATGACTATGAGGGCCATTTTCTCAACGAAAAAGGAGAAATAGAGAAAAAAATCATATGTGCCTCATATCTAAGTACTTTCAACGAGTCTACTTAAAAAAGAAACAAAGAGGCGCAATGAACAATCTTTTAGTATTTTAAATGGAAAACTAAAAGAATTATCCGGCTTGTCTATAAGGAAATTTTTCATTTAAACTCCAGTTATTTTTACACTTCCACATATGGTTGAAAATCTGAGGGCTTGAAGATCATGATGCGTCACATTAAGAATAAACATACTCTGATTGGGCCGTAAGATACAAGACTCAATTAAGGTTTGAGAGGATGGTAAAGATGATACAGCTTTGACTTTGTAGGATCCCAAACAGGTACATTTGAAGTTCTCATTCTCATGGCAGTATGATCGATTGCTTCCCTGGAATTTGCGATCACCTAGATATCAGACGGAAAATGATGAGATTAGAATGAGAATTTTAAAATGAGATCTAGAACTATTTGCAAACATTTTCAAGAAAAAAAGAAATGAAAAAGTATTATTTACTAAAATAGAGTGCCTCATTGGTTGGTTATCATAATACTGTGGAGCTTTCTTAGGAAAATGCTGAAAATCTCTTTTGCTGTGAGATTTTAATGATGATTCGTTTACTTATGCTAAAAATGCAATGGCATCTACAAAACCAACATCTCAAGACTCATACATTACATTAATCACAATTCTAAAGAATGATAATTCAATTAACAAACCATTTACGATAGAAAAATTATAATTAACCTGTGATCGACTGTAAAAGATGATGAAGGCGTGACAGGAGGGCATTGATCCTTAGTATAATTCTACATTGATGTCAGCTGACAGAGTACAATGTAGGTCTTAAATCTTTCCTCCCCCATAATAGAAAATAAAATAAAAATCAAATTACCTTCATGAGTACTTCCAAGAGAGTAAATTAAAGATGAATCTTTTTTTGGTAAAAATAGTTCCCCATCTTTCAGTAATTCGTTCCAATGAGTAGGTAACTCACATCTTGTAAGAAGCTTTTGTAGATCGTTTTTTAACCACTTTGAATCAAAGCAGGAACTGCTTGAAAGCTCTGCATTATTCATTCTTCAGGAAATCCTAACAGATGAGAAATTGAGCTAATTACTATGTGAAGCTATTTGTTCCTCCATTCATTCCGACAATAGCCAATGGTCAAAAGGAAACACCGTTACTTGAAATTAAAAAATACCTCTTAATGCCTTTTACTACAATGGCTATCTTTAAAAACTACCTGATTCAATTTTAAAGTTTCAGTTCTTTTTAATATACTTTCATTTTTTTCTTGGATAAAGAGAAAAAGAATGAGAGTATTCATTCAGCAATTTCTTACTTTTTCTAGGAGTCAATGCCAAATAATTTTATACAATTTTAGAGTACGACAGATGATCTACAATCTTTATTCTTGCTTTTACATCCAATGCTAAACAGAAGATAGCTGATCTTCTGTTACACTCTAAAAGTGCATAAACCTATTTTGTGTGGACTCTTGTGAGAATAGAATATCGACGGTGAAACTACCAGACCACTTAGGTAGGTATCTTGTTTGAAATGATTAAAAATCTCCACTCCCATTTTATTTTTTTGAAGGAAAACAAATCAATATCGTTTCTAGAAATTTTCACAGAGTTTCCTTTGCATAGAGAAGAAAAGCATTGAAGTTATCAAGAATTGGTTTAGAGTAGTTTCCCATTTAAAAATAAAGTATGACACAGAGGCTACAACGTCGCTAAGAAATTGACTATGAAAATTAGGCAATAGTTGATGTAGCTTGGATCCTTTCTGTTTAATGCGGTCCAATTAATCCATGGTTCATTACATTAGCCATTAGGTCATGCTGCCGCAAACTGACACTGATTCACTGGTGGTTGAAATTTCATGACAAGGTAGGTGCGTTCGTGAAAGACAACAGGCTTCAACAGAAATCACGCGGTGAGAGCGTTGCAAGTTTGATGATTGTTCTTGCATCTTCGTTGTACAATGCTTTTTACCCAGTGAAGTGTCATGGCAGTTCAATGGTCACCGCAACGGCCTAGCACCTCTTGCGGCTGGTCAATGGAGCATTGAGCATTGAGGAGGTAAACAAAGTTAAGTGACGGTAGTTACACCTCAGTTGGACATCGGGTAACTCCACGGATAATTCAGAGAAAAAATCTCCGTTGTCTATTGCGAACGCATGTAGTTTGTACACAACTCCATTTGTTTGGGACATCAGGCTCAAGTACCTCAACTACATGGAACCAGTATTGAAATAGTGTAACAGCTACTGTATTGAATGTGATGAAGAGCTGCTTGAATGAGATGTTTCTTTTAAAACTCTAAAGTACATCAAAGATTTTCAAAGAGGCTTACTTACCTAGAGTTTGTCAACTGCGGACACACAAACACGCAAAACCCAAAAATTGATCATATGACTCACTGTCGCTGAAGTAAAACTTGACACTTTGACATTCTGCTGATTTTGAGGGTAGAAATTGATCTGTTTTACATGACTCGATTGGATTCCAGGATATTGCGACTTTTCATCACCAAATGGTACAAATGGGAACCTGTCTCGGGCGGGTGATAACACAAAAATCAATTCAAAACAGCTATCTGAGATATCCGAAGACCTATTAGAAAAGCTAACGAGAAGCCATCGGCCATCATTTACAGGTAAGCAGTACAGAATTTTTATGGTTTATGATTCTGTGCTGTGTAAACATCGGTGTGGACACATGTCTGCAGATAATTCAACTTAAACATAACCTCAAACAATCGTAAACATAACATCCATCTGTTCTGTCCATGTGCATGTGCAATGATTCTACTCACTAAAGCATGCACTGACTAACTTTAGTCGAAGCGGTGGTACCTAAAGCTTTTTTATTATTCCAGTTAGCATATTAAATAATTCATCTGTGATTCTTCCTGTTTTTGCGGATATGTAATAAAGGATGAAGGAACTAATAGTGTCAACGTGTGAGAAAAACTTTATCCGCCAAGCTGTGTCTCAAGGGAAGGTACGATGAAGACGCATCGTCTGCTCCTTTTTTCATTTCAGAGTTATACTTCTTTCTTCTTGTCCTGAGTTATCTTTCCTCTAAAGGAATCCTGTTATTTACTCGCTGATTCTTGAACATTAAAGAAAAACACCACACTCATTTCCGCTGTAAAACTACATATCGATGGTGAAACTACCAATCTGCATGTCTTGATTTTCATCGGTTTTGAGTCTACCCGCACAAATGAGCTGTACAAGATATCTCTTATCTGGCATCAGACTATTCTAGTATTTACTCTGCACATTCAACCAAACGCGAGGTATAAAAATTTTTAGCACCAGCGGATTACAGAAATTGGCTTGAACTGCCAGCCAATTACAACGGACCTCCTCAATGTTGCTAGAAACGGAGAGCTTAACATAGTCGAACATTCAAGTTATGGCTCTTGTTTGCTCTTTTAGAGTTCCAAAACGGAACATTAATCTGAATGAGGCTAATTGTAAGCTAGGCGTATCAGTGAGACTTACCTGAAGTTTCATGTTTCTCTCAGTGTGGAAATCTTTTTTCTGACGATATTTCCAATTGCATGAACACTCGAATTACACTAACCTCATCTGATTGTTTCATGAACATGCGCTCTTGAATTGTTTGGACCTTATTCAGACATTCCTTCCATGGATTCTCCTCTGAGAATTTTAACTTTTTGGGTCTCTGTAAAAACTTTAATTGTATTTTCTTTGTTGTTAGCGTCTTGATGGAAGAAAATTTGATGACTTACGGAAACTGGACATTAAATATGGATTAGAATGGGGCAGTTGTGTTACTACATTAGGAAGTACAAAGTAAGCCTTTTAATTTTTTTCATCACTATATTACCTTGAAGTTGCTTTGATCTTGAAGCTCCAATTGAAATTTACAATTATAAGAGCTTTTTAGATCTCAAAAGTCACTCCCATTTATTCTCCTAGAATTAATATAGATTAAAGCATAAAAAAATATTTGATAAATGCTCTCTAAGAATTTTTTGAAAGATGATTTAAAAATTAAGTTATAAACACTTTCTTTTCCTGTACAAAGGAATGCTTTTTTTTCTACTTTGTTCCAGTATCTCTAAGAACATTTAATATTTCATAGGTTAACCTTTGCTCAAATTACTCTCTAAATTTCAGAGTATTACCTCTCAAGGTTAAAAAAATTTCAGGGAAGTTCATTTGAAGGTTCACCAACGGACGAATGAAATGTAAGGAAGAAATACTGAAAGAGCACAATCAAAAGCGTAACAATCGCAATGACCAATTGTAATCACTGTTAAAAAGCATATCGACGGTGCAAGTCGGCAATCACGTAACTCGTTTGCGATGTCTGAAAATCTCCGCCTCTATGTTATTTTTTTAAAGGAGAACAAATTGACATCATACCTTGAAGTTTTTGCAGAATGTAGGTTTCTGTTTAAAAAATAAATTATAACAGGAAGTCTGTGACGTCGCAAACTGAGTTATGTGATTGCCGACTTTCACCGTCGATATCCCTCTCAACCATTTAAATGCAATTGCATCATTGAAGCATTATTGCTTCAATGATAAATGTGAAAAATCCATGGAACAAAATTTCAAAATGATACGAGTAAAGAGCTCGATGGGTATGTACATATTTCATTTCCCAATCCCATACAGACATCCGGAAGCAATGAAAGCAAGTGTTATTTTGTTCTTCATATCAAGGTGCATTGCTTTCAAATTGTCCTAGATAAGTAGCAAAAGGAATTGTAAGTAACTATGTAATGAATTTTTTTTGTTGAAGTAATTTTTTTCATACCAAGATTCAGGGCAAACATTTCACATCCATTTTCAAATAATATCAAACAAAATGACAATGATTTCCTTATTTTACTGTGTAGGGTGGTAGCTCAAGTTTCATGCGACGTACAAGTACCTAAAACGTCAAGACCCAATGAAGGTCTTCTGTTCATCAACGTGGAGCTCAGTGGAATGGCATCTGTACACTTTGAGTCAGGAAAAATAAATGATGCCGAGGTTAAGATAAATCGGATACTTGAAAAATGTTTCCGAGAATCTAAGTGTATTGATTTGGAGGCCTTATGTATTGTTGCTGAAGAAAAGGTATTGGTCTCTTTTTTTTACTTATATTTTTCTGCATAATACAAGCAACTTTTTTTAAATTTATTTTGCTTTTAAGAAAAAGTCTTGTACTTGTATAGCTCTTACGTCTAGAGATGCTTTTGAGTCCATAAGTTACAGCAATACTACATATACATGTACGTCACCAGCCAGTGTATACGATAAGTTACTAAAGCCAACAAAGGAAATTAAATGGGAACAATATCTCCTCTTCTTCTTCTTCTTCTCCTTCTTTTTCTTCTCCTTCCTCTTCTTTTGTTGATTCATATTCCAATTGAAGAACCTACAGCCAACTGTAGACAAAAATTCAACTTTATGTTATTATGACTTCTGGGTAGGAATAGATTATTAATGGGTATAGATTCATAGATATGATCAACACCATTTTCATGCCTAGAAACCCTTCAAGGCGAACAATATCTCTTTGATAACTTTTCTGGTACCCAGATCTGATGTCATATTAATCTTTTAACTTACTTATGAAACTGAAATTAAGAATTCAGTATCGTCATATGCATAAATCGAAAATGAATGAAATAAAATCTGATTAACGATTCAGGTTGAAGGGGAAAATTGAAAGAAAAAAGGAACATAAAGTCATAAATTTAGAACACCTCATCAACAGACATTATTTTCCCTATCCATTTCCCAAGAATTTTCCTTCTAAAATTTTCTTCTATGAAAGTCTTTAAAAACGATCGTACTACCTCAAGGTGGTCTGGGAGGGGGAAAAAATGCGACAAAAATGTACCCAAAAACGGTGTGCAGAGAGTGAATCTATGGTATGTGTAGACTTAAAATCCTGAAAAATTGAAATCCTGGCTGATCCTATTTTCGAGGTATCGCAATTTGAAATTTTGATAGTACCTAAATGCAAGTTATCTACAGCTTTTGATTGATTTGCTCTGCGTTTAGTACAACTGTGCGTCTGAAACATGATGATAGCAGAATAGAAAATATTGAAATGTATGTGGTTTGGATGTCCAAGAAGAGGAAAGCTGTGTTCGAAATTCCGAATTTCCCAAAACGCAGC